AATAAATTTCTTTATTTGAAACAAAAAAAAAAAAATTATTACGCTCTGGGAGAAATATATTTTTATTTGCTTCAAATAAATTTTATTTGTCTCAAATAAATGCCAATAAAATATTTCTGTAGATTTATTAATTAATTTTTTTTTTTAAGTTTATTTATATATTTTATTTATTATTATATTATTATTATTTTATTTATTTAATATTTTTTATTTAAGTATTTAATAATTTTTAAAGAAATAAATTTTAATTTTATAATCAACATTAAAAGAAGAAGAAAAAGTTTAAATTTTCAATTGAAAAATTAAAAAAAGCAATTTTAGAATGAAAATGAAATTTTCTGTTTGGCAAAGTATGCGAAATCAATATTTTGCGCTCACTAGGGGGCTATTATATTCCAATACTGGGAAAATCTTTCTCAAGTTGAAAATTAAGCATTCAGCACACAACTGCAGCAATGTAACATGCAATTTGTACGTCAATCTGTTTCCGAGTTTCAATGCTTCTTTTGTGTCACTCTCATCTATATTTATATATATATATACCTATATATAGTATCCCGGATTTGAAAAGATTAAAACGCAAAAAAAAAAAAAAAAAAAAAAAAAAAAAAAAAAAAAAATCAAATACAAAATGAGAAAAGACATTTATTTCAATGCTATAAACAATATTCTCAAGTATAATTTATCACTTCAATTTCTTTTTCTATTTTTTATTTATATATATGTAAAGTCGAACATCTGATTATTCCGTTAAAAAGATGATGAATCACAAGCAAGTCATTTTTCCCGCTATCTTTAATAGTGATTATTTTAATGAGCGAAAACCGGTTTATTCGGAGGCAGCGTGGACCAAAACTCGAAATTTTTTTTTTTTTTGCTATATATGAGAAATTTTACTTAAAAACAAAAAAAAAAAAATCCCAGAATGTTATAAAAATTTTCCATCTTAAAATAAAATTTCTTTTCTTCCCGTGTGGAAAAGTGATGTGGGCCCCCAGCGGGGGCCCTTATGGATCGCCCTCATGCCATGAGGGCCGCATATGGATGATCCATAGGGGCCCCTCATGGAAACGACATGCTCATCGATGAGGGCGCCCGCATGGGCGATCCATGAGGGTGCCCCTACGGGCGCCCTTATGGGCCCTCACGTTTGCCCTCATCTTGCCCTCAAGTTTGCCATAATGTTTTTTAATCAATAATATTAATAATAAAAGTTAATTAATAATAAATAAGCTTAAGTTATGAATAAATAACATATTTATTTAATAATTATTCAATTTTAAATTAAATTCTTACTCAAATTCAATTTATTAATTAACGTTCTAATTAATTAACTGTCGGATATAATTAAAAGTAATAATAAATTAATTAATTAAAAAATTAAAAAATATTTAATTTATGCATACTATTAACGGATATTTTCATTTTTCAATTAATTCATACATAGAATTAATGATTAAACGCAAACCTGAGAAATAAATAAATCTAACGCATGGGGGGAATCGAACCTACGACCTACGGACTATGAGTCTAACGCTTTACCAACTACGCTACGCACGCTACTTCAAAACGAATGCTAACTTCTTGATGCTATTTAAACTTGAAAAATACCTAACAAAGAAAAGTGCTTAACATCATTTAGTTAAAGTTAAGATATTAAATTATATTTTCCAATCGAATGCAATTTATAAAATATAATTAATTATATGCTTTATGATTATTATCATCAATCATCTCAGGTGAATTTTCAAAAAAGTGTAAATATATTTTTATTAAAAACGCGTTTTTCGTTGTTTTGAATCATTGGAAACATTCATTTTTTGTTGATGAAAAAATATTTGACTTTTGGACTTAGAAAATTTTGCTAATCGATCATGAGGGCGATCCATGCGGGGCCCCTACGGTGCCCCTCATGGATTCGCCATAAGTGTGAGTGTTATTTTCAAAAAAAGTGAAAATATATTTTAATTAAAAACGCGTTTTTCATTGTTGTGAATCATTATAAACATTAATTTTTTGGTGATAAAAAAATATTTGACTTTTGGACTTAGAAAATTTTGCTAATCGATCATGAGGGCGATCCATGCGGGCCCCTACGGTGGCCCTCATCTATTTTGCCATAAGTGTGAGTGTTATTTTCAAAAAAGTGTAAATATATTTTTATTAAAAACGCGTTTTTCGTGGTTCTGAATCATTATAAACATTAATTTTTTGGTGATAAAAAAATATTTGAATTTTGGACTTAGAAAATTTTGCTAATCGATCATGAGGGCGATCCATGCGGGGCCCCTACGGTGCCCCTCATGGATTCGCCATATGGATCAGCCCTCATGGGCCCCCGCCGGGGGCCCCGAACTCTTGAGGGCAAGATCGTGGCTTTTTCCACACGGGTTCTTTTAAAAAATAAAATTTTATTTTTGCTGATTTTTTATTATTATTATTATTATTTAAGTTTTTATCAATATTTATTTATTTATTATTATTGTAGAAATAAAAAAAAATTAATAAATAAAATACGGAAAAAAAAATTTTATTTAACAAAATAATTGTTTACTTGAATCAAATAATTTTTATTTCAATTAAATAAATTGTAGTTTTAACCAATAATTTCTGTATTTTTAAAACTTAGAGCTTAATAAATATTTATTTGACTCAAAAAAAAATTTTTATTTGATTTAGGTAAATAAATTTTTATTTGATTTTAATATATTTTTATTTGATTTAAATAAAAAAATTTATTTACGCCAAATAAATATAGGCTAGTTGGCTGTGCGGGAAAAATATACGTTTATGTAACTCAAATATATTATATATTTGATTTAAATAAAACTGAGTGTAATTATTTAATAAAAATAAATATTTATTTACATCCAGAGAAATTATAAATTATAAAAATTATATATTTATATTGTCTGAGGGCCTAATAAAAATATTTATTTATTTCAAGTAAATTTTATTTAGTTATACATTTTATTTGGTTTAAGTAAAATTTTATTTGTGCTATATAAAATTTGTTATTTGAAACAATAATAAAAAAAATTATTAGACTTTGAGAAACAAAATAAATTTTTAAGTTTTTTTTTTTTATAATTTTTTTCTTTTTTGATTCAAATAAATTTTTATCCCAAATAAATGAAAATAAAATATTTCTTCAATATGTCATATTAGTAAAAAAAAACCTATTATTTGTATCAAATATAAATTTAGATAATAATTAATTAATTAAACATTTAGTTAATAAAATGTTAAATTACCAATAAAATAGCTATTTATGAAATTGAAAATCAAGTTAATAGAACAAACATGAAAAAAAAAGATCCTTTTCCTTTTGGGGTTAAATATTGTGTTGCACTCGAATTGGAAAAATTTAATTATATCACTTCCGGTAATAATTTTTTTTTTTTTGACGAGGTCAATTTATATAAAGCAATAATTATGAAATCATAAGTTGAATAGTTCTTTTTTCCATTTGACACGGGCGTTCAACTTTTTTTTTAGTAATTGTATATAGAATAAATATACTTTCGCTTATAACTACCAATATTACAACCGGTTCACTTTTCACTTGCGACAGTTTCTGTTTATAAGTATCAGTTTTTCGCATATATAAACGCGAGAGAAAAAAAAATCGAATGACAAATAATAATCATCATTATTGATTCTATACCAAAAAAAAAAAAAAAAAAAAAAAAAAAAATTTAACGAATTGTTTTTTTTTAATTCCTAATTGAATTATAAATTTACAAATTTGCAAATACTTTTCAATTCTGAATATTAAACATTTTTTTATTTTAATATCTTGTGTATATTAAATATTTTTTATATTAAATAATTTTTTTGTAATAATTAATAATTAATAGTAATAATAATAATAATAATAATAATAATAATAATAATTAATCATTTTTTTCATATTTGTATACTATATAATTTTTTATTAAATAATGTATAAAGATATTTTTTATTAAATATTTTGCATATTAAATAAATTTTTAAAACGTTCAAAATTTAATTTTTTTTTTGAAATATTACAATTTTATAAATGTCTGTAATTTAGAAGATTTGAATTTTTTTTATGTTTATTAAACTTTGTATAAAACTTAATTATATTATATAATTTATTAATATTATTCACATTGAACTTATTGAGGAATGTGAAAAATAAAAATGTACAAATTCCGAAATCTTTAAATTTTTAGAAAATATTGAAATTTAAATATTAAAAATTAAATTAAAAAATTGTAAAAACCTATATATGTAATGTATATAAAGAAAATAAAATTATTATTGTTATTATTATTATTAAAAATTAAATATTAAAAATTTGAAGTTTTTCAAAAATTTCAAATTTCCATATTCTGAAATATTGAACTAAATTTTTAAATATTTAATTTTTTTTTAATTTAGAATTTAAAATAATTTTTTAATTTAAATTTTAAATAATTTTTTAATTTTCAAAATTTAAAAACTAATTTAATTTAAATTTAAATTACAAAAAATTAAAAAATTTACAAGCAATCCAAAATTAAAGTTTTTCTATTTATATTTTCAATTGTCGAAAAATAAAAATTTTCCCATTTTGATTAACGTCGATATTAAATTTTTGAAAACAAGTATTTTCAAATTAACACAATTTCAATTTAGAAATTTTGACCGTGAGTTAGATTTAAAATTAAATTCAAATTTCAAATATTGTCCAAATTTCAAAACGTTAAATACTTTATTTTTTATTTCTACTTTTAAATTAAAGAAAATATAATTTTTTAATTTATAAATTTTTGAAAATTAAAATTATTATTTTAAAACTTGTATACAAACCAAAAAAAGAAAATAAATAAATAATAAATTTTGTTTTATAAATAAATAAAAAAAAAATATATATCCACTAATATTTTTAAATATTAAAATATTGATCACCACAGTTATATATATATATTAAAGAAGGGGATAAACATGGCAAATTGGCGGTATTTTTAAAAATAAAATTAAATCACACTCACTTCACTTATGAAATTAAAAGACACAATAATTGCACTCGAAGATTTTCAATATGAGAATTGAGTTAGCAGTAAACTCAGACACACAATATATTATATGAATAAATAATTAATTCAATGAAATTATAAACGTCAATAGAATGTGACTAAAATAATAAATATTATTAACATCAATTTTGAAGGATCGATACATTACAAGAATAATAAAAATTAAAAAATAAATAAATAAATAAAAAGAACAAGAATAAAAGAACTTCACGTGAAACACGACGGACTGTACGGATTCTTGAAGAATGATTTTTTCGTGGTCAACGGCCGTACACGGGGGGGCCTTACAAGAAGAAGGGGTAATATACATAGTTTCATTCATAGGCGTCGAGTCCTCTTGTTTCATATTGGGTCCTATGTCAATAATTATAAAAAAAAAATATTTTTTTTTTTACTGTACAATGAAAAAAAAAATATTTTTCGTTTTCAAATAATCGTTTATCAAAATATTTATTTTTATCAAATAATTTTTTTTTAATTTATTCAAATAAACTGTATTCGAATCAACGCACAGAAAAATGATATATTTGTCTTAGAGCCAAATAAGTATTTATTTGATTCAAATAAATATATTTATTTGAATTATATAAATTTTTATTTGATTTAAATAAAAAAAAAAAAATTATTTAATATAATTTCTGTATTAAAAATAAATAGCTTTTAATTCAAAATAATAATTATTATTTGATACAAAATATTTATTTGATACCAATATTTATTTAATAAAAATATTTATTTGGTACGAATATTTATTTTGTACAAATATTTATTTAATACAAATAAATTATTTTCATTATTTGAATAAATTATGAAAATATTTTAAATCATAAATAAATTTTGTTTTTCTTATGTTATGAGAAAAATTAATTTTATTTTTTATAATTTGCTTATCAAATTAATTTGTTTTACTTAATTATTTTCTATAGTTTTGCAAAACTCAAATTTAATTTGTTAAATTTTCCTTGGATTATTGTGAGAAAAATTACTGTTATAATTGTAACTATATATATATATATATGTTGAGAAGCTTTTAAATTTAAATTCAACATGACATTTAAAAGCAATCAGTGTGGGATCAATTTACTCCATTAAATTAAATTAACAAATTATCAAAGATAATAATAGCAATAATAAAATTGACATATTTTTTTTTGTTAATTAATTTAATTTATTTATTTGTAATTTACGAGTAATATTTGGAAAGAAATAATGGAATATAAAATTTTTAAAGAAATTAAATTAAAAATAGAAGATATATTGAATTTGAAAATTTAATTTAACGACCTGTTTATATTATTTTTTTTATTATTTTATTATAATTTATTGTTATAACAGTAAATATTATAAACAACCGTTTGAATTACAATAAATAAAAAAATATTGAGAATTAAGAATTAATTATAATTAATATCTAATTAATAATAATTACAAATTACTAATTACTAATTACTAAGTACTAATTACTACTTACTAAGTACTAATTACTAATTACTAAATACTAATTACTAACTACTAATTACTAGTTTCTACTTACTAAATACTAATTACTAATTACTAGTTTCTACTTACTAAATACTAATTACTAATTACTACTTACTACTTACTAATTACTAGTTACTACTTACTAAATATTAATTACTAATCACTACTTACTACTTACTAAATATTAATTACTAATTACTACTTACTAAATACTAATTATTAATTACTAAAAACTAATTACTACTTACTACTTACTAATTACTAGTTACTACTTACTGAATGCTTATTATTAATTACTAAATACTAATTAATACTTACTACTTACTAATTACTAGATACTACCTAATTAATACTAATTACTAATTGCTAGTTACTACTTACTACTTACTAAATACTAGTTACTACTTACTAAAAACTAATTACTTATTACTAATTACTAATTACTACTTACTACTTACTACTCACTAGTTACAACTTACTAAATACTACTTACTAAATACTATTTACTAAATACTACTTACTACTTACTACTTACTAGTTACTACTTACTAAAAACTAATTACTAAATACTAATTACTACTTACTACTTACTACTTACTAATTACTACTTACTACTTACTAATTACTAGTTACTACTTACTAAATATTAATTACTAATCACTACTTACTACTTACTAAATATTAATTACTAATTACTACTTACTAAATACTAATTATTAATTACTAAAAACTAATTACTACTTACTACTTACTAATTACTAGTTACTACTTACTGAATGCTTATTATTAATTACTAAATACTAATTAATACTTACTACTTACTAATTACTAGATACTACCTAATTAATACTAATTACTAATTGCTAGTTACTACTTACTACTTACTAAATACTAGTTACTACTTACTAAAAACTAATTACTTATTACTAATTACTAATTACTACTTACTACTTACTACTCACTAGTTACTACTTACTAAATATTAATAACTAATTACTACTTACTAAATACTAATAACTAATTACTACTTACTAAATACTAATTATTAATCACTAAAAACTAATTACTTATTAATAATTACTAATTACTACTTACTACTTACTAAATACTACTTACTACTCACTACTTACTACTTACTACTTACTACTTACTACTTACTACTTACTACTTACTACTTACTACTTACTACTTACTACTTACTACTTACTACTTACTACTTACTACTTACTACTTACTACTTACTACTTACTACTTACTACTTACTACTTACTACTTACTACTTACTAAAAACTAAATACTAATTACTAATTACTACTTACTACTTACTACTTACTAATTACTAGTTACTACTTACTAAATATTAATTACTAATTACTACTTACTAAATACTAATTACTAAAAACTAATTACTACTTACTACTTACTACTTACTAAATACTACTTACTAAATACTGCTTATTAAATACTACTTACTACTTACTAGTTACAACTTACTAAATACTACTTACTAAATACTATTTACTAAATACTACTTACTACTTACTACTTACTAGTTACTACTTACTAAAAACTAATTACTAAATACTAATTACTACTTACTACTTACTAATTACTACTTACTAAATATTAATTACTAATTACTACTTACTAAATACTAATTATTAATTACTAAAAACTAATTACTTATTAATAATTACTACTTACTACTTACTAAATACTATTTACTAAATACTACTTACTACCTACTACTTACTACTTACTAAAAACTAATTACTAAATACTAATTACTAATTACTACTTACTAATTACTAATTACTAGTTACTACTTACTAAATACTAATTACTAATTACTAATTATTTGAAATCAAATAAAAAATTTTTTTTTGATAATTTTTTATAAACATTGATTTTTTTTTTAAAATTAATTCGCCGCCAATGGAATAAGCACACGCACATTATCATTTCAAGAGATGAAGATGTCCTGCGAAGATGAATATCAAATAATAATTCAGACTCCTTTCTCCTCTTTTCTCACCAGAGGTGGAATATATTGTGTGTGACGTCTGTCTATATATATTCATTTCACCAATCAATTTATAATAATTTGCTTTCTCCATTTGCGGTGTATTTTGAGAGGCGCACGTTTTATTATATATATATATATTTTACACACAATTCCAAATTTTGTGACACACTTTTTTTTTTTGCAATCCATATATAGGTAATTATTTTATTATTCAAAATTTATTTCAAGTTCATAAATATATAATATTTCTAATTTTAAAAAGAAATTTTGTTTTTCTATTATTTATCTTCTTTTATTGGAATTTTATTTAAATATTTCATTTTTTTCGTGCATTTATTAATAAAATTAACATATCATATACATATTTTTGTTCACTAAGTTATAGGTATTCGTTTTTTTTTTTGAAAATTTGTCATTGTAATTTTTTTTTAAGTATAAATAGTTGACTAATTTATTTTTTACAAGGAACTTTTAATTTTTAAATTAATTCATTTCATTTATTTTATATATAATAATAAAATTAATAGTCGGAGCCAAATAAATATTTATTTGTTTCAAATAAATATTTAATTGTTGCAAATTAATTTTTATTTGATTTAAATAAAAATTTTATTTATGATAAATAAAAATTTTTATTTACACCAAATAAATAATTTTAGTAGGCTCTGAGAGACAAATATCCGTTTATTTAACACAAATATATATTTTATTTGGTACAAATAAATCATTTCTATGGGTGTACATTGTCCTATAAATATTTAAATAATTTATAATTAATTAAGTAAAAATTTTCTCTCAATAAAAAAAATTTTTATATTATATATTTTATATATATATATATATATATATATTTATTTATTTATTAATAATTTTTTGAATATAAAATATATTATACAAATTAGAAATTAATAATAAAGTCCAAACACTGTAAAATAAATATCTTCTTGTCCCTCTCTCACTCTCACACACCCTTAAAGCAAGAAAATTTCATAGCTACTTGCTTGCTTGTCAGAAAGAAAAATTGCATAAGTGCAGGCGTAAAATTTATTTCGACAAATTTTTTACAGAGCAGATAATCGAAATCGACTTTCTGATAGCATAATGATATTAATTTTATTAAAAAAAATTTTTCATAGTTATAAAAAATAGGCATTAAAATTTTAATTAAATTTTGAAAATAAAAATAATAATTTTATTATAAAATTATATGAAAAAAAAAATTGATATACAAAATTATATAAAAAAAAATTGATATACCTATACATATATAATTATATATGAAAAATGATATTATAAAATTATTATTAAATAATAATTTTATAAATTTTCTTTCAATTATGAAAATAGAAATAATTTAAAACATTTTTTTTTAATTCCAATAATAAAATTTAATAAACAATAACTAGACACGCATATAAATGTCGTTAAAAAATATTTTCTAGAAAAATACATAAAAATATAAAACCAAAGTTTTAATAATTAGGAAAAAAGAAAATTAAAGTCTGCATTCCAAATTCAACTTTTTAAATTATAATATAATTAATCAAATTTTTTTTAATTAATTAATTAATGTAGAATTATTAAATTTTGACATTAAATACATCACTCGGTCATTTAATAAAGATTTAACATTTTTTGCCCAAAGAAAATCTAAATGAGTAAATTTTGGATCTGACACTTTTTCAAGCGTAAAAACATTTGGCAGATGCTTTTTCAGTTCTTCACTGTCCTAAAAAAAAAAAAAATCGGAAACAAAATTTTTATGAATTATTTCAGTTTTTTTTTTTTTTAATATAAAAACATTAAAAAAAATGAAACAAAAAATAATTATAATTAAAAATAAAAACTTACTTCTTTTGTTGAAAGAACATCACCTCCACCATAAATTAAAGCGACTGGTATTTTAATATTTTGAAAATTATATAAAGGCGGTTTATATTGGCCATAAATAACCAAATTTTTTGCTCTTCCATAATCAAATTGTCGTAAATCTCCTGAAAATCATTGGAAATTGTATTTTTTTTTTTTTTTTTTTTTGATAACATAAAATATAATTTTTCGTTTAATTGAAATTGAAAATGAAAATATAGCGATTAATTTACATTGCAAATTCGTTATAATTTAACATACCTGATTTTATAATTTGATAAAAATGATACACTAAATGAATCGACGTGCCCGCTGGAGCATAGGACAAAATATATGGCAATGAATTCTGAAATAGTAATTATTACATTTTTATATTTAAATTATTTTACATATATAGAAATAAAAATTTTATTTAAAAAAAAAATATATTAAAAATAAGAATTTTTGTTTATTTTTTAAATAATTTTTTAGTTTCTTTTCTTTTTTGTACTAAAATATTTTATATTAGATTCAATGTTATTTTTTTATTCTACACCCATAGAAATGATAATAAATCTCACAGCCTAATAAATATTTATTTGATTCAAATAAATTTTTATTTGATTTAAGCAAAAAAATTTATTTACGACAAATAAATAAACTAGTAGGCTGTGAGACAAATTAACAGATAAATTTTTATATTTATTTATTTACATGGAAAAAAAATTTATCTGAAACAGCGAAAGGTTTCACTAGAATAGCGAAGAATTTAACTAGTAGCAAGTAAAACTTTTGCTACTGTAGTGAAACGTTTCGCTTTTCCAGGTAAATTTTTTTACCGTGTATTTTTAAGCATCTATATATTTATTTTATTATTTTAATTCAGTTTTATTTGTACTAAATAAACTTTATTTGATCTAGTAATAAATGAAGAAATAGTAAATATTAATAATAATAATAATAATAATAATAGTAATTATTATTATTATTTTTATAAACAAATACCACTTAATTGACTCAAATAATAATTATTTAATAAAAAAATAAATATTTGATAATAGTTCAGTAATCGATTATTTGAATCAAATAAAAATTTTTTCAATTTTTATAATTCGAAAATTATTAAATACCTTATTTAATTGATCCAAATTATATCCACTTAATAATGTGAGAATTTTAACGCAAATTGGTTGCAATTGTGAAACTTTACTACAAAGTGACGTACCACTTTTAATTCCTGCCTTTGACAATGGAAATAATTCGTAGATTTGTTTTTTTTCCAATATTTTCTGAAATGAAAAATTGTTTATTATTATTTTTTTTTCACCCAAAAAATTACATTAAAAAATCTCTGATGAATAAAGTAGAAAAATATTTTTCTAATATAGATAAAAAAAAAAAGAAAGTTGATAAAGTCGATTTTAAAAATAGTTTTTATTTTTATTTATTTATTTAGTTTTAATTGAAAAAAATAAAAGCAATATTTTTATAAAAATTATATTTATTAAAAAAATAAACCTTTACAACAGGAACAGATTTAATAATAGATTGAAGAAATGGCGTTGGTTTATGTTGCCAAAATGCAATTGGACTTAAACAAATGTTAAATTTAATTTTTTCATTATATTCTGGTTTTGTTGATAAAAGAATAAGACTCATTGTTGTTCCCATTGAATGGCCAATGTATGTCAAATTTTGTTCTCCAGTTTTATCCAAAATATAATCAATTGATGCTGCAACATCGTAGAGCGCAATTTCATGGAAGCTAAAATTTTTTTTTTATTTTTTATAATTATTTTTAATTTCTAAAAATTCTTTTATTAAAAAAAAAAAACGAACATCATTGTATAATAAATTTTAATCAAATTTTTAATTTTTATAATACTCTATATATATATATATTTTTTTTTTTACAAAAAAAATCTGAAATCAAAATGATTTTTTTTTATTTTTATTATTGTATACACTTATTTTTTACCTGTACTTCCAAAATTGAGGATTACGATCAGGAGATAGTGTTTTATGAGCTCTAGAATAGGTATTTCCTCGTACGTTTCCAATCCATACATCGTAGCCGGCATTGGCTAATAAAAATGCTGTAAAATATATACACTGAAAAAAAAATTTATTTGATTCAAATACCGGTGTATTTGGTTATTATCAAATAAATATTTACTTGAATCAAATATTTCTTATTTGAATCAAATATATAATATTTGAATCAAATATTTCAGTATTTGAAGCAAATACCATTTATTTGATTCAAATAAGAAATATTTGATTCAAGTAAATATTTATTTGATAATAACCAAATACACCGGTATTTGAATCAAATAAATTTTTTTTTCAGTGTATAAACATAAATTTGGTTTTTAAAAAAAAGGTGATAAAAAATATATATAAATTTAATTAGTTTTTTTTGTGAAATTTTAAATATAAATAATTTTTAATATTTTAAAATATATGTTTTTTCAAAAAAATACTAAAAATTTATTTGTGTTAAGTAATTATTTATTTGTATTAACTAATTATTTACTTGTATCAAATAATTATTTATTTGTATCAACTAATTATTTATTTGTATCAACTAATTATTTATTTGTTTCAACTAATTATTTTTTTGTATCAACTAATTACATATTTATTTACATCAACTAATTTTTTTTTGTTTCAAACTAATTATTTATTTGTATCAACTAATTATTTATTTGCTTCAACGAATTATTTCTTTGTATTAACTAATTACCTATTTATTTGCATCAACTAATTATTTATTTGTTTCAAACTAATTATTTATTTGTATCAATTAATTATTTACTTGTATCAAATAATAATTTATTTTTATCAACTAATTATTTATTTGCTTCAACTAATTATTTTTTTGTTTCAACTAATTAAATATTTATTTGTATCAACTAATTATTTATTTGTTTCAACTAATTATTTTTTTGTATCAACTAATTACATATTTATTTACATCAACTAATTTTTTTTTTGTTTCAAACTAATTATTTATTTGTATCAACTAATTATTTATTTGCTTCAACTAATTATTTCTTTGTATTAACTAATTACCTATTTATTTGCATCAACTAATTATTTATTTGTTTCAAACTAATTATTTATTTGTATCAATTAATTATTTACTTGTATCAAATAATAATTTATTTTTATCAACTAATTATTTATTTGCTTCAACTAATTATTTTTTTGTTTCAACTAATTAAATATTTATTTGTATCAAATAATTATTATTTGAATCAATTAGAAGGTATTTGTTGTAAAAACAGAATTAAATTTATTCCAATATATTTTATTTCATTCATATATTTGATTCAAATAAAATTTATTTGCTCCAAATAAATATTTATTTTGTTAATAGCCAAGTAACAAATTATTTGAACCAAAAAGTTTTTTTTTCAATATAAAGTATTCACGAATTAATTAAAAAAAAATTTGTTTTTTTTTGCTTAAAAAAACGTACCTAAATCTCTGTTAGGACCCATTAAGACAAAAGTGTCGGATGAAGCGAGGAGACCATGTTGCATAAAAACAGCTGGTTTTCCTTCCGATTTTGGCTTAGAGGGACTGCCTGGTATCCGGTGAATTTTTAAAATATAACGATCCTTCGTTGTGACTACATGTTCCTCTGCCGGATACCCGTGCCGTTCAACTAATCCAATCTAAAAAAAAACCTTATCAATTTTTTTTTATCGAAATAGCAAATTTAAATAATATTTGCCATCAACTAAATGTCAGTTATATTTAGATTTCACTATTAATCTGTTTTACCGATTAAAGTCAAACCAGTCAAACCTGCATTATCATTAATCGGTAAAACAGATTAACACTGAAATATGATTTACTAATTAATAATCTAATAACAATTAATATAAAAAGTACTGAAATTAAAATTACACAATAATTAGAGAAAAAGAAATTTGTTTCCTTACAAAATCAAGAATGGCAAATTCTTTTGATGATCTAGCTTCTTCAATATTTCGCACCCGAGAAACATTTCCTCCTTTTCCTAACATTACGTCAAATAATAATGAATAGGCTCTACAATTTAATGGAAAATAGAATAGAAGAATAATATAAAAAAACAACATTTTTTTTTTCTATTTAAAATTTTACAATTGTCTCTATAGATACAGTAACACTGAAAATGAATGAATTTTATACTGTACAAGAGAATTTATATTATGTTTTGTGTTATCATTTTATAATTATCATTCTGTTTTATAATTAAAAAAAAATCAAATACTTTCTCATTATGATAAAAAAATGGAATTTTTCTCACTTAAATCAGGGGGAAATTTTTTTTGCTCGCAATATGCATTAATTATTTTTTTTTAAATAAACTAAAAAATAATGGAATTTCCCTTAATCATCACTATCAACCCCCCAATCAAATTTCGAAAATTCCATGCAATATGTAATTTTTAATTAATATTTATTATTTATTCAACAAAGTAATATAAATTAAAATGTATTTTTTTAAATGAAAAAGAGAAATACATGTGAGTCAGAATTTATGAAGGGGCCCACTTTATACTGTCATTTTCTTGTTTTACCGAAAGTCAGTAATGTAGAATTCTATGTCGGTAATTTTTATACCATATTTTTCTTTTTTTACCGACAGTCGGTAATGTAGATTTCTATCTCGGTTATTTTTATATCTTCATTTTTATATTTACCGGTAGTCGGTAATGTAGCAGTCTGTGTCGGTAATTTTAGCCATGATTCTATTTCCACGCGAAATTTACGTTTGCTTAATTAAATGTACAATTTAATGCAATTATGATAGATTAAAATTTTTATTGAGTTTTTTTATTTTTAAATATTTTTCAGAACATTGAGTGGAATTAAATAAAATTTTAAAATAAATTATATTGATAAATTTTTAAATTTAAATTCAACATGACATTTTATACATAATCGATATGAATTTATTTATTCATTAAATTAAAATTAATATTTTTATTATATGAATTCCTGTTTTATGAGAAATTGTAGATTATTTTATATAAAATAAAAATTTAATTCTTTTTTTCTTTAAATTATATTTAACAGAATTTTTTATCAACGAAATTAATTTTATAATGTTTAATTAATTTTTCTATTGTATATATAAATTTGTCATGTCACACAATGTATTGTCGAATTTATTTATTAATTTTAATATTATACAATATTAATTTACATAAATGTAAATTTACATTTAAACTGATTATTGTAATTTTAATTTTTTTTATAAATTTTTTTTTTTACCTATAACTTAACAAAAAATAGTAGTGACTGCTTTCTAAATTTTAATTAGTGGAAATTTCTACTAATTTTCAGTCATTTTTCACTAAAATTTTAGTAAAACAAAATTTACTAAATCAAATAGAAATATTAATAAATAAATTTTACTAAAAATACTTTCTTTATGAGAAAATAAAATTTAGTGAAAAATTTCTACTAATTTTCAGTCATTTTTTAACTGAAATTTTAGTTTTAAATTTAAATTTAAAAAAAAATTACTAAATCAAATAGTAATATTTTTTTTTTACTAAATATACTTTCTTTTATGAGAAAGAAAAATTAGTGAAAATTTCCACTAATTTGAATTATTACATTTTTACTAATTTAAATTTAAAGATCGCTTATCGGAAAGAATATTTGCATAAGTATAGGCGTAAAATTAATTTAAACATTAACTTTTTTTAACGTTATATAGCGACATACATAATTTTTCAATAAAATTATAGATACTTTTTTTAATTCTAATTAATCGACAAAAATTTCTTGCAATATAATCAAAATTTACTTAATAATAATTTATCAAAAGATATTAATTTTTATTTATAAATTTAAAAATTTTTATAATAGTTAAAACAAAAAAGTTATTAAAACTTTTTGAATTTTTATCCTCTTAAAATAATAATTTTTTTTTTATTTTATATACTTAAAAAATAATCTTAAAAAAAAAATTTAATTATATTTACAATAATAAAAAGTTATTAAACAATGACTAGACTCATGTTTACGTCGTTTTAAAATATTTTCACAAAAAAAAAATAATATAAAACTCTAGTTTTTATATTTTCAAAAAAAAAAAAAAAAGATCAGTCTGCGTTCAAGTTCAACTTTTTAAACTCTAATTAATCGAATTAATTTTTAATATTATTAATAATTAATAATAATTATTACTAATTATTACTAATTATTAATTATTAATTATTAATTATTAATTATTAATTATTAATTATTAATTATTAATTATTAATTATTAATTATTAATTATTAATTATTAATTATTAATTATTAATTATTAATTATTAATTATTAATTATTAATTATTAATTATTAATTAATAATAATTATTAATAATTATTTATTAATTATTAAGTATTAATTAGTAATAATTATTAATAATTATTAATTACTAGGTATTAATTATTATTATTATTATTAATTTTAATTAAGCGAATTTTTTGATCGAATTTTAGAATTTTGACATTAATTTTAATATTCGATCATTTAATAAAGATTTAACATTTCTCGCCCAAATAAAGTCCAAGTGACTAAAATTTGGATGAGGCACTTTTTCAAGTGTTACAACATTTGGCAGTAGTTTTTTTAACTCTTCACTGTCCTGGAACAAAAAAAAAAATACATTTGATTAATTAATTTATTAATTAATTACAAAAAAAATATTATTGCACTAAAATTTTTTTTTTTTTTTTTTGTATCATTTATAAAATGATAATTTACTTCTCTCGTTGAAATAACATCGCCACCGCCATAAATTAAAGCAACTGGCGTTTGAACATTTTTTAAATTGTACAAAGGCGGTTTCTCTTGGCCATAAGTTAGAAAATTTTTTTCTCCCCCATAATCAAATTGTTGAAATTCACCTGGAAAATTATTGTGAAAAAAAAAAAATTTTTTTTATTTCATTATTATGTATTTTTTTTTAAAAAAAATATTTTTGTGAAATATAATTTTTATGAGTGGAAATTGAAATTGGTGATTAATTCATAACTCGTGCAATTTGCGAATAATTTATATATACATATAATAACGAGTGAACAATTAAATACCATACCTGAGGCAATGTTTTGATAGAAATGATACATTATTTGAACTGATGTGCCAGAAGGAAAATAGGAAAAAATATATGGCAATGCTTTCTGAAAAAAAAAAAAAAATGCAATTATTAATCATTCGTTAAAATTATTTTTTATATTAAAAAAAAATATTACAATTTATTTTTCAATGATAAAATTTAAATTTTAAATATTCACTTTTTTTTTTATAAAAATAAATTTACAAAATATACGGTATAATGTTTTCTAAAAAAAAAATTATTCTTCCATTAAAATTATTTTTCTATTAAAAAACGAAAATGAAATTTTAATTACAGTTTAAAAAAAAAAATATGAAATTTATTTTTCAATAATATTATTAAAATATTAATATTTAATTTTAATACTTTTTTTTTCAAAAATGTAATTTTTTAATGTTCAAAAATTATTATAAATATACCGTATTTAATTGCTCTAAATCATATCCACTTATTAATAAAATAAGACTAATGCAAAATGGTTGTAGAATGGAAATTTCACTACAAAATGCCATTCCAGTTTTAATTCCCTCCTTGGATAATGGAAAAAATTCGTTTATTTGATTTTTTTGCAATATTTTCTGAAAAATACAAAATTTTTTTATTAATATTTTATTTTTTTTTGAAAAATAAAATTGTATATAAAATTAAGAAAATCACCTGTAAAAGGGGAGTTGAATTGACGACAATATTAAAAAATGGCGTTCGTTTATGCCGCCATGATGCAACTGGACTTAAACAAATGTTAAATTTAATTTTTTCATTATATTCCGGTTTTTCTGATAAAAGAACATAACTAATTGTTGTTCCCATTGAATGGCCAATGTATGTCAAATTTTTCTCGCCAGTTTTTTTCAAAATATAATCAATTGACGCTGATACATCGTAAACTGCAATTTCGTGGAAACTGTAAAAAAAAAAAAAAAAAATTTCTTTCATTTTTGAAATAAAAAAAAATTTCGTGGAAGCTGCAAAAAATTTTTTCTTTCATTATTATTTTTTTTTTCATTTTTAAAATAAAAAAAAAAAAAAAAATTTCGTGGATGCTGCAAAAAAATTTTCTTCCATTATTTTTTTTTTATTTTGAAAATAAAAAATCTTTTTTTTTATATTAAATAGATAATTATAAATAATTTCAAAAAAAAATTGAAGATCTTTTATTTTTCATTTTTTAAAATTTCATTTCATTATAAAATTAATTCTAATTACTTAATGTTTTTTTTTTTTTAATAATAATTTAATTTAATTTGAAGCAGATAAATTGGTGAGTGAATTTACCCGCAATGAATAAAATAACCCCGTCTTACGGTACTAGCTTACGTAATCTCTTATGTACGATTGAGGAAATCATTATCATAATTTTTGAAAATTTCGTGATGTCCATATCAAAAAAAAAAAAAAAAAAAAATTTGATTTACAATAATTGATCATTGTAATAAGTGATGAACTCAATTATATACATAATTTAGTAATTATTTATTATTATAAATAATATTATAATTATTAATTATTATAATTATTATTATAAATATAATTTACTCTCAAACATATAATAATATATTTTTTCTTATAATAATATAAATATTAAAATAATAATTATTATAAATATACATTTTTTTTCCAAATACACAAAAATTCATAAATCAAAATAATTTTTAAAAAATTATTGTACACTGAAAAAAAAATTTATTTAATTCAAATACTCGATTATTATTAAATAAATATTTATTTGTATCAAATAATTATTATTTCAATAAATTAAATTGTGTACTTATTTCAAATATAAAAATTATTGCTTCAAATATAATTTATTTAATTCAAATAAAAAATTATTTGGTTCAAGTAAATATTTATTTGATAATATAATTTAAGTAATCGAGTGTTTAAATTAAATAAAATATTTTTTTTTCAATCTATATTTGTTTTTTACCTGAACTTCCAAAATTTAGAATCACGATCAGGAGATAGTGTTTTATGAGCTCTAGAATATGTATTTCCTCGAACATTTCCAATCCAAACATCGTAGCCGGCATTTGCTAATAAAAATGCTACAATAAAACATAAATTTATTTTTTTTTTTTTAAAAAAAAGGTGATTAAATAATTAAATTTAAACAATGAAAATAAAAAATTATCCATTTATTTTCTTTTTTTCCTCATCTTTGATATAATAGCAAAATTCTGACAAACTGAAGATCAATATTAATGATTCAATTTTTTTTTTTCATTTATGTATTAGAATTAAAAATAATTACTATTTTCCTGTTCATTCAATAAAAAATCTCGAATTTATAATTTTTTTCCTGATCTTTCAACTTGAATCGATTATTTTTTTAAATATGAATTTTGATTAAATCATGATTATGATTTTTCTATTCAATTAAGACGAATATTCCATTGTTTTGGTATTGGAAAATTTTTTTTTTAAAATGTATTATATATAAATAAATATTATTAATAATAAAATTATAATTATAATTACTAATATTATTATTAATATTTTTATTATTATTATTTTTTATTTACTATTAATATTATTTATTAATTAAAATTAAACAATTATTTATTTATTTATTTAAATATATAAATAAATAACAAAAAACATTACTTTTATTTTTAATGTTGTAATATTAAATAATAAAATTATCTAATATAATAATGAAGTGACATTTGAAATTAAGTCATTGTAAATATATAATAAAGTCATCATTGTCATCATAAAACAAAGAAAATGTAAAAGAATTATTTTTTGAAAAATTCTTTCCCAATGATAATTTGATAAAACATTTTATGTGCGATAATTTATAGATTGTGCGTTTTTTATTATTATTATTATTATTATTGATATATAATTATTATCGCAATCATTTATCTGGTTCATCTTGACCTAAATTTCACGAAAGTTGAGATTATCAAGTTCATTGCAGGGCAACTAACGTGACACGTTTACCTTGTCAGTGCCCTTCAATTATTATTTGCAGTTACAATTATTTCTTATATTTTTATTCAATAAACGATATAGAATATAGTTTTGTATATTAATTCTGGTAAAAAAAATTAAATTTACTCTCAAACATATAATAATATATTTTTTCTTATCTATACAAAAAAATATAATAAAAATATTTTTTTAAAATTAAATAAATAATATTTATTAATATTGAATTAAACAATAATTAAAATTTTTAAAAAATAAATAGAAAAATAAAAAGTAAATTTCAACAATAAATAATAGAAAAAAAACAGCAAAAGTTTGACGAGTAAAAGATTTTGCATTGTCAAATGAATTATATAAAATTAATTTTGACTACAAAATGAAATTTTTTTTTTTTGGCTAAGAAAAACGTACCTAGATCTCTTTTAGGACCCATTAAGACAAAAGTGTCGGACGAAGCGAGGATACCATGTTGCATAAAAACAGCTGGTTTCCCTTCCGATTTTGGTTTAGAGGGACTGCCTGGTATCCGGTGAATTTTTAAAATATAACCATCCTTCGTTGTGACTACATGTTCCTCTGCCGGATACCCGTGCCGTTCAACTAATCCAATCTAAAAAAAAAAACCTTATCAATTTTTTTTTATCGAAATAGCAAATTTAAATAATATTTGCCATCAACTAAATGTATGATATATTTAGATTTCACTATTAATCTGTTTTACCGATTACAGCTAAAACAGTCAAACCATCATTATCATTAATCGGTAAAACAGATTAGTAGTGAAATCTGTTTTACCGATTAATCAAAAACGGATTTCACTATTAATCTGTTTTACCGATTAATCAGAAGCAGATTTCACTATTAATCTGTTTTACCGATTAATCAAAAGCAGATTTCACTATTAATCTGTTTTACCGATTACAGACAAAACAGTCAAACCTGCATTATCATTCATCGGTAAAACAGATTAGTAGTGAAATCTGTTTTACTGATTAATCAAAAACAGATTTCACTATTAATCTGTTTTACCGATTAATCAAAATCAGATTTCACTATTCACCTGTTTTAACGATTACCAGCAAAACAGTCAAACCTGCATTATCATTCATTGGTAAAACAGATTAATAGTTAAATTCTGTTTTCCGATTATTCAAAAACAGATTTCACTATTAATCTGTTTTACCGATTAATCAAAAACAGATTTCACTATTAATCTGTTTTACCGATTAATCAAAAACAGATTTCACTATTAATCTGTTTTACCGATTACCACCAAAACAGTCAAACCTGCATTATCACTAATCGGTAAAATAGATTAATAGTGAATTTTGTTTTTCATTTATCGATAAAACAGATTTCATTGTTAATCTGTTTTACCAATTAATAATCTAATAACAATCAATATAAAAATAATTTAAATTAAATTAAAATTAAACAATAATTAGGGAAAAAAAATTTTTGTTTTCTTACAAAATCAAGAATAATAAATAATAATAGAAAACTGTGAAAATAAAAAATAAAAAAACTAATTGTCACTAATTATGTAAAATTACACAAACATTTTTTTTTTTTTTTTTATCTTCCATGAATCGAATTTAATTAATTCAAAAAATAATTAATATTAGTTGTAAAATGAATTTAAAAAAAAATATATTAATAAAAAAAAATTGCATTTTGTTTTGTTTTTTTTATATATGAATTAAAAAAAAAATATAATTTTTTTTTTACTTTTAAAATAAAAATTCTTTTATTTACCATTTGTTTATTTTTGGAAACATTATTATAATATTTATTTATATTAATAATTTCACAATGTTTATAAAATATTATAAATAATAAATTATATGGTATATAAAAAGATATTTTTGTTTCCATAAAAAAAACATAAAGCCTGACAAATATTGACTTTAACTACTTGCAAGTGAATGAACCTTTGATATATAAAAAATTATTTTCGCCAACAGTAAAAGTTAAATAAAATTGATAATATAATACAATAAAAAATAATATAAAATAATAATAATAATAAAAATAATAATATAATAAAATTATATTATTATAAAATAATATAATATACTTCTTAAATAATCAACTTTTTTTACTATATTATATTTTTAATATAATTTAAAAAAAAGTAAATGACAATGAGTAATAATAGCATTTATTATATAGGTAAATTGTTATTTATTTATTTTATTTTACAAGTAATCAGGCTTACAAAAAAAAATTCCCTTTCGTATACTAAAAAGTACTAAATAATAAAAAAAATTTAATTATAATTTATAGGTATGTAATATATAAATATAATATAAATAATAATTTTATATTACAAAAAATATATATAAAAATAATATTATAATATTAGTTAACAAAAATACCATTTAAAGTAAATTAAAATTGGAGAAGAAAAAAAAATTTATTTTTCACTTACAAAATCAAGAATAGAGAATCGATTTAATGATCTAGCAGTCTCAATATTTCGTACTCGTTGAATATTTCCTCCTTTTCCAAAAATTACATCAAATATCAATGAATATGTATTGCAATTTATTGGAAAATAAATGCTGCATAGAAGAATGGAAAAAAGTAACATTTTTTTTTTTTTTTTTTTACACAAACTTTTCCAATTTTATATCCAAATAATTAAATGAAACTCCTGTAAAAAAAAAAATTATATAAATATTTTTTATAAACAATTTTTTTTTTTATTTTCAGATACTAACAACGTAATCAATAATAGCCTCGCCCCCCTCCTGGTATAAGGTACGTAACAAAAAACTCAATTTTTTTTTTTTTTTGAATTTGCACAAATTTTTTTTTATTTTAAGGGCATATAATAATTTTGTTTAAAAATAATATGTTAAAAAATTTTCAAACACTGAAAAAAAAAAATTTTCACATAATTTTAAGTTTCTAAAGAAAATAGAATTGTATATCGAAACGAATTGCATGTTACATTTTACTACTAATACTATACTATTTTCAACATTATCAGCTGAAAAATAATCACAATGCAAATTTTTTTAATAGACTTTAAAAAAATATATATAGACATAATGACAAAAAAAAACAAAAAAAATTTGAAATTTATTTTTCAATTTGAAAAAAATTCTCTTATTCAAAAAGAGGGCACATTAATAAATCCATAAAAATCATTAATTAAATCTTAAAAGGGCACACACGCTCATAAATTTGCATAACAAATTTTGGTCTCTGGAGTTAAAATTTTGAAATTTTTCAATATTAAAATTTCAACAGTTGATTCTTATCGTTTGAATTTGACAATGAAAATTTCAAAATTTTTAAACCAAAGGCCAAAACTTGCGATGCAAATAAATTAGAAATTTTTGACAGATTTTCTTTTTATACGTTTTTTTTAGATAATAAAAAATTTTTAGCAAATTTTTTAGCAGAATTTATGTTTTGGCAGAATTTTTATTTTACACTCTATTTTCTTTAGATGATTTTTTTATTTAAATGAATTTTAATTAAGGCGAACTTTCATAATTTAACAGAATTCTCATTCAATTGAATTTTATCTGATTTGAATTTTTAAAATGACAGAAATTCTCATTCATCGAATTTTAAATTTGTTGGAATTTTTATTTATACGAATTTTTAATTGATAGAATTTTTAAAACGTCAAATTTTCATTTGCGTCCGAAATGACAAATAACCGAATAGAAAATCGTCAGAAAGATTTCGGCGCAATTTTTTTTTGAAAATTGACCAAATTAGAAATTATTGAGAAAATCGTGATTGGTCAATTTTCAAAAATTGCGCCAAAATCTTTCTGTCGATTGTTTGTTCGGTTATTTGTAATTTCGGACAAATTAAAATTTGGACAAATAAAAATTCGGACAAATAAAAATTCGGACAAATAAAAATTTGGACAAATAAAAATTTGGACAAATAAAAATTCGGACAAATAAAAATTTGTACAAATAAAAATTCGGACAAATAAAAATTTGGACAAATAAAAATTCGGACAAATAAAAATTTGGACAAATAAAAATTTGGACAAATAAAAATTCGGACAAATAAAAATTTGGACAAATTAAAATTGGAATTTCTGTCACTTAAAAATTCAAATCAGATAAAATTCGATTGAATGAGAATTCTGATAAATTAAATTTAGTTCAATAAAATTCTTTCTTTGTTCGAATTTATTAAAATCTATCAAACGTTTATTTATAGATCAAATAAATATTTATTTGAATCAAACCAATTTTTTTCAAAATAATCAAAAAAAATTATATTAAAATATAAAAAAAACAGTTTAATTCAAATAAAATTTTTTTCTGAGAGTGAAAATAAAAATTAAAAAAAAAATTAAAAATAAAATATACCTTTTTTCAAATTTACCAAATTTTTATTTGCGGAAATATTAATTAATATTGGATAATTAATATAAGACACTATATATAGTTTAATTTAAGAAATTTTTCTTTACAGAAACAAAAAAAAAGTAAATATTAATTAACATAAGTCACTATATTGTTAAATTCAAAAAATTTATTGATTAAGGAAATAAAAATAAAAAGGATTATTAATATTGATTGATATAAAAGATACAAAATAGGATATAAAAATTGTAAGGTCATCTTCTGTTTATTTTTTTCATCAGAATAAATTCCAGAAAAGAAACAAGTTTTTTTTCTCATTTTTTCAAGGATACGATTATGCGCCAATATATATATACATCATAATTTTATAACATATAATATTCTGCAAACTGTAGGTACAAGCCAAAAAAAAAAAAAAAAAATTTTTTTTGTTTCAAAAAAAACCAGTTTTATCGTTTTCTTTTTTGTAATTTTTTTTTTTTTTTTTTTTTGAACCTGCGAAATTTCTTATAGGAAAAAGAATAACTTCCTTGATGAAAAAAAATGTATCTTTAATTTAGTCAGTTGATAAATTGAAAAAATTTTTTTTATATTTATATTTTGTCAATAAAAATGACTGTTCAAGGATCAGATTCTTTTTTTTTTTAATTGTATCAATACGATACAGGAAAAGAATAATCTGAAATTGAAAATATTCTTGGAATTTATTTTCGAGTATTTTGTATTGCAATATTTTATTCTTCAATTTAGTATATATTCTTAAATTACAAATAATAATTTTATTTTATATTTATTTTTTTTGTTTATTTATTTCTGTTTTCAAAAATATATCTATATATTTGAAACATATTCTTAAATTGAGAATACTTTCCTATTTTAGAAAATATTCTTAAATTGAGAATATTTCCCTATTTTAGATGGAAAAAAAAATTTACCTGGATCAGCGAAAGGTTTCACTAAAATAGAAAAATTTCTAGTTGTTTCAATTAAAACTTTTACTATTTTAGTGAAATTAATTCACTGTTTCAGATAAAAAAAAAATTTTCCGTTTAGAATACATTCTTAAATTTGAGAATATTTTCCTATTTTCGAAAATATTCTTAAATTGAAAATATTTTCCTATTTTCGAAAATATTCTTAAATTGAGAATATATTTTTTATTTAAAATGAATACTATACTAAATTCAAGGAAAATTACATTTAAATATAAATATTTAAAATATAAATAAACAATTAATATAAATATAAAACAAAAAACATGCAATAAAAAAAATGATTTAAAATAATAACAATCGAATGAAATTTAGAATGTTTATAAAATATGATATTAAGAAATAGAAAGTGAAAAGTAATTAAATTTTTGTAATGTATTTTTATATTATCAAAACAATTAAAATTCATTAACATTTTATAATCTACAACAGTCTTTAATAATTAATTTTCCATTTAACACAGAGTTAAAATTTTGAAATTTTGCCCCAAAAGAAAGTTCATTTATTTTACGCGGGAAAAATTTAAATATTTAAATGATTATTTCCGGTTTGTAAAAAATATGTCTATAGTAAAATAATATAAACAGAAATTGTAATTGAGAAAATTTTTTTTCGATACTATACAATATATTTATATTCACATAAATATAATAACATGACATTACATTTATTTTTCAAAAAAATAAATAAATAAACGGTAAATTTTATCGATTTTTAAAAATGTCATTTAATTGTAATTAATAATTTTATTATTTAAAAAAATTTTATAAAAAATAAAAAATATAGAAAAATAAAATAAAAAATATAGAAAAATTTATTTAAAAATACACTAACAATACACAAAAATATAGAAAATTAGTGAAAAAAAAAATTCCTCTTACCTGAAGTATTTTTCAAAATTCTGTTTGTGATTTTTTTTTCTATTTATACACTATTTTTTTTTTTTGTTGTAAATAATTGACACATCCTCTTTAAAACAAACTCTAAATTTTTGATTTCATCACATTCACATTTTCTGACATTCAATAAAAACTATTATAATTTATATAAAATAAATGTTAATTATTAATTTTCTTGTAAAAATAATTTATTTGACAGAATTAATTTTTATTAATTTCTTCTATACTTATTTTAAATTAAAATCATAATAATTATTTTAATTTTCAATTTTATATTTAAATACATTTAGTAAATTATTTTCGTTCAATCAATAAATACTCAATTTTTTAATTAAATTAAAATAATTTTTATTTTTAAATATATTACTATTGTTTTTTTTTCTGGTTGAAAATTATTTTCCTCTAATTATTATAAAATTAAAATTTCTGTTATTGGTAAAATTAAAAAAATTAAAATTACAAAATTTTTTGATAAAAATTAGTATTTGCAAAAAAAAAAAAAAAAATGGAATAAAATAAAAATTTACAAAATTAAAAAAAAAAATTTTTTTTTTTGAAAAAATTGTTTTAATTCTTTTTTGATATTTTCTGATTTGCTTCCTTTTTGAAGGGGAAGACGACTTACTCTCCCTATAACTGAGAGATGCGAACTTGAACTGAAACCGAACTGATCTTTCATCGCATAATATTGTAGAATTCAAGTTGCCGATCAAACGGGAGTTGACTGTTTATTTCTTTTCATTATTATTTCTCAGTTCTTCCCATTTACATTCAGTTTGCAAACTTCTTTTGTTCAAACGCTCACAGAATCACATGCATCTCATCTCTAATTTTATTCTGACGTTATAGATAAATACAAAAGAACAGTAAAAAAAAAATTTTCATTCAGAAAAAAGTCATTGTCTCACTGCCAAAAAATTAAAAATTAAAAAAAAAAAAACTAACTAAAAATAATTAAAAATTCAAAAAAAAATAATAATTAGAAAATTACAAAAAAATAGTCAATTTACTAAAAATTTAATTTAAATTGAAAAAATACAATAAAATAAATAAATAATAAAAATAATAATTTCAATTTTCATTTTTAAATAATATTTATAAAATAAATAATAATAATAATAATAATAATAATAATAATAATAATAATAATAATAATAATAATAATAATAATAATAATAATAATAATAATAATAATAATAATAATAATAATAATAATAATAATAATAATAATAATAATAAAATAATAAAATATAATTAAATATTTTAAACTTTAGTTTTCTTTAAGTTTATATTTTTGTAAATTTAAATTTATTTAATTAATTAACATATGAAGAGGGAAATAATTATTCTATAATTTATTGTATAATAATTTTAAAAAATAATTTAAAAAAATAATTGAAAAAAATAATAATTTAAATTTTATTTGCAATTTTTTATTATATACAAATTTTAAACGATATTTTTATTTATATTTTTTTTTAACTTAATTTCAAAAATTTTTAAACAAACAATTTCTGTAATTGAAAAATTTTTATGTGCACTTGAAAGAACATTGATCGCATAATGTGTATAAATTTCATTCACACACTCACGACCTTCCATTATACTGTTCGCATTTTTCTAGTTAACATTGTTACGCGAATGTTCTCATTAAAAATCATATATTAAAAAAAATAAAAAGCTTTTTTTTCTACAATAATGATAAAATAATGTAATAGATAATTTGCCTTTTACAAATTATTATTTTCATTAAAAACTTTTAACAAAATTTTATTTATTTAATATTTTTTTTATTTAATATTTTTTTTAATATTTAATTTTATTTTTTTATAAAATAAAACCAAATTTAATTTTTTTTTAAATTTATTTAGTATTATTTTATTTATTTAACAATGTAAACGGGTTTTATTTGTTTCATTTTTTTTTCATTTATATTTATAGCAAAGGTATAAAATAATAAATTTCAATTTTTTATTTACTTCCATTGATTTACATATTTTATTTTATTTTTTTTCGTTTTATATTTGTGAAAATAAATTTTGCTATTTTATCGCAAAAAAAAAACTGTTGAGTTCAAAGTACAGATTTAGATAAATTTTTGTCGCAAGTTTAGAATAGAAAAAAAAAAATCTTAGGGCATTAACTCCTGTCAAGAATTCTACAGGCAGGAAAAAAAACCACTTGGAGCTGATCAAATAGTCTTTTAAAATTTTTTTTTTTTTTTTTTTTTTTGATAACATAATTGAATAAATTAAAATTCAAGGACAAAAAAATATCAGTGTTAGATGTATTATAATTTTAAGTGATAAATTGAAAATAATTATTTATATTAAAAATGTTATTAAATAATAAGTGGAAATAATTATCAAAAAAAAATTATTAAATGATTACGAAATCCAAGTTGAAATTGCGTGTCAAAAAATGTCAATAAAAAAAAATTTCAATTATTGTTTATTTATTCCCAAAATATATTTTTTTTCCAAAATTATTATTTATCAAATAAAGGATTATTATATTTTAAAATAATTATTTTTTTATTTTAAAATAATTTTTTTTTTATTTTATTTTCCTTTTTTGATATTATTTTTTTTTCCATTATTATGAATAAATTTTCAAAAGTTGAATTTTTTATGGAAGCTAATTTTAATAAATAAACAGAGTAATTGTTATTTTATTTTATTTTTTTTAGAATTTTTGAAAAATTTATGTATTTATGCGTCGAAATAAATAAATATGCTGCGTCGCCTGCAGATATGCAATCCGTTTAACTCCCCTGCAAAAAATAGACTTGACCAATAAAAAAAATTAAATTTACTGTATTTATAAAAGTTGATAATATCAAATAATATCAAAAGAGGAAAATAAAATAAAAAAAAATTATTTTAAAATAAAAAAATTATTATTTTAAAATAATTGTATAATTATATTCAATTTCAAAAATATTTACGCACTAAAGTTGTTTATAAAAACGATTCATTATTGAAAAAAAAGAAGTATTGCTTCACTTATTGTTGTAAATTGCTGTAATTACATTCAATAATTAGTAGATTACCTGTTATTTTCGCTTTCAAATATAATCTTATCTTATATATATTCTCATATCGAATTAATCATCAGATGGCGTTGTTTCGCGCGTCATTCTTGTCATTCTCAGCATCATTGTCATTTTTAGTGTTACACCCATATATATATACTACAGTATAATTTCAAGTAAAATTTTATACATTATTTAAATATTTTAAAATCTATATTGATAAGTGAACAACGCCTTTTATTTGTATACCGGATGATGATAAAAGGCGCTTTGTTTTGAAATTGAATTTCCTAAGTGCAGTTAAGTATAGTTCGAGGTGCAATTAATTGATCGTGATTATACAAATGCCATAAATGGCACATGGATGTGTCAATGAGTGTTTAAAATATTTTAATGTGCTCGGAAAATATATTTTATAAATATAATACATATATGTGAATCATCAATTTTAGCCTATAGTGTAAATGAATGTGTTACACTTAACCGATCTAACCTATAAAATCATTTAACTCTGTTTAAAAAAAAAAAAAAACTAAATCAAAACGGAGCGACGAAAGTATTTCCGTTTTCGTAAAAAAATGAGCTTAAGCATCAGTAAGTTTTTTTCTAAAAAGAAACATCACAGTGGTAATAATTTGGAAACATTAAATACAGCTGCCGAAATTGGACTTCCAACAAATGTATCACATCAGTTTCATGTCAGCAAAAATAAATTCACAGGTTTGTAAGAATGGTATTGATATAAATCTTTGCGGGGGGTTATGGAACAATATAAATAGAAGTAAAATTTATTTAAATTACTTTTCTAAATTAATATTTTAATAACTAGAAGATTATATATATATATATATATAAGTTAAATTTGTAAATCTTAGGACAACTGGAAGGTCTTCCAGATCCATGGATTCGATTGTTAAACACGCAAATAACAAAATCGGAGCAAACACAACATCCTACGGCAGCATTGCAGGCTATTAAGTATTATAATTATTCGATTAAGAGAAAACCACAAGAAGAGGTTTTTAAACCATTTGTAACGCAAGATCTTATCGAGGAAGAGTCACAGGAAATTGATAAGATTTTGGCGAAAAAATATCAATCAGGCGGTTCTGATGGTTCGGCTTCTGCAAGTTCGACTGATAGTCAGGTAATTTTTCAAATTATTCACGATAGCAGAGTGTCTAGAGATTTGGAATTCCATGAAAACCTGGAAAAGTCCTTGAATTTTTTTTTTCTTTTTTTTTCCAATGTATGAAACTATTTTCAAGTTATTTTAATAAAATGTGATTTTTTCGACTTTTTCTAATACATTTTTTAAAAAAAATTTACGATTTTTTTTTAGAATAAAATGCGCATTTTCCAAAATTAAAATAATTTAAAAGAATATTAAATAGAATTCTTTGCAAAATTAATTATATTTAATAATTTTAATCAAGTTCTTTAAAAATTTTCATTATTTTTATTTTTTTTTCAATTGAAAGTCCTTTTAAATTCAATTATCTAAAATACCTATGTAAAAAAAATTCATTAATTAAAATTTATGAGTTTTAATTTAAAATTTCCTGAAATTTATAATTATTTCTAAAAATTTTTATTTCAACTCTCCAAAAAATCATTTACTTCTAAAAATTTTAACTCTAACTTTTTTAAAATTTCAATTATTTTTCAAATTGTTACTAAATTCATTTTTTTTTTTTTTTTTTTTTTTTAATAATATTTTAATGAAGTTCTTCAGAAAAATTTAATTATTTAAAATATTTTTTAAACTTCTGAATTCAAATAATTTGCATAAATTATATTTCAAAATTTTTTCTTTTTTAAATTTTAAATTATTTTTTCAAATTTGTCCTATACTGAAATGAATTCTTGAAAATTTGTCTCCGTGTTTAATTTTGAAATATTGAAAATAAAATTTCTTTTATTGAAATTCAATAATTTCTAAAAAATTTTAAATTAAACTCTTCCAAATTTAATTATTTTTAAAATTTGAATTAAAAATCTTCTGAAATTCAATTATTTAACAAATTTTTAAATAAAATTCTTCACTAAATTAATTATTTTTAATAATTTTTATGAAATTTAATAATTGTTTATAATTTTTAAAAAATTGGCAAATAAAATTATCATTCTTCATCAACAGAAATCACTAGAAATTTCTCTTATTTTAATTATTGTCTGAAATTTAACACAATTTTTTGAAATTTAATTACTTTCCAAAATTTCAATTAAAATTCAATTATTTTCAAAATTTTCAATTCAAAATTAATCAAAATTCAATTATTTTTAAATTTTTCAATTCAAAATCAATTAAAATTCAATTATTTCCCAAAATTTCAATTCAGTATTAATTGAAATTGAATAATTTTTCAATTTTTCAATTCAAAATCAACTAAAATTCAATTATTTTCGAAAATTTCAATTGAAATTCAATTATATTCAAAAATTTCAATTTAAAAACTTCTAAAATTTTTTTGAAATTTAATAATTTCAATTATAACTCTTCTAAAAATCCAATTATTTTTAATGATTTTTATAATAGTTTTCGAAAATTCAACTATATGAAACCATTTTTCGCTTAAAAAGTTTTCAAATTATTTTATTTCTATCTGCAATTTCTAAAAAAAATTTTTAGTGAAATCATCAAAAATTTTAAATTAAAAATCACATGAAGTTCAATTGATTTTAAAAATCAAAATTATATAAATCTTTGAAAATTCAATTACTTTTAAAAAATGTTATCAAAAATTATTTGATAAATTATTTTCAATTCTGTAAAATTTAATTAAATTGTTTGAAAATTAACAAATTTAAATTCAATTATTTCTAAAAATTTCAACTTTAACTCTTCCAAAATTATTATTTAAAAAAAAATTTTTATTTAAAAATCTGTAAAACTTGATTATAAATATTGCCTGAAATATTTTTGACAATCAAAACTAAAAAAAAAAGAACTATGACAAAATTTTTAATTCAAATAAATTGCTTAAATCAGATTTGAAAAAATTATAAAAATGGAACTTTAAGAAATTTTTTTTTTTTTTTTTTTTAGAAATTTTGTCCTACTTAAATAAAATTTTGAAATTTTGTCTTTTAGTTCAATTATGAAATAGAAATAAATTTTCTTGATAATATTTTTATAGAATTAATAAAATGAATTTAATATCTAATAACATTAGTCATTTAAAGTAAAATATTCATTGACCAATTAAATTTTGTTAAAATAAAAAAAATCGACTTCTATTTTTTTTTAATATAAATCGACTTTTTTTGCTCCTTAAAGTGGATCCGAGGCCTTTTTTTTCTTCCTTTAAATTCAATCCGAAGCCTAAAAATGCAAAAAAAAAAATTAAATTTATTTATTACTAGTTTATTATAAAATGAGACTTAAAATAATTTAATTTTGTAAGTTTAATATATTTTTTTAATTATTAAATTAATTATTTATTAAATTATTATTTATTAAAATAGTAAATACTTGGAAAAAAGAATTTTTTAACCTGAAAAAGTCCTGGAATTTTATTTGCCATAAGCGCTAGACATTCTGAGTTAGGTTCATTTTCCGGTATATTAAAGAATTTGTTTAATCGACAGATTCAAAGGGTACCCGAGCTACCGCCAAAATTGGGAAAACCACCAAAGCCAGCACCACGTCAACATACAAGAACGGAGAAAACATTGACTGAAATTTTGGAAGATTTAAGTAACTATCAAATCGAAGACAACGATGATGATGATGAGAATTCACACAATGAAATTCATGTGCCTCAAGAAACATTTATACCCGACACAGAGGAAAGTCCTGTACTTCGACGTAAAACAGAATACATTGTCTCAAGACTCGGTGATGAGGAAGTATTTGATGAATTAAGAAAAATTTGTCACTGTGACGATCCAAATTATCGTTTCAAAAGAAGTAAAGAAGTTGGCGCCGGTGCATCGGGAACAGTATTTATTGCCACCGATCTTAAGAATGGCGAGAAAGTTGCAATAAAAATAATTGATCTTTCAAAACAATTGAAAAAAGAACTAATTCTCACTGAGATTAAAGTACTCAAAGAATTTCAACATCCAAATCTTGTGAATTTTCTCGACGCCTATCTTCTCGATGAACATTTATGGGTTGTTATGGAATTATTGGAAGGTGGACCATTAACGGACGTTGTCACTGAGACAGTAATGAAGGAGGCACAAATTGCCGCTGTATGCCGTGAAGTTTTAAAAGCCATAAGTTTTTTACATTCAAAAGGTATAATTCATCGTGATATTAAATCAGATAATGTTCTATTGGGAATGAGAGGCGAGGTGAAGGTGACGGATTTTGGATTTTGTGCAAATATTGTTGGCGATGAAAAACGACAAACAATGGTTGGTACGCCATATTGGATGGCGCCAGAAGTTGTAACACGAAAGCAATATGGAAAAAAAGTTGATATTTGGTCATTGGGAATAATGGCAATTGAAATGATTGAAGGTGAACCACCTTATATGAATGAGGCACCATTGCGTGCACTTTATTTAATAGCATCAGCTAATGGTAAACCATCAATTCCAAGATGGAATACATTGAGTCCATTGTTTCAAAATTTTCTCGAATGTTGCCTAGCCGTTGAAGTTGATGAACGTTCATCTGCCGATGAATTACTTGCACATCCATTTTTAGACAATTGTGCCGAACTGAGTAGTCTTAATCCGCTTATTCGAGCGGCGCAAAAAGTTTTACACAAGGCTTTTTAAATTCCATATATAGTTTATTTTTTTTTTTTTAATAATTAGTAGAGGAAAGTTTACTTTCGTCTCTTAGACTGAGGGCAAAACAATTTTTTTAAAAAAAAAAAAAGCCAAAACGAAAGTTAAGAAAAATTAAATTAATATAGGAAATTATCAAATTAATTAATGAATTATAAATGAAATTCATTATTTATTTTTCTAAATAAATTTAAAAGAAATCAAATTTCATTAATTGAAAATGATTTTGTTTAAATACTCTCCTCTACTTTTCACAAAATAGAAAAAGGGAACAATTGTAGTGCCAGTCACATTTTGTATTAAGATTTAGTATTAATTACCAAAACTTTTTATCAATTGAATTTTTAAAACAATTTTACACATTTTGTAGCCCTTTTTATTGTAAAAGGAAAAAAAGAATATGTGCCTGAGAGCATTTTTTTTTATTGCTCAACGCTATTAATCCATGTATATAAAATATATTAGATTGTATTTAACAATGAGGGAAGTAAAGATTTATTTTTACTGCAATTCTATTTAATTTATATATATATATATATATATATATATATATATATATATATATATATATGTTCTAAAAAAAAAATTGTGCAAATTAGACTGTGATATGTGGTCTTTATTTAAAAAAAAAAACGCAATTTTTCTTTTTTTTTTTGAATCAAATATGTAACCAACCAATGGACAATAAATACTTTATTTACAAGTTGAACATTTACAATTTCCGGTGATTGAATTTTCGTTTAGCAAAATTGATTTTAAAAGAAATTTGTTTTTCTAGCTCTTTATTCACATTTCAATTGAGGGTTTTTATTTTGTAAGGTTTCTAGCTACGTTGCAGACTGAACTATCGAGTTCTTAAATTGGAATTACTTTCATTTTTATAGAGTTAGGGATTATTTGGACGAACTCGTTAGCAACTGCGACATCCGATCGATTATAATAAACGATCGGCTCGATACTTAACAATTATCTAAGAAACTGATCTTAAAAAAGAAGAGTTTCGCATTTGTACAATTGTTTTTTTCTTTTTTTTTTTTTTTTGTTTACAAAGGCAGTGCGAGTTTTTGTTTAGTGAAAACTTGCAAAATTAATTTATTCGCGTCGATATCGAAGGGCTTTAGCTCTGCCTACTGCTAGAAAAGTAGGATCCTCTAACATGGCACGAAGTACTGACAAAAAATCGGCAGCTTGATCCTCGTCAATTGCTCGACGATCGTACGATAACGTTACAGTCATTAAAGTTGTTTTCGCTAGTGAAACATCTGAAAAAAATTGTTTAAAATTTTAAAATTTATTTATTACTATTTTTTTTTTGTATTTATTTACCTAATTCAGATCTTCCGGTTCCAACAGCCAAAATTGCAGTTTGCGGTGGATTTATAATAGCGGAAAATTCCGAAATGCCAAACATTCCAAGATTGGAGATCCTTTAAATAAGACAATTTTTTTTTTTTATTATTATTAACAGAATTTTTAGTATTTGCAATATAATAAATGTTTTCTTCCTTACGTGAAGCTTCCTCCTTGAAATTCTTGTGGTTTTAATTTTCCCTCTCGAGCTTTAACTGCAAGTTCTCGAATATTTGCCGAAATATCACTAAGACTTTTTGTTGCAGCATTAAAAACAATTGGTGTAATTAATCCATTTGGAGTTGCAACTGCTACGGAAACGTCAACACTTTGAGCTCGCACCGTCTAAAAAAATAAAATAATTTCATTGAATTGAAAAAAAAAACAAAACAATTTTATTGTTATAAAATAAATTACCTGTCCATTTTGATATAAACAATTAATATCCGGACATTCTAAAAGTGCGTGAGCAACTGCCTTTGTCACAAAATCATTGACTGATACTTTCACATTATCAGCTTGAAGTTTACTTCGTACTTCATTGAGTTTATCAATTTTTATTTGTATACTCGCGTAGGAATGAGGAATATTGCTCTAGAAGAAATTGATTAATTTAAAAATAAATACAAAAGGTGAAAAAAAAGAAAGAAAATGTACCTTTGATTCGCCGAGTCGTTTTGCAATAACGGCTCTAATATTCGATACTTCTAGATCCTTATAAGTAGATGGGCCAGTTGATCTTCTTGTCCGGGTTGAAATAATTGAATCTACACTTTTCTTAACACCCACCATGGGTTCTGTAAATTATTCAATAATTATCGAAAAAAAAAATCATATACAATCAATTAATAAATTAATAAATCTTACCCGATTTCAAAGATACTTTTTGAACATTATTGCTTTCAATAAAAGTTAAAACATCGCTTTTTAAAAGACGATTTGGTCGTCCAGTTCCTTTAACTGATCCTGAACTTAAACCATATTCTTCCAATAGTCGCTTCACAGCCAAGCCATAAACTCTACGATTGGGAAATTAAAATTAAAACAGGGTATTTAAAAAAAAAAAAATTATTTTTCTAAATTACGATTAAATTATGTAAATTTAATTACTGGCCACTGGGTGGAGGTTTGGAAGAAGGAGCCAAAGTTGCGGGAGCTGTAGTTTTTTCTTTAGCTGGAGCTTTCTTTGCAGCGCTCACATCCCCTGAAGCTGCTTTTGTCACAACGGGAATTACAATCGTATTTAAATCCATTCCCTTTTCAACTACAATTGCTATTAATTGTCCAACATCTGCTTGTGCACCTTCAGGAACCTTTTAAAAAATTTTTTCAAATTATTAAAATGATATTCACGATTTAAATTTGAAAAATATAATTGTTTTTTATCAAACATTTTTGCAAAATGTTCTTATTAGAAATTAATTTATTTATTCACGATTTAAATTTGAAAAAAAAGGTACCAAAAATTTTGCAAGGACACCCTCTTCATCCATTTCAAAAGTCATGACTGCTTTGTCTGTTTGAATTTCCGCGATTGCATCACCAGGTTCTATTCCATCGCCCTCTTTTTTCAACCATTTTACAATTGTTCCCGATGTCATTGTCGGTGATAGTGCTGGCATTGAAATATTTTGCCTTAAAAAATAGATTAGAAATATAAAATTGGGAAAATAAATTTTTTTTTTTTTAAATTTATACGCACTGTCCAGGAGGTGGTTCAGCAGCTTGAACAGGTGCAGAAGTATCAGTAACGGCAGGAGATGGTGTAGATGATGCAGATGATGTTGAAACAGAATCAGGCATTTCTACACTTTTCCAATCTTCATCGGCATCCACAACTAATGCAATTAATGAACCGACTTTGATATCTTTCGCTCCTTCTTCGACCTGGAAAAATTTAAATAAATATTTCGATCTATTTTTCTTTTTATCACTAATAAGGTTAAAAAATTTTTTAAATAAATATAATAATAAATAATTTAAATTTATTTTAATTTTTTGTCTTTCCCTAACTTTTCTCTGATTTAGTCAGAATTAAAAAATTTTTCTTTCCTAATTAAAATATTTCAAGACAATTTTTAGAAGGAAAATTTTAAATTGAAAATTTCAAAAATAATACCAATGGCAACACTGATTAACGGATAAAATTTTTAAAAAAGAATTTAACTTACGACTATTTTGGCGAGAACACACTCATCGTCATATTCCATAGTGACAACTGCTTTATCGGTCTGTATGTCAGCAAGTGCATCTCCAGCTGCAATTGGATCGCCCTCTTTTTTCATCCATTTGACAATTGTTCCCATTTCCATTGTTGGTGAAAGTGAAGGCATCAAAATAGGTTTGCCTTTCGCTGAAAATAAAATTTTTTTTTTATTTTACCAGTTGTAAATCAAAATACTGAATTATAGAATAAATAAATACGCAACATTTTTATTCAACTACAAAAAAATAAAAAATTTGTCTTAGTAATTATAATCCTAGTAAAAACAAATATTGACAATTAACATTCAAATAACAAAAAAAAAAGTAGATATCTGTCAAAATTTTTATATATTTTCGATTCAAAAAAAAAACATTTTTGACAGATTACCATGCAACCTTTTCAAATTTTGATTGCATAACCAAAAAATAACATTATAATAATAATAATAATAAACAATTTGATTAGAATCTATTAAAACATTAAAAATTTAATTAAAAATTTTTAATTATTATATTTATCTATAAAAATAAAATTACTTCGACATGTGAAGTATTATATTTTGAAACATAACCTCACTTTTTGGAATTATTGTAAATAATGCATTATTTGTTTATAATAACATACCATCGAATATTTGACTTGTATGAAAACATAATCGTTGAAGATTTATAGGTAAAATAACACGTGGCACTTTTTGATTTATAAGTCTTATTGAAAACAGACCGATTTTACACCTCACCATTTGCGCCATTTTTGATGTTACTAGCAGACGACGACCTCGCAGTGACCTCTAAAGTCATTTTAAGATTTAATGTTATTTTTATGGTCTTTATTAGTCATTTTTTTAAAAAAGCAATTATAATCTAAATTTAACAATAATAAAAAATTATAAAAATATATATATATATATATTTTTTTTATAATAAAAAACGATTAATTTGTAATATTTATTTATCAAATTACTATTATGTAATTTGCTATATTATAAAATAATTATTTCTTAATTATTAATTAATTTTTACTATTGTTATTAATATTATTGTTATAATTTAATTAATTTTATTTTTTATTTCATGAAAAATTTCCCGCGTCGAAAAATTTGTTGTCACGTGACAGCTGAAATCACGTCACGTGACAATTGGAATTCTTTTCCGAAAAAAAATTATTTTCATTCTCCAAAATATAAAATTAAATATTATTTTTATAACATTTTCTAATTTTAAATTTTATGATTATAATTTTTCAATATACTTCATTCAATTATAGAAAAGTATTTTGATTTAAAATATGTTCAATTTTGAAATTTAATTTTCTTACGTTGGCAGCCGTATGATTGAATGAAATTGTTGCCTACTCTCAGGCGTAACGGAAATCTTTTGGCATCATCGGCATCAACTTTTTTGTGATTTCTGTTAATTAAATGTTATTTATTTGTATATTTTAATTGAATTTCGTGATCTAAATGAATAATTGTTAATATTTTTATAGAAGTTTATTTAAATTGAGTAATTTAAAAAGTGTTTTCAGTTTTAAATGTGATTATTGAAAAAAAAAATGTTGTGCACGTGGAATTATCGGAATCTGATTTTGCAATTTTTCTTTCATTATTTAGTCTTATCGTTTGTTTTTGTTGCATAAAACTTGTTTCTATCATGAATTGTTTAGATGACAGTGTAAAAAAAGAAATATTAATTCTTAATGACGATAATATTTCAGTTATCTAACCTATTAAATACATATTTATTCTCAACGAGTGTATTAGTGCGCGTATATAAATAAATTTTTGGTTATTTAACATGTAAGCAAAAAATTTATAGATATCGAGTATTTTTATAAACTATACAAATAATTTATCTTTCTTTTTCAAAAATTGGTTTTCAACGATGTGATGATCAACGATAAGGAAGCAAAAATAATGAGTGAGTTTTTTAAAACATATTTTCTATTGATTTTTTCTTTAAAATAATGGAATATTTCTAGTTTTTTTTTTTTTTATCTTAAATCTTATCATCGGAAACATTTTAACTAAAACTCATTTAAAAAAAACATTGAAGATGAGGTTAAATTACTTAATTAGTGTTTATAAATTAATTATTAATTTTAAACAATATTTTTTAAATTGATAAGCGAAAAACAAAGAGGAAAACGAAAAAAAACAAAATTAATATTAAACCAAATTTAATTTATTTTTCACATAAAACAAATTTTATATACAGAAATAGTTTTGCAAATCAAAAAAAAAATCACAGCAGGTTGACAACGTAATTATTTTAAAATATCCTTGAACAACTTTTATAAAAAAAAACAAAAACAGTCTATCACTTATTTACATTTGCAATAACTTACTAAAAAAAATATTTACAAATTCTGCAAGAAACAATAAATTTCTCAATTTTTTTGTCATATTTTTCAATTAAAGACAATTTTTATCTATAATTATGAGAAATTTTCCTTCTTTATACTCGATGATAATTTAATTTTATTATCAAATAATAATTAATTGCAGATTTTGTTCTAAAAATTTTCTTTGTACAATTTGTCACTCTCGATGCATAATTCAGCTCAAATTCTAATTCATGAAAATAAATAGTATACTCGTTTTCTCGATATAAAAAATTTGATTGGAACAAAAAAATTATAGACAAAAATTAATTTTTCAGTCCTAAAAAAAAAAAAAAAAAAACGAGATTATCAAAAATGAATCAGTTGAAAATCTAAAAAATTACAACAAATTCTGATAAAAATTTTTTTCTTTCGAAAAAGAAAAACAAAAAAAAGTTAGAATATTTCAGAAAAATTGTTAAGTTTTTTAAAACTTTTTCTTGATCTTCAAAGACTAGATTTCCAGTCTGTCTTTGAAATTTTCCAACGGAAAATATTCTTTTTTAATTTTCCACAATTGTAGATTCATTTTTTTTTTTTTTTGATTTAATGAATCTTAATCGATGGGATAGGCCCAAGGATGAGTGGGAATATAACCATATTGAATGTCTGACATGTGTTTCAAAAAAATTTTATAAAGAGCCGATGTTTGTTCTGTTGTGGGAATATGTAGATTTTGATCCATGTAATTTATTAATGAAATTGGACTAACAACGCACGCCGTTCCTGCTCCAAACATTTCCAATAACTGAAAATAAATATAAAAAATAATAATTATTATATTTTATTAATGATTAATATTAGTAATTTTGCAAAAAAAAATTTATTATTTATAATAATTTAATTAAAAAAAAAAAAATTTAATATTTAATTAGAATAATTAAATTTTTTTTTAAAATAATGACAAGATTTTATCAATCTTTTTGAAACAATAAGATCCGCATTCTGTAGATTACTATATAAAATAGGTAATGTGTTTTTGAATATTAATCACAATTTTGTAATTAATATTACGATACACGATAATAAATAATTAATCGATTCCGGCAATTCTCATATATTAATACTTTTTTTTTCAACTAAAAACAGATTTTCTTACTCTGTTCTCCGAGAGTAATTGACATATTTCTCCCATTGTAATTTTCCTCTCTGTAACTTTAAATTGATTCCATTCTCTTGAAAGTGACAAAATTGAATTTCTCGTAACGCCTGGCAAAATTAATCCATTCAATGGCGGTGTTACTAATTCTTTTTCTGAAAAAAAAAATTAATTCCTCATTCAAATTTCTCCATAAACATAAAATAAATTCTACTTTTAAAGGAAATAATTATTTAATTATTAAATTACTTATTAAAATAATTAAATTAAATTATATTTATTAAATTAATTTAATTTAATTATTCATTAAATTATTTATTAAATTAATTTATTTAAATTATTCATTAAATAGGAATAACTGGAATTTTTTTTCAATTAAAATAATAAAAATAAAATTTTAACACAAATTATTTAATAATGTGGAATAAAATTATAAAAAAAATTATTGAATTATCAAATATCTATATTTTTTTTGGCGAAAAAAAAATATTTTTATTTTAGTTTCTTTTTAAATTTGAATTAGTGAAAAGTGAGCTAGGTACTAATTTTTAGTAAGATTTTTTTTTTTTACTAATTTTTAGTAAAATATTACTAGTAGTTTAAAATTTGTATGACTAAAGTTTTAGTAAAAATTAACTAAAAATTAGTGAAAATTCTTACTAATTTAAAGTAGTAACTAACTTTTCACAAATTAAAATTTAGAGAATTTATTTAATAATTTTTCAATTATGAATTTTAATAAATAATGAAAATCGAGTTTTAAAATTATTCTGCTAATTAAAATTTATATAATTAAATTTTCCTAAGGGACAATTATTTAAAAGTAATTTATTATTTTCAATAAATAATTTAATATTTGTTAATATTTCTTTATTTTTTAAAAAGCCAATTTAAATAATAAAAATAATTTTAATGTTAAATAATTAAAAATCTAATTTCATAATTTATGCAAAAGATTTAAAATTGTAATATGTAAATTAATAATTAAATTATTTATTAAATTTTTTTTAATTATTAATTAAATTATTTTATTTATTAAAAAAAAAAAAAATGAAAATTTACCTCCATCGTCGTTGACATAGACAATAAAAATATTCATCGTTCCCACTTCAGTGATTTGATGATCATCTCCATAAAGCCACAAAACTTGCTGCAAACCCTTTTCTAGTGCTTCCCGTTGTATTTGAATCGTAGGTGCATAATTGCTTCCCATTTTTCGATCTCCACAGCCTCCGGGCCAAGCCCTTGTGTGTTGTGGATCCGCCAATAATGAAATACCTCCAGTACAATTAGGTTTAAAATAAGCACCCACTGGACTGAGAATAACATAAAGTAGCGCCGAATCAGATGCTGCAACTCCCAAAGTAGGCTGCGAAAAAAAAATAATCGTGAAAAATTTATTATTTTATTTTTTTATTTCATTTTTGCTCACTTAATTTTTGCTACACTGAAATAAAAAATTTATTTCATTCAAATACTCGATTATTTGACTATTATCAAATAAATAAATTACTTGAACCAAATAATTTTTATTTGAATCAAATAAATATTTACTTAAACCAAAATAATAATTACTTGAACCAAGTAAATATTTACTTGAACCATATAAATATTTAATTGACTAAAATAATAATTATTTGATACAAATAAATATTTATTTGATACAATTAAATATTTATTTGATAATAGTCAAGTAATCGAGTATTTGTATTTCGAGTATTTTTATCAGTGTAATTTTATTTAACAACCAATAATTGAAAATTTTATAAAAAAAAAATATATAATTTTATTTAACAACAAATATTATTCTATTTTTGTTTGAAAATAAAATTTGATAGTATTAGAATGTTTTTATTTTTACAAAATATATATTCTTTATCAAATTAGCTTCGATAATTATTTTTTTATTTTTAAAATACGGAAATATTTCTTTTAAATATTTTTACTGTCCTCAAACTTATAATTGCAAATATTTTTTTTTTTTTTTTTTTTGTTGATCTAATCTTTAAATGGAATATAATTACGATTTATTTACGTAAATAAGAAAAATAGATAATTTTTTAAAATTAGATTACTAAGTAGATTTTTTAAAAAATTTTTTACACAAACATTTATAAACGAGAAATGGATGAAATTTTTAATTACCCTGTAATTTATGAACTATAAATTTTCTTTAGATATTCATTTTTCCCCCTTTAACATGTGTGCCATTTAGAAAAGCATAATCAATAAACTTTGCATATTTATTCAGTAAAATCATTTGTATATCAAAAAGATATTAATTATTTTATAGATTTATTATTTATTTCCTAGGTTGAGAATTTAGTCTACAAACTTTATATTAAAAAAAAATATTTGATTCTTTTTCGAAAATAATCTCTTAGCATTGAAATTTTTACGAGCATAAAATTTTTCACAATTATTTTTTATAATATTGAATAAAACTGAAGTTACCAAAGTTAATTTAATGAAAAAAATAAAGTTTAAGGATTCTAATTCACATCAATGAAATTTGATTATTTTCAACCCTCTGAAACCTGAAAGAGAGAAAAAAAAAAAAAAAACAATATTTATTATTGTTTTGTCACGGATTTTTTCAAAAATTTCGAAATTTCAAGTAATTTTCATATTTCCTCGACTCGGAAGCAATTTTTCTCGATAATTATTTGTATCAATGTTAGAAGTATTTTAAAAAACAGAAAAATTTGCTTCCGAGGCGGGGAAATAGAAATTTTTTTGAAATTTTGGGATTTTCGGAAAATCTGTGAGAAAAAAAATCAAAATCATTGTTTTCCCCTACTTGGAAGTAATTTTTTTGTTTTTTTAAAAAGGGCTTCTAGCATTGAAATAAATAATTATTAAACAAGAAAAATTGCTTCCAAGTCGGGGAAATAGAAATTTTTTTGAAATTTCGGGATTTTCGAAAAAACCGTGACAAAACAATGATAAATATTATTTTTCCCGCCTCGGAAGCAATTTTTCTCGTTTAATAATTATTTATTTCAATGCTAAAAGCCTTTTGAAAAATATAAAAATTGCTTCCAAGTCGGGAAAAGCAGTGATTTTGAATTTTATGTCACGGATTTTTTTCGAAAATCCCAAAATTTCAAGTAAATTGCTATTTCCTTGCCTTTGAAGCAATTTTTTTTGTTTGATAATTATTTATTTCAATGCTAGAATCCTTTAAAAAAAAAAAAAAAATAAAATTTGCTTCCAACTTGGGGAAATAGAGATTTTTTTTGAAATTTCAGGATTTTCGAAAAATCCGTGACAAAACAATGATAAATATTATTTTCCTCGACTCGGAAGCAATTTTTCTCGTTTGATAATTATTTGTATCAATGCTAGAAGCATTTTAAAAAAGAGAAAAATTGCTTCCGAGGCGGGAAAAATAATATTTATCATTGTTTTGTCACGGATTTTTCGAAAATCCCGAAATTTCAAAAAAAAAATTCTATTTCCCCGACTTGGAAGCAAATTTAATTTTTTTTAAAGGATTCTAGCATTGAAATAAATAATTATCAAACAAGAAAAATTGCTTCAAAGGCGAGGAAATAGCAATTTACTTGAAATTTCAAAAAAAATCCGTGACATAAAATTCAAAATCACTGCTTTTCCGACTTGGAAGCAATTTTTCTATTATTCAAAAGGCTTTTAGCATTGAAATAAATAATTATTAAACGAGAAAAATTTGCTTTCAAGGCGAGGAAATAGTAATTTTTCTTGTTTAATAATTATTTATTTCAATGCTAGAAGCATTTTAAAAAACAGAAAAATTACTTCCAAGTCGGGGAAAACAGTGATTTTGTTTTTTTTCTCACAGATTTTCCCAAAAACCCCGAAATTTCAAAAAAATGTCTATTTCCCCAAGCATTTTAAAAAACAGAAAAATTACTTCGAAGTCGGGGAAAACAGTGATTTTGATTTTTTTCTCACAGATTTTCCGAAAATCTCAAAATTTCTATTTCCCCGACTTGGAAGCAAATTTTTTTTTTTTTTAAAGGATTCTATAGCATTGAAATAAATAATTATCAAACAAGAAAAATTTGCTTCAAAGGCGAGAAAATAGCAATTTACTTGAAATTTCGGGATTTTCAAAAAAAAATCCGTGACATAAAATTCGAAATCACAGCTTTTCCCGACTTGGAAGCAATTTTTCTATTTTTCAAAAGGCTTTTAGCATTGAAATAAATAATTATTAAACGAGAAAAATTACTTCCGAGGCGAGGAAATAGTAATTTTCTTGAAATTTCGGGATTTTTGAAAAATTCGTGACAAGACAATGATAAATTTTAACACCTTCAATATACACTCACCAAGTGATAAATTTAATATTATTGAAATGATAAATATTGTTTTCCCCGCCTCAGAAGCAAATTTTTCTGTTTTTTAAAATACTTCTAGCATTGATACAAATAGTTATCAATCGAAAAAAATTGCTTCCGAGTCGAGGAATTATGAAAATTACTTGAAATTTCAAAATTTTTGAAAAATCCGTGACAAAACAATAATAAATATTGTTTTTTTTTTTTTTTATTTCAGTTTTCAGAGAGTTGAAAATAATCAAATTTCATTAATGGGAATTACAATCCTTAAATTCTATTTTTTCGTTGAATCAACATTGGTAATTTCAGTTTAATAATATTGAAATTAAAAATAATATTAAAAGAAAAAATCAATTTTTTTTTTTTGTCAACATAATCTTGAATTAAAAAAATATTATCAATATAAATTTCGACATGTTCTGAAAACGAAAAAAAGAAAAAAAATTTTTTTTTTTTTTTTTGTGATATTTCGAAATGTATACTTTATCGGCATGAGAAGTAAATTGTTCTTGAATATTCGCGCATTGATAAAAACAGCGATAAGCAAAGAGTAATAATAAATAAGTAAATGTGGAAATTTCATCAAGTTAGAAAACGGTTTTTCATTAATATTTAAGAATTAAAATAAATACGGTTATATTATAAAATGAGTATATAATGTACTTATCGGTCAACAACGAGAGAGATTTAAAAAAATTTCATATAAAGGACTTTTTTTTTTTTTTTTTTTGATAGAGCCTGGAAATTGCAAACAAAGACTAAATTGTTTGTTACTAGCATATTCGATTTGCATTTAATTCCATTCTGATAAACTTTTGTAGATAAACCATTGCCTCGGGTGAAAAATGCAATTGATAATGCCTTTTATTCTTCTTATTCTTATTCCTTCTCTTCTTTGTATTCATTCGCTATTTGGTATAAATAGTATATTGTTGTTATATAAAATTTAGAAAAATATTCTACTGCCAAAGGTTACTGTTGAGTGTGGTTTTCAACAAACAAAAAGCTATTGCCCGAGTTTTTAGTAATTTTAATTAAAATTCTACCAGATTTAATTAAATTTGATTTTTGTAATTTGAATAAAAAATCTTCAAAATAAATAAAAGAAAACTGTTTGCAAAAAGAAAATAGACTTATTTTCCAATAGAAATAAAAGGAAATAACTATCTTTTAATGGGGGGAGAAACATCACGCCATTAGCTTATCAATTTATTGGCAAATATTGATTTATCCTGGGCAAAACAATGTTGATGCCCATGACGTTAGTGACATAATATATGAGATCTCACCCGCGCATTACATGAAAATTGATGCAAAAACAAATAACAGGTCACGGTCTAAGGAAATTGACTTTATAAAATATTCACTGGTTTTTGGTTTTAAATCAAAATTAGTTCGATGACTTTGCATTCGTATTATTTGTTTCCTCATTGTGGCGGAAAATGTATTTTGTTGTTTTTTTTTTTTTAATTTAATAAACTTACATCAATTCCCACTAATGTTGGTCTTACGTAGAGGCTGGATGCTTCCGAATGTGGTACCCATTCCTGATCTATGCTAATCAGTCGATTTATACATTTTATTAATTCAGAACCACTAAATGTTGGAAGTCCCGATCTTAATGCCGATGTATTCATTCTGTCCATATTCATTTCCGGTCGGAAAAGACGAATTTTTCCATCCACTCCACGATAGGCTTTTAATCCCTCGAATAACTGGAATTTTTTTTTTTTTGAATTAAAATTATGAAAATAAAATTTTATACAAATTATTTAATAATAAAATTGTAAAAAAATTATTGAATTATCAAATGATTTTTTTTTAGCAAAAAAAAAATATTTATATTTTAATTTCTCTCTAAATTTGAATTAGTGAAAAGTGAGTTACTAATTTTTAGTAAGATTTTTTTTACTAATTTTTAGTAAAATATTACTATTTGATTTAGTAGTTTAAAATTTGTATGACTAAAGTTTTAGTAAAAATTAGTGGAAATTCTTACTAATTTAAATTAGTAGCTCACTCACTTTTCACTAATTCAGATTTAGAGAGTTTATTTAATAATTTTCCAATTATGAATTTTAATTAATGATGAAAATCGAGTTTTAAAATTATTCGGCGAATTAAAATTTATAATTTATAATTAGATTTTCCCAAGGGACAATTATTATAAAAACAATTTATTATTTTCAAACAAATATTTTAAATTAATCGATTAGATTAATATCTTAGATTATAAAATGCAATATTTATTTTTTAAAAACCAAATTAAATACTAAAAATAATTTGAATGTTAAATAATTAAAAATCTAATTTCGTAATTTATACGAAAGATTTAAAATTGTAATATAAATTTTTTAAATTGTATATCTGAATTTAAATTAGTGTAAATTTATTATCTTTATTATTCATTTTTTTTTATTATTGAAAATTAAAAAAATAAAATATGTAAATTATTAAATGAAATAAAATTTTACTAAAAAAAAAATTAGTGAACTTTATACACTGAAATTTTTTTTTATTTTGATTCAAATAATCAGTTGACTATTAACAAATAAATATTAATTTGCTATTAAATAATTATTATTTGAGTTAATTAAATTAAATTAAATTTTTTCAGTGTATTCAAAATTTAGAGATATTACTAAAAGTAAAATTTTTTTTAAAAAATTCACCTCGAGAGCGTAGTGTAAAACTTTAGCTGCAGGATGCAAAACTAAATTTTCCAAAGGTGTTATTTCTGGCATTTGCCATCCTCCCAAAGCCTCGTAATAAAATATTTTCAGCATATGATCAGTGAAAAATTTTCCAAATTGTAATTCACGAACATTTGGTTTAGGTTGAAGTTGATCAGGGGTTGCGAGTCGCATTGAAAGATCTGTATACTAAATTATTTAAAAAACAAAATTATATTTTTTTCAAAAACTTCATTTTTCAAAATTTTATTTATTAAAAATTTATTATTAAAAATATAAAAAAAATACCTTAAAAGATCGATCGGGTTGAATAGCTTCTTTATCCCTGATTTTTAACGAAGAACTCCATCTCACATTAGGCTTTAATTGATTCACCAATCCTCCAAGAGATAATATCTATATTAAAATACAAAAAAAAAAAAAATCTCAAAAAATTGATAAATAATTTCTTAAAAAGCAATTATAGATTTAATGTGTAGCTGATTAATTTACAAGCCGTTTAAAATTGTCGATTAGAGATATAAAATTATCAGTTATTACCCAAAAAAAAAAATTTACACGCATCATTAACAATATTCAAATGGCGAAATTTGGAAATTACATATAAAAATAATTATATCTATAATTAAAATTACGAATTAAAGGAAGATTAAAAATTATATTTATAAAGATTAATTTACTAAACGTTGTAAATATAGGTAAAAAAAAATTAAATGTAAAATATTTTAATCACAAAATTTTTTCGTTTATTGTTAAATAAAGTTTTAAAGTCCAATTCACAATATTTTATCCGAAATGTTTAGATAACCCGAAAAAAAACTGATATTAACAATAGTACGTCAAAACGAATGAGAAAAACATAAATATGACAAATTATTAATTGCCAAATTAAAAAAAAATTAATTGTCTGATATTATTTTATAATAAATAAAATTAAATTAATGTATTCGTTCTTCTTTGAATAAAGAGCGTTGAATAATAATAATAATAATAATAGTAAAAGACTAAAAAATAATTTTTATTTCAATATACTGAAAAAAAAAAATTTATTTGATTCAAATACTCAGGCCTTGGATTATACGACTTTTTCGACTATTTCCGACTTTTTTTCAAAAATACGACTTTTTTCGACTTATTTTAATAAAATGCGACTTTTTCGACTTTTTTTACATTTAAAAAAATTTTTTTTAAATAAAATATGTTTTTTTTAGTATAAAATGCAGATCTTCTTAAGATCTTCTTTATTTCAATTATTTAACAAATTTTTAACTAAAACTCTTCACTAAATTAATTATTTTTAATAATTTTAATGAAATTCATCACAAATTGAATAATTTCAAATAAAATTACCACAAATTTTTAATTCAAAATCACAAATCAATTCAAAATCAAATAAAATTCAATTATTTTTTAAAATTTCAATTCAATATCAACTAAAATTCAATTATTATCCTAAATTTCAATTCAAAATTAATTATCAAAATTTTCAATCAAAAATCAACTAAAATTAAATTATTATCCAAAATTTCAATTGAAATTCAATTATTTTCCAAAATTTTAATTCAAAAACAAATAAAATTCAATTATTTTTAAAATTTTCAATTCAAAATCAAATAAAATTCAATTATTTTCCAAATTTTCAATTCAAAATCAACTAAAATTCAATTATTCTCAAAAATTTCAATTCAAAATTAATTATTATGAAAATTTTTAATCAAAAATCAACTAAAATTGTATTATTGTCTAAAATATCAATTGAAATTCAATTATTATCAAAAATTTGAATTTAAAAGCTTCTAAAATTTTCTATTGAAAAATTTTTGAATTTTAATAATTTCAATTATAACTCCTCGGGAAATTTAATTATTTTTAACTATTTTTATAATATTCTTTAAAAATTCAACTTTCTGAAACCATTTTGCAATTAAAATTGATTCTCAAATTGTTGTATTTTTGTCCGTAATTTCTAATAAATTTTTTAGTAAAATCATCATCATCATTATCATCATCATTATTTCTAAAAATTTTAATTTTAAACCTTTAAAAATTATTATTATTTAAAAAATAATTTTATTTAAAAATCTGTAAAATATTTTTGTTAAAATAAAAAAAATCGACTTTTTTTTTTGAAATATAAATCGACTTTTTTTGTGCCTTTAAGTCGATCCAAGGCCTGAATACTCGATTACTTGACTATTATCAAATAAATATTTACTTGAAACAAATAATTTTTATTTGAATTAAATAAATTGTATTTAAATCAATAATTTTTGTATTTGAAACAAATACAATTTAATTTGATTCAAATAATAATTATTTGAAATAAATATTTATTTAATAATAGTCAAGTAATCGAGTATTTGAATCAAATAAATTTTTTTTTATCAGTGTAATATAGAAAAATTACAATCTATATATATATATATATATATATATATATATATATATATATATACAAAGGGGTTTATAAATATAAAATGAAATTTTTTTTTAATACCATTTTAAAAATTTAAATAACAGAAAATTTTCACGTCATTTGATATTTAAATTATCTATTGTTTTAAAATAATAATTTACATATTTTACTTAAAAAAAAAAAAAATTAACGTTAAATAATTGTTAAGAGAAATATAACGTATTTTTTTTAATTTTATAGATAAATTTTTAAAATATTTTGCCAACTTACCGAATGCCAGGAATGTGGGTATAAATTTTTTGATTTGAATTTCCGGGTCAAATAGGTTAATATCATTATTGTTAACTATGCGAGTAAAATGAAGAAGAAAGAAAGAAAGAAAAAAAAGAAGCAAAAAAAAAAAAACACTTTTGCTCATGGTCATTTAAATATACCAGAATTTAATTAGGTTAAACATACATATTAATTTTGAATTCGAAGGATAATCAGAAAATGAGCTTTGATGATCAGCTGAGAATATCAATAGCCCCCCCCCCCCAACCAACGGGTCAGGTGAGGTTAGGTTCAGTTAGGTTTAACACGTGCACTTTAACCAATCACAAACTAGGTTTCATTTTAAAAACCATGGATATTTAAATTTCAAAAAAAAAAAAATTGAAAATTTACAACTCACCTTTCTTTTGAGCACCATTTTTAAAATAGAAAATTAAAAGCACAATTTTATCCAAATATATTAGACACACAAAAAAAAAAATGTTCTCACATTCTAGCACACCTTAAAATTTTAAACAATTTTTTTTCTTAGAAAACTAATTTTCACAATTATTTTTCTTAGAAAACTAATTTTCACAATTATATTTTTTTTTCTGTTAAAATATCCTCAATAATGTTGTATTTGTAGTGGCACTTTTGATTATTTCGATAATCATGAGTTCTATATAATATTAGAAAAATATTTTTTGATAAACTATTTATTTAGAAAAATTGCGATGCGCGCATTCGTTCTGAAATAATGGATTTGAATGAGTTGGATGGATAATTTTAATTTATTAGCATTAATTTTAGAGGAGAGGGAAAAAGAGGCGAGTTTTATAATAGTGGAGGGGGATTGAAAGTGTTCTTATATATTCCCCCTCCCCCCCCACTTCTATCAGAAAAATTGGTCCGATCTGGTCCGTACGTTGACGTTTTTGTTTGAATAATAATTATATACGATAAAACATATTTTATCGGACAAGATTTCGAAAGGAATAAAAAAAAAAAAAAAAAAAAAAAAAAGTGGGTGTGAAAATATATACGCATTTATGATAAATGAAAGGAATTTATTATAGATAAGAATGACATATCATCCCCAAAAAAAAATAAGAAAAAATATGTCAAGATTAGTTGGAATTTCAATTGTGACGTTTGTGCAGTGGATTTTTAAGAAAATTAAAAAATTTTTTAAATTTCCTCTGAGTGATTGTAAATTTTGCTTTTTTGGAGAAAATTAAAGAATTTTTTTACTATTTTTTTTTTTTTGCGAAATAAGAGGCTATTTTTGACGAAAAAAAAGCTATTTTTTATATGTGATAACGTTTTTATCTATCGTGAGTTTTATTTAATTATTTTTTTTTTTAATCTAAAATATTATCGAAAAAAGAAATATTTTTGTCAGTCTCTATATTGCGTTCCACTGTAATTATTTGTTTGTTCACTTTCTCCTTTGGATTCTTTAGTTGTTTTTTTTTTTTTTTTTTTTTTTTTTGTGAAAACGTTTAAAGTAGTTGTCGCGTCAATAGTAAAGGTAGAACTGTCGCTTTTGCGTTTTAGAATTTCTATCGTGTTCCAATGATAATTATTATGTTTTCTACCCTGGGACGGGCGGAGGGTAGGTTTCGGTTCAGGAATGCTGTTATTTCCTTTAAGAAGCGAAAGGTAGTTTTGTAACTCACCAAAAGAAAAGTACACGATAAACAACGTTTCAATTCTGTTTTTCAATTTGAGAAAATTTATTACAAAATTTATTTTTTTTTCTTCTAATTTTCTAATTTTATTTTCTATTTTGCAATCTTTAAAAAAAAAAAATTATTTACAGTAAATAGTAAAATGTTTTTTCATACATTTCTTTTCCATTTACCACGTTTCATTTTTTTTTTTTTATTTAAAATAATATTTTCATTAAAAACAATTTCTCAATAAAATTACTATTTTTCGAGGGAAATGTTTTGAGCATCGTTTTTTTTAAGAATGAAAAAAAAAAATTATTGGATAAACGAAAAATAATTTATGAGAAATATTAAACAAAAATAGTGAGAAAAAAAAAGAATTAAAGCGCAAGTGTTTCCATCACAGAAAGTGATGACGTAATATAAATTGATGATTACGTTTAATAATTGCGTGAATGACCGAGAAAGTAAACAAAATTGTTATAGAAAATAATTTGATCTACTTTCTGCGAGAGAAGAAAAATTTAGTTTCTTTAAAAATTGAATTTCAATTTTATTTAAATTATATAATTTCAATTTTATAATAAATTCAATTTTGGTAAAATGTTTTGAATAATTGAAAAAAAAATGCGTTTCTAGAAAAAAAAAAAAAAATAGATCATTGTTATTCCTTCATTTAAGATGGACATTTTTAAACAAGTTGCATAAATTTCCAAATTACGTATTAGTATCGGACGTGAATGTTAATTCTATAAAAATTAAAATTGATTACATAACATTCAATAAATGAAAGTTTTGTAACAAATTTTAATTATTAATCGATATTTAATCTCCTTATAATAGATTTCGTAAGAGATAAAATGATAAAAATACAATAATAATAATAAAAAAAAATCAGAGAATTGTCTTATTGTTAACAATTATTTTAGAACAAAGAAACTATATTTTTTAATTTAATATATAATTTAAAGCACAAAGCTTTCTTTGTAAAATATAATTTCATATAATATATAATTATTATTCAAATTAATTTTCCATTTTTTTTCGAAAATAAATTGCTCCATTGTAGGCCTCGGATTATACGACTTTTTTCGATTTATTTTACTAAAATGCGACTTTTTCGATTTTTTTTTTTTTACAAAATTTTAAAACAAAATACGTCTTTTTTTATTATGCAATACAAATCTTCTTCAGATCTTTTTTATTTCAATTATTTAACAAATTTTTAATTCCAATTATTCTCTAAATTAATTATTTTAATTAATTTGAATGAAATTCTTTACAAATTCAATTATCTTAAACTATTTTTAATTTAATTATTTTTTAAGAAAGGTTATCTAAAATTATTTGATAAATTATTTTCAATTCTGTAAAATTTTACAATTTTTTTTTTTTTGTAATTCAATTATTTCTAAAAATTTCAACTTTAACTCTTACAAAATTTAATTATTATTTTTATTAATTTATGTATTTTTTTTTAAATTCAATTATTATTTCTAATAATTTTAATATTTATTTGAAAATTCAATTATTATTTTTATTATTTTATATATTTTTTAAAAAATTCAATTATTATTTTTAATAATTTTGATATTTATTTGAAAATTCAATTATTATTTTTATAACTCTTAATATTTCTTTAAAAATTCAATTATTATTTTTAATAATTTTAATATTTCTTTAAAAATTCAATTATTCAAAAAAGCTTCAATTTAATTATTTTTCGAATTTTTTTTTTTTTTTATCCATTAAAACTAAAAACTATGCCAAAATTTCGAAATTCGAATAAATTGCTTAAATCGAACTTCAAAAAATTTTGAAAATGGAATTTTAATAATTTTTTTTTAGAAATTTGTCCTGAAAATTTGTTTTGTTCAATTTTGAAATATTCGAAATAAATTTTCCTTATAATATTCTTGTAGAATTATTCTTATTAAGAAATGAAAAAAAAAATTAAATAATATACAATAACATTAGATATTTAAAGTAAAATATTTATTAACTAATTATTATTAATTAAATTAAAAAATAGACTCTTTCGATTTTTTTTTTGCAATGTAAATCAACTTTTTTTGCGTTTTAAAGTCGATTCGAGTTTTGCGATTGGAATAAATAAAAAATGCCATTGTTTCGGAAGCACATGTCTTCTATTATCATCAAATTATACAATAATATATCCTATAATTTTTTTTTTATATATATATATTGTAACAGTATTTCTATATATGACAAAATGTAAAATTAAATCACAATTACGAATCGTATGATATAAACATTTTTTCTAAAAAAAAAAATCTATAATAAATAAAAAAAAACTATATAAATATAAAAGAAAATTTACAATAAGTAAACGTGAAAGAATATTTAATCACATTGCGTAAAACAATTATACACTGGGAGATGAATTATTATAAATAAAGCTGAGTATATATTTCCTATTTTTTTTTGTTTTAAATAAAATTTGTAAACAGACGAGAAAAGAAAAGCTTTCCATTAGGCCTAATTAAAATTCAAATTAACATTAAATTACGTGTAAAATTACGATTAATATTTTTCTCTTTTTTTTTTTTACTTTCTATTAAAGTGTTAAATGTAAAAATTTTTTATCCTAAAAAATGTGTTTTTTTTCGTAAATTTTTTTTTTGTGAAAAGAAACAGAAAATGATTTTTTTTTTTTGCATCATCACAGCATTTGGAAGAATGGTCGTGAAACCATTGTTTTTTTTTTTTTTTTTTTACAAAGTATTCTCGAACTGTACGCTAAAATAAAGCAAAACTTTTGTCATATGACACAAGTCTTAAATTAATGATTCATCTTATTTTAAAGAGCAGTTATACTGTTCTTATTAAGTGAATCGGGAGGTAATTAATAAAACTTAATTATAGAGACGGACAAATACTCCATTAGAGTTAATTATGTATTCTTAATTTTGATATCGATGTTGGTTATCTACTAATTAGATATCGAGTATATATTTATATTCGCTTTCAGTTATTTATTTTTTTTTTTTCTATTAATTAGATATTTTTTGTACGTATCTAGTATAAAAATGCAACTTAGAAAGTATGATATCTATTATCAAACTATTAAACACTTTTTTTTATGAGCATAATAGTAATTTCAAAAGGTCGGGTTTTTTTTTTCCTCTTTTTTCGATGAGTACATTGTGATTATATTTAAGTTTACCTGAAATAAACTCAGGTTGTCGAAGAAAGCTCCCACCACAATTATATAGCGAGAAGATATCAGCCTTTTTTGAGATCTTGGTTTTTTTTTTTTTTTTTTTTTCCTCGAAGAATTCTCTTTTCGAAGTCTAAACCTTGAGTTGGGGGCGGGAATGTACAGTTTACATTAGTAAAAATCGGTAAATGAAACAAAAATTAAAATATTAAAAAAAAATTCTAATTTTCTAAAACCAAAAAAAATTGGTATTAATTTTCTAAATAGAATTTAAATTAAAATCTTAGATAAAAGTGGGGGGGGAGGAAACTTAAATGGCTTTTAAAAAAATGACTTAGAAAAAATTGAGCATTCATTCTTGGCTTTCGATATTATTTCCACCTTCCTCGCAAATTGTAGTGAGATTTCTTACATTACGCAATGCAGTATCATCATTTTCTAAATCAAGTCCAAGACTTTTTTCAAGATTTTGTCGTGCTTGCTCCATTCTATCGCGATTCTCCTCTCTTTTTTGATCGTGATTCAAAAAATGTTTTTCATATCCATTATAGGATTCGTCCTCATTTCCATTCCAACATCGTGTAATTGTTGGCGATGCATCGGGCGAACTATCAGTGTAGGAAAAATCTCCATAGCTTCCAAATATTGGTGATTCAATTGGATACGGTATCGATGGATAGGGAATTGATGTTGACAATATACCATTTTGTGATGCAAACATCCTGTGATATTGATTATAGCACGAGCCGTCCTTTTTTTTCGAATAAATTAATCAATTTTATAAATTAATTCTTGAATATATATTTTTTTGGAAATTTAATTTGTATATTTTCTTTTTATAATTATTTTAAGGGATAATTATGAAAAAATTTTTGTTGAAAGTTAGTGATGATTTGTTTTTAAAAAAATTTAGAATACTTTACCATATTATAATGAGACGTTAAAGCAACTTCCGAGGGTCTGGATTTAACTCGACTGGGTTGAAAAACACAGAGGAGGGTCCAGGTTGGCACAAAAAACTTGAGAATCGTAACGATAACGGTCGCCGAACTATAATAAAGTTGTACGTGATTGTAAATTCCACTGCAACCGTGTTCTTCTTTTTCCACTGAAATTATCAAAAAATTTATTAATTTTTAAAGTAATTAACTACATTTAGGCCTCGAATCGACTTTAAGACAGAAAAAAAGTCGTTTTAGTCGATTTACATTTCAAAAAAAGTCGATGTTTTTATTTTAAATTAAGTTTAATTAGTTAATAAGTATTTTACTTTAAATAACTAATGTTATTCGATATTAAATTCATTTTATTAATTCCTCAATTTTAATAAGCCAAAAGTTTTGAACGTTCAAATGAACTAAATTTTTTTTACAACTTCTTTAAGTACGAATTTTATTACAAAATATTGTTTTAAATATCTAAAAAGTTATTAATTTAATAATTGTTTAATTTACTGTTTTATTTTACATTGCCATTATAATTTTTAATAATTTATAGATTAAAAAAAATATTTTGTTCATTTGAACGTTCAGAACAAATTCTAAAACAATTCAATTTTAGAGTTTTGATTTTAAACTTTTTTAAACAATTGAATTTTTAAAGAAATATTAAAATTATGGAAAATAATTGAACATTGGAAGAATTATAGTTGAAATTTTTAGAAATAATTAAATTTCAGACAATAATTAAATTTAACAAAATTGAAAATAATTTATCAAATAATTTTAGATAATATTTTTTAAAAGTAAATGAATTTTCAATGATTTGCAATTCCAATTTTTTAAATTAAATGAACTTTTTTTTTTAGATTTTTAGTTTTTTTTTTTTATTAAAGAAATTTTTAATGAAGAATTTTTTAGAAATTACAGACAAAAATAGGAAGCTGAAGTACGCAACGTTTAGGATAAACGATTTTTAAAGAAATAATTTTTTAAAATGAAAAAATTCTACAATTTTTTGCCTAATTTTTTTTTTATAATTTCTTGATTAATAAAAACTACAAGAAATTTTTGTTTAGGCAAAAAATTATAGAATTTTTCATTTTAAAAAATTGTTTCTTTAAAAATCGTTTATGATAAACATTGCGTACTTCAGCTTCATACAAAAATTGAATTTCAAAAGTTTTTAATTTAAAAATAATTGAATTTTTTTGAAGAATATGATAAAAATCATTAAAAATAATTTAATGTCAAAAGAGTTATAATTAAAATTTTTTGAAATAATTAAATTTTAGAAGGTTTTAAATTGAAGTTTTTGAAATTAATTGAATTTAAGTGATTTTGAATTGGTATTTTTTGATTTCAGTTGCTGAAGAATTTATTAAAAATCAAAGACAAAAATTGAATTTTAAAATTTTTTTAATGAAAAATCTTTTTAGATAATTGAATTTTCGGGAAAATATTATAAAAATCATTAAAAATAATTGAATTTCGAAAGAGTTATAATTAAAATTATTAAATTTCAGAAAGTTTTAGATAGAAAATTTTAATAATAATTAAATTTTAAAATGTTTTAAATTAAAATTTTTGGTAATTTTATTTGCTAATTTTGTTTTTAATTGTAAACAATTGTTAAATTTAATAAAAATTTCAATTAAAAAATAGTTCTAAATAATTGAATTTGTAAAAAATTTCATTAAAATTATTAAAAATAATTAAATTAAGGAAAAAATTTGTCCCATTGTATACTAAAAAAGACGTAATTTGTTTAAAAATTTGGCAAAAAAAAAAAAAATATAAAACAGTCGGAAAAGTTGCATCTTATTAAAATAAGTCAAAAAATTCGTATGATCCGAGGCCTGTACTTTTATAAATTTTCTAATATAATTATTGAACTAATTAATTATTAATATAAATTTTTTTTTTTTTAATTGTGCTAAACAGTACTAGGAAATCTCTAAAAATTCTCTCCATGCGTTAATTTTTCTGAAATATTTATATTTCAAAATTTTCAAATTAGAATTTTAATAAAGTTAAAATTGTTCTACATAATTTTGCATTTTGACCTTTTGAATTTTTTGTTTGTTTTTTCTTTCTGAATAATTAAGATTCTTTTGAATTACTATTCGGAAAAATTAATATTCCTCGTAACAACGTTTTGCAAAAATTGAGAATACAAAAATTTGAATAATTAGTAGAAAAAGAAAAAAAAAAATTTCTTACAAAGAGTCATTGCGGCATCAAAGACGACAGAAACAGTCGCTGAAAGTTCGTAAACAGCTGTAACAAGCCATAAATCTCGAGTCTGCGATGATGAGGATGGCAACATTAGAGCCGAAATTGCCGTCTGACGACTGCTGTGAGTTAAATAAAGTGCAACTACTGCGAACAATTGCACAGCTATGAAATCAGCACTCGATAGCATTAACCAATAAGGCCCTAAAAAAAAATAATTCAATTAAAAATTGAAAATTTTGAAATCAAATATTGAAAGACTCGAGAAAATTTAAATAGTTTGATCGTTGCAAAAACGAATTCTTTTTTACAAAATTGCAAATTTTTTCCTTCAAAGACAAATTTGCAATAAAAAAAATGAATTAAAAATAAATTGACTTGTGACTTTTATGTAAAATGAGCTCTATTTTTAAATAAAAAAATGAATTATTTTAAATATGAATATAAATTTCCATAAACGTTTAAAAAACAATAAATTATCATATTTATTTCGTCTGAATTGGAAATTAAATTTGCTATATTTAATACTTACGGAAACATTCGGTCCAGGTTCCATTAATATCCACCATTCCCATAAGTACTACAGTAGTACAATAAAGTGTATAGAGACATAAAACAGGATTAATCACATGTTGAACAATGTCATCTCTGTGACGAGATCTGGCTGCCAATGACCAATGTAGATGGCAAATTAAAATAAATTGAAAGAGCTTGAAAAAATTTGTTATAAAATCCAACTGTGGATAACGAACGCCCAATAGAAAACTCGATCCACTGAAAAATTATACATTTTGCAAATATTTATAGAAAGTTTTTTGAAAAAAAAAAAAAAAAAATTAAAACAATTCACTATACTATTTTTATACTATATGCAGGCCTCAGATTGTCTTTAAGGCACAAAAAAGTCGATTTATATTAAAAAAAAAGTCGATTTTTCTTATTTTAACAAAATTTAATTTGTTAATAAATATTTTACTTTAAATAACTAATGTTATTAGATATTAAATACATTTTATTAATTCTGTAATTTATTTATTTATTAATGAGAATAATTAGCTATAAAAATATAATAAAGAAAATTTATTTCTATTTCATAATCGAACTAAAAGACAAAAAATTCAAAATTTTATTTAAATAGGACCAAATTTCTAAAAAAAATTTCAGGCAATAGTTAATCAAGTTTTACAGATTTTTAAATATTTTTTTTTTTTTTTTAATAATTTTGGAAGAGTTATAATGAAATTTTTAGAAATAATTGAATTTCAATTTGTTAATTTTCAGACAACAATTAAATTTTACAGAACTAAAAATAATAATTTTAGATGACATTTTTAAAAAGTATTTGAATTTTCAAAGATTTACAATTCAGATTTTTGAAATTAATTGAACTTTAAGTTATTTTTAATTAAATTTTTTTGATGATTTCACTAAAAAAAATTATTAGAAATTGCAGACAAAAATAAAATAATTTGAAAACTTTTTTAAGGGGAAAAATGGTTTTAGATAGTTGAATTTTCGAAAAATATTATAAAAATCATTAAAAAAAATAATTGAATTTTGAATTATAATTGAAATTATTAAATTTCAAAAAAAAATTAAATGGAAAATTTGAAAAATAAATAAATTTTACAAGTTTTTAAATTTAAATTTTTGAAAATAATAATTGAATTTCAAAAGATTGTGTTAAATTTCCGTCAATAATTATAATAAGAGAAATTTTTAGTGATTTCTGTTGATGAAGAATTTATTAGAAAGCACATACAAAAAATTAAATTCCAAAAATTTTTAATTTGAAAAATGCTTTCAGATAATTGTGATTTTGAATTAAAATTTTGTGGTAATTTTATTTGCTAATTTTTTTTTTTTTTAATTTTGAAACAATTATTAAATTTTCATAAAAATTTTAATTGAAAAATAGTTCAAAATAATTGAATTTGTGAAGAATTTCATTAAAATTATTAATTAGTATTTTTTCTAGGATCTGAATTTTGTCAATTAAAATTATAAAAAAAATAATTAATTTAGTGAAGAATTTTAGTTAAAAATTTGTTAAATAATTGAAATAAAGAAAATCTAAAGAAGATTTGCATTGACAAACAAAAATTGAATTTCAAAAGTTTTTAATTAAGAAATGCTTTAAAAATAATTGAATTTTTTGAAAAATATTATAAAAATCATTTAAAATCATTAAATTTTGAAAGAGTTACAGTTGAAATTTTTAGAAATAATTAAATTTTAAAAAGTTTTAAATTGAAGTTTTTGAAATTAATTGAATTTAAGTGATTTTTAATTGGTATTTTTTGATTTCAGTTGCTGACGAATTTATTAAAAATCAAAGACAACAATTGAACTTAAATCTTTTTAATTGAAAAATGCTTTCAGATAATTGTGATTTTGAATTAAAATTTTTTGGTAATTTTATTTGCTAATTTTTTTTTTAAATTTTGAAACAATTATTAAATTTTCATAAAAATTTTAATTGAAAAATAGTTTAAAATAATTGAATTTGTAAAGAATTTCATTAAAATTATTATTGAAAAATGCTTTCAGATAATTGTGATTTTCAAAGAATATTATAAAAATTATTCAAAAAGTAATTGAAATTTTTGCAAATAATTAAATATCAAGCGATTTTGAATTAAAATTTTTTGGTAATTTTATGTGCTTATTTTTTTTTAAATTTTGAAACAATTATTAAATTTTCATAAAAATTTTAATTGAAAAATAGTTTAAGATAATTGAATTTGTGAAGAATTTCATTAAAAAATTATTAAAAATAATTAATTTAGTGAAGAATTTTAGTTAAAAAATTGTTAAATAATTTAAATAAAGAAAATCTAAAGAAGTTTTTCATTGTATTTTAAAAAATATGTATTTTCTTTTAAAATTTTGTAAAAAATATTGGAAAAAGAAGTTGAAAAATCGTATATTATTAAAATAAATCGAAAAAATTCGTTTTTTTCGAAAAAACGTCGGAAAAAGTCGTATAATCGTAGGCCTGTATATGATATATATACATATATATTAAATTTATAATTCTAGATTTAATTATAAAGATTTAAAAAATTACCAGAGGATGTATTGAATGGCAGAGACATAAAATATTGCATAATGATGCATTTGTAAATGTCTGTATCTGTGATATTTTATGAGCTTTAGCAAAATCAGAAGAAATGTGATTGCACTGATGAAAACCAAAATGCTGATTCGGCCACATGCCATTGTATCGTAGAAATCGAGACATCCTTTATTTAATACGTCTATCGTATCGTTGCCGTACTTCCGACTGCGACCCATTTTTTTTTCTAAATGGATTACACAGCTCTAGAACAAAGATATAACACATAGAACACAATATATATATTTTTTTAAATTTACCTCATACATAATTATAAATTTATAATTTACCAAATTTATTTTAAATATAAAAAAAGTGAAAAGTTTTAATACCAAATATTAAGAATTAAAAAATTAATAATAAAATAGTTAAAAATTGATTCATGTAATTTTTTTCCGTCAAATTGAAAAAAAAAAAAATTATTGTGAACCAATTTTGAATTAAAAATTTTTAATGTCTTTTAAATCAAAAAATTGCAATTTTTAATTACATACACATGAAATGTCACTAGAGTTAACTTTACGAGGCCATTAACCCCTTTCAAATGTCAGGAATTCCTTTTACTTTTTTTTTTTTACGCCCTTTTTAGAATATTTGTCTGAATCTCATAATTCTCTACCCCCGTGTACCACATTTGAATGAAATTGATTATTTACGCGAAATAGTAGAGTAAAACTAATAAAGAACAATAAAATACTAAAAAAAAGCAAAAAAAAAATATATTGAAATTGACATTCCAAATACGTAACCTCAATAAACCAAAGTTATGAATAAAGAAACAATAATAATCTCTCCATAATATTCAATTGTTTATTAATCCCAAGAATATGCAATTTAAAACAAAAACAAATGCGTTTATCTGTCAAAATCAGAATTTACCTTTTAAAACTGTTGTTTTTTTTTTTTTTTTTTTTCTAATTTGGATCAATTAGTGCAATACGTAACATTGAACTTATGGCAGTCTCCATTATTGTTAACCGCATTTTTATTTATTAAAATTGTAAACAATTATAATAACAATAGAGGGGGGGAAAAAAAACACTGAGCACTGCACACTACACGAGATCACACATTATATTTCTTTATTGCCGACACCATTTTGCATTCGACACTCTCCGGTCGCGCAGAATGACGTCATACTTACACAGTCAATACGAATTCAGCCGAGTTTAACCGAATATCAACGAGTTGAGATTTTTAAATTATTTAAAAATTTCTCGAATTTCTTAATCGATAAAGATAATAATTATTATTGATTTTTATTTATTAATAGTAACAGAACGTGATTACGTCATGAATGAAATAGCTCAACATTTTTATCGTTAACGACTTATTTTAATTTCCAAGGTAGCAATTATTATCATTTTATTTCGTCTACTTTTTTTATTTTTCTATTATTGGAAAAAAAAGAATTAGTTTCTTGTATAGTGTTTACACCTGTAAATCAATATACTAATAGAATTTCAAGTATCGAATTTTAAAGTTAAAAAATAATAATAATAATAAATTATTTTTATTATTAATATTTGTTAATAATAATAATTAATTAATTAATAATTCATTATTACTATTAAATAATAATAATAATTTCATTTTTTTTATTGATTATTGATTTTCAATTTATTTTAGAAATTTGTCTCTTTAATTGTTGATCTTCTATAATATTGTTATAATTAATTTAACTGTAAGTGTTTAAAAAAATAATCGAATAGACAATAAAAAAAAAAGTTCAATTAAATATTTTTCTATTTAAAAAAAAAAGAAAATTTTTTATAAAAGAAATTTAAAAAAAAAACTAATAATAATTATAAATTATATGAATTTGTTCAATATTATTATTTTAATGATAAATTATTTTTAAGACAAAAAAAATAAAAAATAGAAAAAAATAATAATGAATAATAAAAAATAATGATAAATAATAAAAAAATAAATAAATAATTAGAAAAAAGTTATAAAGAACAATGGCTTTAAAATTCAATACAAAGGAAATAACTGTAAAGGAGTATTTGAAAATAAAAATTAAAATATAAGTGATAGGACAATGCCTTTTATTAAAATAATTAAAAATATATCTTAAAAACGCTATAATTATGGCTAAGTTACTAAAAAAAGGTCAGAAGGGAAGATTTTCTTTTGTGATCAATTTTCAAAAATATTTCATTTAAAAATCGGAAATAATAATTAAATTTTTTTTCATTCTTCCTTTTTTCCTCTTGACTATCATTTTTTTTTAAAAGTGAAATAAAAATATTAAACATTTTTTTTTAAATTGAAAATATCTTAATTTTTTTTTTTTTTTAAATTAAAAAAAGCGCATTCAGTTCATTTTCTTCTATATGAAAATCAAAAATTTGCATAACTAACAATATTTAATTCTCTCTTTTTCGCACACACATTTAATTTCTTTCACTCTTTTTCTTTTTTTTCTCTCTCTCTTTCTCTGTAATACTCGACCAGAGATTCTATATAATAAATTTTCTTTCAAATTGAGAATTTCATTTGGTTTTTAATGTTCACATTTTACAATCATCACGATGAACATTTTGAGCCCAATCACAGATAAATGTTTCCGGATTGTATACAAGTCCATCTCGACATTGGAATTTCAGAGGTTTTCCATAAACGCATCTGTAGTACTGTTGAAAAAAAAAAATATTGTTTTTTTTTTAGTAAATTTTTTTTTCCATTGCAAATATTTAAAAAATTTGAAATTATTTTCTGACATTTTTTTTTTTTTTTTAATGGTATGAAATATTATTTGTTTAATTTTTATTTAATGAATAATATTTTTTAAATTAATATTTTTCCAAATTAATATTTGTCTAAATTATTATTTTTCCCATTTAATGTTTTTCCAAATTAATATTTTTCCAAACTACTATTTTTCCAAAATTAATATTTTTTCCAATTAATATATTTCCAAACTACTATTTTTCCAAAATTAATATTTTCCCAAATTAATATTTTTCCAAACTACTATTATTCCCAAATTAATATTCTTTTAAAATTAATATTTTTTGAAATTAATATTTTTCCAAATTAATATTTTTCAAAATTAATATTTTTCCCAATTAATATTTTTTCCAATTAATATTTTTCCAAACTACTATTTTTCCAAAATTAAAATTTTCCCAAATTAATATTCTTTTAAAATTAATATTTTTCCCAATTAATATTTTTCCAAACTACTAGTTTTACAAAATTAATATTTTCCCAAATTAATATTTTTCCAAACTACTATTATTCCCAAATTAATATTCTTTTAAAATTAATATTTTTCCAAATTAATATTTTTCAAAATTAATATTTTTCCCAATTAATATTTTTTCCAATTAATATTTTTCCAAACTACTATTTTTCCCAAATTAATATTTTTACAAACTACTATTTTTCCAAAATTAAAATTTTCCCAAATTAATATTCTTTTAAAATTAATATTTTTCACAATTAATATTTTTTCCAATTAATATTTTTCCAAAATTAAAATTTTCCCAAATTAATATTCTTTTAAAATTAATATTTTTCCCAATGAATATTTTTTCCAATTAACATTTTTCCAAAATTAATATTTTCCCAAATTAATATTTTTCCAAACTACTATTATTTCCAAATTAATATTCTTTTAAAATTAATATTTTTCCAAATTAATATCTTTTAAAATTAATATTTTTCCAAACTACTATTTTTCCCAAATTAATATTTTTTAAAATTATAATTAATTGTAATTATTATTTTTTTTAAATCAATATTTATTTTAAATTAACATTTTATTAAATTAAAATTTTTTTTAAATTAATAATTTTTCAATTATAATTTAATAATTCTAATTATTTGAGAAACGGATGCGATATATATATATATATATTGAAATTAATTTTCACTTACTAAAGTACAATCTTTAGATGGCATATAGTCCTGGTCGCCACATTTAATTTCATTGGAATCGTCATCAATTTCATCAATAGGTTTTGGAGGTGAATCGGGTTTCCCAGGCCAACTTGGTCGAGGAGTTGTTTCCTCAATTTCCCTTAATGGAGTTGTTGATTGGGGTCTTGTTACTATAGGTTTTGGTGTTGAAGGCTTTACGTATCCCGGACCAGGAGTTGTACTCGGTGGTCTCGACCATTCAGGCTAAATAAATTTACATTCATCATATACATATATAAAATAAAATCAATTCAACTATTATTTTAATCATTAATTAAATTTTCTTAATTAATAAATTAATAATTAATATATAAATAAAATTAATGGAACTATTATTTTAATCATTAATTAAATTAATTAATTAAATAATTATTTAAATAATTATTTAAATTTACCTAATTAATTAATTAAATGTAATTATTATATTCAATTTGCAAATTAATATGCCCGATTTTTAAAATTAAAAATTACAAAAAAAAAACTTTCTTCCTTTTTTACAATTATAATTATTTTTGTTTTCTGAAATTTTAATCTAAAATAGAATTAAAAAATAAATTTTATTAATTTTTATTTCTTTGGGAAAAAAAAGAAAAAATTACCCTTGATGGAAGTTCTTTAGTGGGTTTGGGTACTTGATAATTTTTCATGTTTTCATGTAAAATTTGTGTCAAAGTATTTGGCTTTCCACAAATTCCTCTAAAATCGTCCATATCAAGGGCCCAAATCATTGCCCCCAAATAGCCCTTCTTTTTGATGAAATCCATTTTAATTTGAACACTCTCTGGATCTTCGTAACCCACCCATTGTGTATCTAAAAATATTTATTAAATACATTTTATTTTTCACGAAAATTATTATTATTATTTAATTTTTTATTATTATTTAATTATTAAATTATTATTATTATTATTATTATTATTATTATTAAATTACCTTTATAGGCGAAAGGAACTTTTCCTATCGAATCCCATCTTTTGGTCCATCCAGATTCGGGATCATTAACTTCTGTGCAAATCTAAGAAAAAGGAACAAAATTTTAATAAATAATTATTTTTTGCTATATTTCTAATTAAAAAATACTAAGAAATATAATAAGAATATTTAGAAATCTAATTAGAATAAATATTTAGAAATATGATTTTATTTTTAATAAATAAAAAATAGAATTAGAATAAAAATATGTTTTTTTTAATTGACAGAAGTAAATTATATTAATATTGTTTGACACTATTTCTATTAAATAGTGTTTCGAAAGAAATTTTTGTTTTGAAATTTTTAGTGTTAAATAATATATTAATAGTTTTTTTTTAATAACCTCGTAATAAGAGAGAAATCCTTTGGCCTGAGTATATTTTCCAGGTGCACCTCCACCCGCTTCTTTATTAATATACGTTCCTAATTCATAATTTTTGTTACCAGCACTCAATGTGAAAGTACGTCCATAAAATGGAACACCAACTACTAATTTATTTGATGGACATCCCATATCCTCCCACAACAAAAGACCATCGTGCTAAAAATAATTAATAAAAATAATTTAAATAATTAAAAAATAATAATTTAAATAATAAAAATAATAACAATAATTAAAAAAAAATTTTTTTTAATAATTAAAAAAATAAAAATAATAATAATTAAAAAATAAAAATAATTTAAATAATAACAATAATTAAAAAAAATTTAAATAATAAAAACAACAGGCCTCGGATTATACGACTATTTCCGACTTTTTTTTCAAAAATACGACTTTTTTTCGACTTATTTTAATAAAATGCGACTATTTCGACTTTTTTTTACATTTTTAAAAAAATTTTTTAAATAAAATATATTTTTTTTAGTATAAAATGCAGATGATCTTCAGATCTTTATTTTAATTATTTAACAAATTTTTAACTAAAATTCTTCACTAAATTAATTATTTTTAATAATTTTAATGAAATTCATCACAAGTTCAATTATTTCAAATTATTTTTTAATTAAAATTTTTATGAAATTTAACAATTGTTTATAATTTTTAAAAAATATCAAAAAAATGACCAAAAATTTTTGATTCAAAATCATAAATCAATTCAAAATCAAATAAAATTTAATTATTTTCAAAAATTTCAATTCAAAATCAACTAAAATTCAATTATTAGCCGAAATTTCAATTCAAAATCAAAGAAAATTTAATTATTTTCAAAATTTTCAATTCAAAATCTTTTAAAATTCAATTATTTTCCAAATTTTCAATTTAAAATCAAATAAAATTCAATTATTACCAAAAATTTCAATTCAAAATCAATTAAAATTCAATAATTATCGAAAAATTTCAATTCAAAATTTTCAATCAAAAATCAACTAAAATTGAATTATTATCCAAAATTTTAATTATAATTCAATTATTTTCAAAAATTTGAATTTAAAAGCTTCTAAAATTTTCCATCGAAAATTTTTTGAAATTTAACAATTTCAATAAATTATAACTCTAAGGAAATTAAATTATTTTTAATTATTTCTATAATATTCATTGAAAATTCAACTATCTGAAACCATTTTTCAATTAAAAATGGTTTTCAAATTATTGTATTTTTGTCCGCAATTTATAATAAATTTTTTAGTGAAATCATCAAAAAAAATTTAATTAAAAATCACTTGAAGTTCAATTAATTTTAAAAATCTCAATTGTAAATCTTGAAAATTCAATTACAAAAATCGATTTTTTCGACTTTTTTTGGAATATAAATCGACTAAAACGACTTTTTTTGTGCCTTTAAATCGATCTGAGGCCTGAAATAATAACAATAATTAAAAAAAATAATTTAAATAATTAAAAAATAAAAATAATAACAATAATTAAAAAATAATTAACTTACCACATTTAATTTTTCATAAGCCCATTGATCGCTGGGTCTTTTGTACAATGGACTGTGAACGTCCGCAAAACCAGCCCAATTTCCTCGTAGATCATATGACATCACATGAATGGCGTCAACATTTCTATATAAAAAAAAAAAAAAAAATTTAATGTTATTTTCAATTTGAATCTATTTTTCGACAATAAATTCCATTTTTCCCTCTCTTATCGCAATAAACTCACTCGCAAATTTCTGGAACGTGATAACCTTCTTGAAGACGGAATTTCGCCAAAGGCACTGCCATTGTAATCTCCCATCCTTTTTTTTCTTTATCAAAAGCTCTTCTCAATTCTTCAACGAAATAAAAGAAATTATCTTTATCCGAGAATTTTCCACCTCTATCGGCAGCCGCAGGATATTCCCAATCCAAATCGAAACCATCGAATTCGTACTTTTTCATAAATTCTAGAAAAAAAGTGGAAAATTTTATTTTTGCTTTTTGGAACGCATTAATATTCTCCCACACTAAATTTTTTTGGAATTTCTATACGATTTCGAAATTTTCTCGAAATTTCTATGCGTTAATTAAATTTTATCAAATTTATATTGAATTGAATTTTCTTATTTAAGAATTTTTATTTAGTCGAAAGTTTTCTAAAACAAATTTTCTATGATGATAAAATTTTAATTTAATATAATTTTTATTTCACAAATTTTTTATTTTGCAAAATTTTTATAATATAAAATTTTATTTAAAATTTTTTAATCGTAGTTTCAATTAACAAAATATGATTAAAAGAATTTTCATTTAATTGAATTTACATGTAAAATAATTTCTATTTGACAAAACTTTTATTTAACCGAATTTTCAATATATAAAGAAATATTTTATTTTAACGAATTACTAGGTAATTATTAATTAATTATTATTAATTAGCAAAATTTTCTTTTAATAAAATTTCTACTTAGACAAATTTTTAAATAGCAAAATTTTCATTTTATCAAAACTTTATTTTATCAGAAGTTTCAACTGCACGAATTATTGTCATTGTTGTAGAAAATTTTCAAAAATCGCCGAATTTTAATTTGACCGAAATTGCAAATGTCCGAACAAATATTCAATAAAAAAATTCAAAATTCCATCAGATGATAATTTTGTTAAATTGGAATTAATTTAATTCAGTTAAAATAAAAGTTCTATTATTATAAATAAAAATTTCCTTTAAATGTGAAATCAAAATTCTGTTACATGAATTTTTTTTTGCTAAATATGAAAATTATTGAAAATTCGGTAAATGTAGAAAATCTGTTTTATAAAATTTTGACTAAATTCCTTTCATTGTGATTTTAATTAAAAAATTCTGAAAAATTCAAATCGTTATAATTTTATAAAATTCGGTAACATAGAAATTTGAGTTTTGTAATTTCGATACCGTAGAAAGGGAAAAAAAAATAATTTTTTTTTTTTTTTTTTAGGAACAAAAAAGAGGAATAATTTCTCACCAACGACACTTTGAATGAATGTATCGCGTCTTGCTTTGACACTGACAAGATTGCTGTATTTTCTTCCACCTTCACCCCAACCACCAACGGCAACTTCTGTTTTTAAATTGGGATATTTGTGTTTGAGATTTGTAAAGTTTCTAAATCCAGTTTTATCAATGTCAACATCCTCATCGAGTACCAAAACTTCCCATGTTACATTGCTCACACCAATAAATGAATAAATCACATGGGTACATAATTCACCTGGAATATCATCAATTCCATAACTACCAATTCCCGGTCTGTAAATTGCCCAATTGCTAAAGTAGCAAACAACTCTTGCTTCTTTATTGCCCTCTCCTATGGAATCGGATAAAAAAAATTATTTTAGTTTTCTTTTCTTCAAACAAAAAAAAAAAAAAAATAATAATAACAACTTACCAGAACATGTTGCAAATGCTGCAAATAGTAAGAAAAGGGAAACGAAAAGTTTCCCAAAAGACCAGATCATTCTAAAACTGAATAACAAATTTTTATTATTATCTGTTTTCGACAGAATTCAAGAAAACTTAATATTTCAATAATGGATATTTTGAAAATAAATCACAAGGTTTTATTGACATTACACTCATTTTGCAATCATTGATTCTTATCAAAATCGAGATAATAGTGATGCAATATTGATAGAAATCTATTTTTTGCAACTGTGATGATTTATTTTTGTTTTTGTTATTAACTATAAATTCTGTCCTACAAGGGAAGACCATACACTGAAAAAAAATTTTTTTATTTGATTCAAATAATCGGTTACTATTATCAAATAAATATTTACTAGAACCAAATAATTTTTTGACCAACTAATAATTTGAATTGAATTGAATAATATTTTTCCAAATTAATATTTTTCCAAACTACTATTATTCCCAAATTAATATTCTATTAAAATTAATATTTTTCCCAATTAATATTTTTCCAAACTAATATTTTTCTCAATTAATATTTTTCCAAATTAATATTTTTACCAATTAATATTTTTCCAAATAAATATTTTTCCCAATTAATATTTTTCCAAATTAATATTTTTTCAAATTAATATTGTTCCAAACTACTATTTTTCCAAAATTAATATTTTTTGACCAACTAATAATTTTAATTGAATAAACTGTATTTGAATTTTGTATTTGCAATAAATTAAATTTGACTCCAAAATTATTTAATACAAATAAATATTTATTTGATAATAGTTAAGTAATTATTTGAAATATTTTTTTTTTTTTGTCGTTTATTTGAGATAAAATTTATTTGTAGCAAATAAAAATATATTTGTCTCTCAGAGCCTAATACCTTTTCATTTGTTTTAATTAAAAGAAAAAATTTATTTAGCGCAAATAAAATTTTTATTTAACTCAAAATTTATTTGAAACAAAAATTTATTTGGCTCTCAGAATTTTTTTTCTATATACTTGTCACTTACATACATTTTTCCCTTGTACGGCAGAATTGTAAATATTTGGATTTTGATAAATTGTAAAATTAGAAATTAATTACAAAAATTGTTCCTCGGTTTTTTATTTTCGAAAAAACGAAAAATTCCAAAAAAAAAAAACTCACTTTCTCAAATTCTTTTAAAACTAAATTCAAATTTCAAAATTTGTTTCTTTAAAAAAATTAAATTAAAAATTTTTGAAATCAAAAATCTAATTTTAATAAATGAAAATTTATTGTTTCTGTATTTAAAAAAAAATTAGGTTACCTATATTCAACGAAATTACGAAAATAAATAAACTATAAAATCAGCAATGGAGAAAAAGAGCGAGAGATGTGTTGTTATTGAGGTTTCACTCGATTCTGCAACGCGCGTTTGACTTTTTGAGTATACAGCGCAAAGTGTGGTTTTTTTTTCTTTTTTTTTTTTTAAAAAAAAGGGGGGAAGGAAGAGGTGTGGATCATTCTACTCTTCTTGAGGGGAGAGTAGAGGGAGGGAATGATCTACAGCGACCGGTTTTCGATTAGCAATCATCGATCGCGGTGACATTGCCGTTACTATCTGTAAAATACCATAATCTTGTAATGCTAATTCCGCACACCACGCGTTTTATAAACTGGCTCCATGAAAAATCATGTGTAAAAAGGAAATAAATTATTTCGAGTATTCCCTATACACTGCGGACCAGTTCTCGCGATCTTGATCTTGAATTACTTCTTGAGAGAGAGGTCGATGACATGTCCTTTATGTCAAATGAATTTTTTTTTTTTTTTTTTAATTCAATTAAAGAAAATATATTTACACTGAGAAAAAACATTTAGTGTTTGCAACAAAATTGTTTGGTTAGGCAATTTTGATTCTTGTAACGAAATTTTGGTTGGCTGAAACGTGTTATTTCAACCAAAGATTTGGTTAGGCCAACAAAATTATTTGGTTGAAAATTTTCAAATTCCAACCAAAAATTTGGTTACGACAACAAAATAATTTGGTTAACACAATAAAATAGTTTGGTCTAAAAAACCAAATGATCGTTTGTTGTCCTAACCAAAATTTGGTTGCGACAACCAAATAATTTGATGTTTAATCAACCAAACATTTTTGTTGACATAACAAAAAAAATTTGGTTGAGCTAACCAAACATTTTTGTTATGCCAACAAAAAAACACTCAACCAAATTTTTTGGTTGACCCAAACAAATAGTTTGGTTGCTTAAATACCAAGAAAATTTTTTTGTTGGCCCAACCAAATTTTGATTGCTCTGACTAAATATTTTTTTCAGTGTACGATTTTGTGGCTGATATGATGTGAGAAAATTTACTATGTAAATAATTAAAATTTTTACTGTGGAATATAGTGATCCGGGAAGGTAATTTTCAAAAATTGAAAATTCTGTGAGACGGAGAAATAATAAAGAAAAATTAATGGAATTTAAAAAAAAAAATTATTTTTTGATTACGCGAATTTGAGGTTAGATTTTGAAATTTTTTATACAAAACGACGAATTAATTAAATAAAAGGAAAAAAATTAATTTTCGATTTGCTGATTACGAATTTGATGTTAGATTTTGAAATGACTCAAGGAAACTCATAACATAACCTCAAACTAAAAAGTATTTTTTTTTTAAATAACGAATAAAATTAAAAAAAAAAAATAGATTTTATCAAATTTTGAAATAGTTGTACAATTTTCAAAAAAAAAAAATTATTTGGGGACAAAATTTGTTGAGAAATAATTAAAATATATTTAATATCAATAAAAAAAAATTTTTTTCTGTAAAGAGGACAATGCTAAATGACTTAAGGAGATTCATAACATAACCTCAAACTAAAAAGTTGTTTTTAATGATAATAAAAATAAATTTCATGAAATTTTGAAATTTTTGGAAAAAAAATAATTTTAAGTCAAAATTTGATGTTAAATAATAATTAATAAACTTTAAGAAAAAAATTTTTTTTTTAAAATTTTTGTCTTGAATATAATAAAAGAAACATTTTTAACATTAAATAAAAATAATTTGATTCAAATAATTGGATATTTTACTAATATCAAATAAGCATTTATTTGAATTATATAAACTTTATTTGAACCAATAATTTCTGTACCTACTTGAAATAAATACCATTTAATTATTAAAAATAATCATTTAATACAAATAATAATTATTTGTTGCAAATAAGTATTTGATACAAGTAATAATTATTTATTGAAAATAATAATAATTTATTATTTAATTATTATTATTATTATTATTATTATTATTATTATTAATTATTATTTATTAAAATAATAATTGTTTAATAAAAATATTATTTAATAAAAATAAATATTTATTTGATAATTCTAAAGTGATTACTGGAATCAAAAATAATTTTTTTGTTCAGTGTCAGGATTTGTCTACTGAGAAATTTTGCAATCAAATTTGAAGTTAGTTAAAAAAAAAAAAAAATAAAGTATAGAAATAAATTTTGAAATTTTATTAATAAACAAAAGAAATCTTATTTGATATCTGAGTAATTTATAACAAAAAAGCACTATATATATAATTAAATAATAAACATTTGTCTTGGCAAATTATTTCAACCTTGTAAAATTTAATCGCTAATATAATTACGCATTCGCATGTTTAAATTTTTGTTATTACTATAAAGTCTATTATTATCAGTTTTTTCTACTTAATTTCTAATAGTTTAATAATGTACAGGCATTTAATTATTATATATAGAGTTTTTTTTTGTAATATATTTTAATTTGAAAATTTTTTTTTTGTAACCAATTTTTTTTTAGTTTAGTAAAATTTTTTGGATTTTTTTTTTTTAATAATTGTAGGGTAATTGTAATTTTTTTTTTAAATCATTGGAAAGTTCTTTGAGTTCGATTTTTTAAATATTTTTTATTTTTTTATTTTATTTTTTAATTAAGGGTATTTTTATTTAGTTTTATTTATTTATTTTTTTAAATTTATTTTTTAATTAATTATTTTTATTTATTTATTTATTTATTTTTATTTATTTAAAAAATTTTTTTTTTTTAATTTGCTCCAAAGAATTTTTTTTCTAATCAACGATTTTTTTCGGTTCAAAGAAACAATTCACTCTTGACTTCTAATGCATGCGGAAAATATTAATTAAAAATGCAAAACTTATTGAAAAAATTCTAACGAGACATTGCAATATTGACATTGTGAAGATTTCTTTTTCGCTCTTTCCTTCTTTTTCTCTCTCTCTCTCTCTCTCTAAGAGAGGCGAATTGGTATTCAAAGTGCAATGAGGGGTATAGAACTCGAAGGCTGCCTTCGTTCGATGTACTTTGCATTTTAAAACCTCATCGTGAATAGAATTCGTGGGTGGATAGACAGTTATTTACAAAACGATGGACCTTTTTCTGTTTATTTACTCCTGATTCTTTTTCTTTTTCTTCTTACTTTCACATTGATATATGCAAATTAGAAAAATACGAACCCTTTTACAAAACCATCAACCTTTTTTTAAAAAAAAAAAAAAATTCTATCTAAAAATTATTTTCCAATACCAAATTTGGAAATGAGAAATTAAAATCAAATTAAATTACAAATTAATATTGAAAAAATATTTTATTGAAAATTTTTATTAATATTTAATATTTAAAAAAAAAAATTTGTTTCAGCAATGTTAAATTTTGATCTAGGAATTTGAAAAATGAATTTAACAATAGAAAAAGACTTTATTGATTGTTCATCGATTTGTTTGCATGAAAATATCGTACACGGAAGAAAGAACGTTTATCGCATTATTAACGGTCTTGCGCGCATTATTGTCGAAGGATTTTGCATTGTTGAACCTTTTTTTCTTTTTTTTTTTTTCTTTTTTTTATTTCTTATAACGTAATTTATAGTTTCCACCTTCGCGCGCAATTCATTCACACTTGAAAAGTATCTCTCTTAAGAATTATGTATACCGATTAATAGTTTCACACAGTGATAATTGCTCGGATCAATTTATCATTTCGTTATTTAACTCTCGGACCAAATCTCATTTATAAATCTCTCGACAAATTGCTGCTGCTTTTATAATTAACATCCTTCCGTAGAAAAAAATGTTAATTTTAATCTTTAAACTAAATTGTAATTTTTTTTTTTAAATCAACTTTAATTAATTTTTATAATTGAAAAAATAATTATTTAACAAATAAATTTTATTTTTTATTTATATTTATGAATTTTTTTTTTTTTAATTCATATTTATGAAATTTATTTTTATTAAATATTTTAAAAAAACATTCCTTACAAGGAATATTTTAATATTCAATAATATTCCTTAAAAAAAAAAAATAATGCATTTCCGTATTTTATGAGTGTAATAAAAAATGATGATAAAAAAATGTGTCTTAAGGTCGCAAATAACATTTTTTTAAAGGCGGAATAAAATCGGCCTCGTATAACGATTACGGCAGCCAAGACGAATAACCGGAAATGAAATGGTTCGTTACACTAGGCAATCTTCTTTTATTTAACCATTGAGAAATTCTCAATTTCTGATCATCCACGAAGCTTTGAAAAAAAAAACACAAACTATTTCGTTAATATCTAATATTGCACAAGAATTACAAAATAGATTTTTTTTATATGAAAAAAAAAAAAACACCAGAAACAAACCACTTGGAAAACGATATATTTTATACAAATTTACATCGTTAGCCACAAAAACACATTATAAAACAAATTCGTCTTAATTTATTAAATAACTGAAAAAATTTTTCTAACTCCATGGGAAATTTTATGTAAATTATATAAAAGTTACCACTAAATTTATTATTTATTTATTCCAACATTTTTATAATTATTTTTTTATATTTATATTTTTTATAATTATTTTTTAAATATTTTTCATTTTTTTTTAAATTTATATTTTATATTTATTTTTTTATATTTATTTAATTATTTTATTTATATTTATATTTAATGAATTTAGATTTTCACTTAGAAGAAAATTTTCAAACAGATAAAATATATAATTTTTTTTTTCAAATAAAATTTGATGTACCTAATTTAATTAAAGGGGGGTAATTTTTTTTTTATTCCTTATATTTGATAAACAGTAAACGTCAAAATTTTATTTATGAAAAAATTCCACATTCAAGAATATATTTTTGCTAATAAATTTTCAATCTCTCTTTCTGAGATTATTAGAAGAAGCATTCATAAACCATAAATGGAAAATTATTATAATTACTAATTAAAACTTGAGGGAAAGGCAAAAATGCACTTTGACATTTTATAAATTATTTGCATGATTAATTTTTTTTTATTTTTTTTAATTATAACAGAGATATAAATCATGTTTCTTTCTTCGGATATTTTCTTATTCTTTTTCGATATATATATAACAGAAAATCGTGATTGGAGGAAAAAAAAATTTTTTTGTTCATATTACCGGAAAATAATTTGAAAAAAAAATAGAATATAAAGAAATAGAGTAATAAATATACAAATAAATAAAAAAAAATATATTTATAAATATATAAATAATATAATAATAAAATATTAAGATAATAAAATGTTAAAATAAAAATAAAAAAAATAAATAAATGCCTAATAGTAAAATATAAAAAAAAATGAAAAGTAAAAATTAAAAAATTAAAAAAATTAATTTTTCTCACATAAAAACTTGCAATTTTCGTTTTTTAAATGAAAACCTTATTTGCTCTCTTAAAATCGCGAAATTACTGTCCAACGATTACTCAATTACATTAAATATTGACATTAATTTCAATAGATTTATGATAAGATTATATTACTTATCAACTGATTCACTGTCATTGCTATTAAATTGTATTTTCTATTACACTGCGTTTATATTCCCAGAATAACTTGTTTTTCAATTTTATTTTATAAAACTAAGAAATTTTTTTTTATACATATTATTAAATAAATAAATAATTAAAAAAAAAATAAATAATTAAAAAAAAATAAATAAATAATTTTAAAAAAATAATAAATAAATATATAGAAATTGGAATCACTCAAAATTAAAACATTCTAGAAATATAATTTTTTATATAAAAATTCAACACTATTAATTTAATTTAATTTTTATTTTACAAAACCAAAAATTTAATTTACAATTTTTTAATTAATTCATTAATTTTTCATATTTCAATATTTATTGTCATTTAAATTTAACAAATTTTAATAAGTAAATAAGGAAAATTTGGAAATTTACTTCTTTTTTTATTTTATCATTTAGAAAAAATGACTTCTAACAGTTGAATAATAAATAATTGATTATTTCTAATATTTTATTTCTTTGAACACGCGAGGAAAAAGAAGTTCAAGGTTTTCAGTGAAAGTATATACCTTTATATATATATATATATATATATATATATATATTTTTTTTTTTTCTTAGGTAAATGACCTCAAAAAAAAAAAAAAATCTGCAAATTTTATTAGTAAAAGTAAACAAAAATAAAATTTAGTTTAAATTTTTTTCACTCAATCAATTACGTTATCTCTCCCCCAAAAAAATCGTCATTTTTCTTCGGGGAAAAAAAAGTGTGCTAATGGGATTCGTTTTTATAAAAATAACCGTTTAAGAAATGCAAATTTTTGTACTGCTAATCGTTTTTATTATGAGAAATTTAATTTCCTAACTGTACACTTTTTTTTTCAAAATGTTAATTTTCAATTCCATTTAGTTTACTTTTTTCAAAACAATTATATATATATATATACAAAATTCCAGTGCAAAAACAAATATTGATCGAAAAATAATAGGGAAAAAAAATTTTTTTGGCGCCAAAATAAATTTATAATTGGAAAAACTAAAATATTTATTGTAACAGCTAAATATTTTTCTGGGATTTGCAAAATCTTTAATAATAAATAATTATTATTATTAGTTTTATTATTATTATTATTATTATTATTATTATTATTATTATTATTATTATTAGTTAAATAATTCTTTTGTCAATTATAAAAATTAATTACAGTTGATTTGAACAAAAATTAAAATTATTTATTTATATTTTTTTATTTTTATATTTTTTATATTTATTTATATTTATTTTCATTCATATGTATATTTATTTGTATTTCCCATAAGAAAAATATAATTTTCCAAAAAAAAAAAAATAATAATAAATTCCATAAGTTTTTTTCCCTTTTAAAAAATTTCTTTAGAATTTTTTGAAATATTTATTTAATAATCGAAAAAAAAGAAAATTAATTTAAGAAGCAAATAAGAACTTACCTCCTCGATGTGTAAAGTGGAAGAAAAATTTGTTCTGTGACTCAAAACTTTAGTGATTATATACCGTGGTCCTCATTTAAAATTCAGGTGCAGAAACCTTAACCGATTGGCTAGTTCGTCGACCTGTCTTCAACCAATCAGGTTTCAGTATCTGATTTATTTTTTTTTTCATTTTATTTAAAAAGAACATTTTTTTATTTTTCTCACACATGAAACTCTAATGCAAATAATTAATAATTTCTCAATTATATTGAAAAATGAACAGAAAATTTCTCAAAAAAAAAAAAATTCAAAAAAAAAACATTTTTTGTTTTAAATATTTGAAATTGATACTCTTTTTTGAAACAATGGCAATTATCAAGATATAATTGTCATGATTTCCTTTATCACATAAATGTAAGCAATTAGAAGATAATTAACTTTTCCGGTCTCTAAAAAGATTAAAATCTTCATTCCATTAAAGGAGTATTTATGATAAATGTGATTTTTTTTATATTTTTCATATATTTAATTTTTTATTTTTATATAAATTATTTTTGTTATTTATTATAAATAAAAATATAAAAATATTTATAAATATAATTTTTTTTAAATAATTTTTAATAATTTTTAATAATTTTATTAAATTTTTTATTAATAATTAAATTTAAATTAAAATTTAATAATTTTTTTTAATAATTTTTTTAATAATTTTTTTAATAATAATATTTGTTAATATTATTAAAACAAATAAATAAATAGAATAAATTATATAAATTATAAATGAATATATTTATTGATATGTAATTTACATAATAGATTTTTATTTTTGAATTTAGACCAAATATCAATGAATAATTTAAAAATACTTTTCCATCGAAATATTCAATTTTTTATTGATGAAAAATAAGTAAATTTAATATATTTTATATATAAAATATAACGTCGATAAAAAATTTATTTTTCGAAATTAATAAAAAAAAAAAAATGAATATTTCGACAGAAAAGCCTTTTAAAATTATTTATACAAAATATATTTTTATAATTTAATTTAACTTACAATAATTATGTAAATAATTCTATTTTTATTTTATTATATATTATATATTTCTATTTTATTTTTAATTTTAATTTTATCATTTTTTTTATGTAATGAAATTTTTACAAAAAATAAGATTCAAACTCTTTGATAAGTTTCATATATCATTTATATAAATAAAAATTGAATCAAAAATGAGTGTGAATAAATAAATAAAAAATTTTTTTTTTGCGCAAATGTGCAATGTTGACAGAAAGTCAAAAACATTCGCACTGAAAGTTAAAAGAAATTAAAATACTTTTTTTTTAAATATATATATGACGCCAGACATATTTTTATCATTCGATATTGTTTAAATAACATATTTTTTTTAAAGTATTCATCATTTAAAAAAAAAAATCATTCAGTTTCTTTTTCTTTTTTTTTTCATCAAACACAAAATTTCGAAAATAAATCCATATTTGGTAATATTAAATTTTTTATCAAATTTGAATTTACATTATAAATTCCAAAAAAATAATACCAATAGAGTCATTCTATTTCCAATTATTGTGTAAGAAACTTCAAATGATTTGAATTAATTAATTCAAATTTTGATTAATTTAAAAAAAAAAAATTTTTTTTATCGTCATTTATAAAATATTTAAATTTTTTCGGAATTTTAGAAAAGAAATTTAAAAATAAATGTAAAATTTTTTTTTTTCGATCTTAAAAAAAAAAGAGAGGAAGATTTATTAGAAAATGATATTTTTTAACAGCGGAAGATGAGTAAAGAATGATAGGATATGGAAATATGAAGATTAAGGGACGGGTGCGTGTTTAATTCGAAATGAAATTGACTTTATCGTTGGTTGGTGATGAGGACCTTTAAGGCCAAGAACCTTGAAGCGTAGGACGTTCCTCTTGTGAGAAGAAAGACTCCTTCAAGTCACATTAGTCGCGGATTCACCACGCTCATTTCTGCAATCGCACTATGACTCAAGTTGGAATGTCATGCGAGAAAGAGAGAGAAAGAGATTATTTGCGACAAGTCCTGCGAATATCATCTAATAAACTTGCATTTATTTATACAAAAGTAGTTGACCTTTTTCAATTTTTATCGAAATAATTTTTTTTTTTTTTTAATTTTACGGAATGAAGAAAAAAATTGAAAACTTATCAAAAAGGTTTTTTTTTTCATATTTTATTATGAATTAATAAATCGAATTATTATTGAAATTAATTAATAATATAATTTTCTAATAATAATTAGTAATATATAATTTTAATAATAATAATTGAGAAATTATTTTTTTTTTTATAAGGGGTGGAAAAAAATTTGACGGACATAAAAACCAGTTTGTGTTTTATTTCTCATGAAACAGTAGTAACATTAAATTATATAATATACGTTTGGATTTTGCATAATTCGCGATCAACAAAACACTCCCTCTCCAATATATATATATATATGTATATATATATATACTTATTTTTCAAAACGATCTTAAATTCTAAATTCATTATTTATATATTTATAAGTAATATATATTTATATATAAACATAATTTCGTACATAATTTTTATCATTCGTTCGCCTATTTATAATCTATTATATTTATATAATGACGATATTATGTGTACAACTATTCAATAATCAACAGATTTATTCGCAGTCCATTCAATTTGTAAATATATTTTTTTTTTATAAAGAAGAGAAAAAATTTGAGAAATTTTCAAAAATATTTAAATATCAGCAAAATTTTTTTTTATTACACATAAAAATTAAAATTTATTTAAAATTAAATTTTAAGATATAATTAAAAAATAACTAAAAAATGTAATTTAAATGTAAATGTAATTTATTTGTGGAAAAGTAATTTTAAAAATCTTAAAAAAAAAATTGATTTTAGAATTAAAATTTAATTTATTTGAAATTTTTTTCTAAGCGAATAAAAAAATAAAATTTTGAAAAGACTGCGTATAATTTTTAAAAACATAATTGAGCTTCTAGATTTTATTTATTATGCATCGTGTAATTTTTCTTTTTTAGCTGCCAAAAATTATTCTACTATTAAGAAAATACTAATTTACTAATAAATATTACTAAAGGAAAAAACAATTATTATTATAATAATAAGAAAGTATTTTTAAAAAAATTTACATTATTTTTGCCTAAAAAACTAAAATTATTTTTTTTTTTTAAATTAATTTTTGCAAATATATTTTTTACAAAGAAAAAAAAAGTTTCTAGAAATAAATTTTAGGAAAAATTCCTATCGAGACATGATTATCGTTCAATTATTATATATATATATATACGTTTATCTCGATATAATAATTATTTATACAATAAGCGAAAATTGTTTTACTTTTTTTTTTTGCAATAAGTCCGTCCATTTTACCTCACTGGAAATTGTGTCAATTTTTACATTTACATATGAAACTGAACTTGGTATTTTTCCTATATATTTGACGATTTATAATTTTACTTAAAATATCAGTATACCTATTTAATGATTATCTAAAATTTTTAAATTAAATTGATATTTACAATGTGCTTTAAAATTGTGGAAGAGCTACCATTATAATTTTTCTATTTCTATGAGAAATGTTTTTTTTTTTTTTTTTTTTTTCATACAGAAAATAAAAAATTTTTTCCAGCAGCAAATGAAAATAATTTTTCATTATTAGAATTTTTACTTCGATTTTTTTCAATTATAAATTATAATATAATTATAATATTAAAATTGAAAGGGAAAAATTTTCATTTGCCATTGAAAAAAAAGAAATTGAAAGAAAAAATTCATTACTATACAAAATTAAATATATATAAAAACAAAAGGGATTTCGTTATTGTCAAAAATGTAGAAAACAATATTAAATATTGTGATCACAAATTTTCAAAATAATTTTTCAAATTTGTTTCAAACAAAAAATTTTTTTAGAAATAAAAAAAAAATTCATCGTACACTCGGTAAAATTCATTTTTTTGTTTTTCAATTTTACTTATTAAAAAATATCTACTAGCTTACATTAACAGTATTTTATTCGATTATCACTCTGCTATGGGCTTGTCTTTCTTTAAAGCTGTACCGAAGTCATTGACATTTGATAGCCAATGGGGCAAAAATATGTAAAGAAAGCGTGAAAAATAGAACGTAGAAACATTTACTAGAAAAAAAAAAAAAAAAAACTATCAAGAGTTTACTTTGGAAAAAAAAATTTTTTAATTAAAATTCACTTTTAAACAAAAAAAATTTTTTACACTTAATAAAAAATTACAAATTTAATTCTTTTTTTTTCTCTATTTTGTTTATTACAAAAATATTTAGGGGAAAAAAAAAATTTCTTTTCCAAAGAATCTCGAGATTTCTAAAAGTGCAAAATTATTGATGTAAATTTTTATTATAGACTTATACACACGAGGTAAAAAAGTTATAATTCTATATTTTATATAGAAAAAGATTTCGGAAAAATCGATTGACCTTAGATTTCCGAAAAAAAATATATTTTCAGAAAATATTCCTAAATAATTTTTAATTTCAGTCTCTTGGAGACAAAAAAAAAACCTTTTTTTATCACGAAAAAATTTAGAATCAAAATCCAAAGTCATTCGCTTTTTCTTACCCTGAAAGTTTAATATAAATATAATTTTTTATTAATTATATTATAATTAAAATAATTATTAATAATTAATAATTAATAATTAATAATTAATAATTAATAATTAATAATTAATAATTAATAGATTTTAAGAAACATTTTCAAATTCTAATTTTATGTAATTGACACCTATTTTTTATTTTGCTCGTCAGAGAATAACGAACGAGTTTTGGCACTGGTTTTTCTCAATAATAAAATTTGATTATTATGTATTTGTTAAATGTATCTGAGATTATAGATACCTAATTTCTCACTCATGCTAAAATTCTATTTTTTCTATTTTTTACTCATTCATACTTCTCGCAATCCGGCTTTGGTTAAAACTTCAGCTGTTAATGCGATAAACTTTAATTAATTACCTTTTTTTAATTATTATAAGTTAACTTTACTTGAAATTTTAGTCTCTCTCTCTCTCTTTTTTTTCTAAAGAGAGAAAAATACGAATTTTTCGAGTGTACGATGAAAATTTGTGATCTGCATTTTTAATAAAGCCAAAATATTTCATTTAGAATTTTTTTTATATACTTTCTTCTTAATTTGGCAGTTTACTAAAAAATTTGTTTTTTTTCCCCTTTATTCTATGAATAAAAATTCTCCCTTTGTTGATAAAGAGGTAAAGGTGTTAATGGCGACAGATCATCATCATCGAATCGTGGATTTTGATCCAGAGGAAGAGTCGCCAGGGCCTTTACTGTTTGAAAAGAAAAAAACAATATATTATCGTAAATTTTTTTTTGCAGAAATAAAATTTTTTTTATAACGAATTGCGACACGGACAATTAGCCGACATAAAACGCAAAAAAAAAGAAAATGAGAAAAATAATAAAAAAAATTGAATAAAAGGAAAAGAAAAAAAAATGGAAACAAACCTGACAAACGGTAATGTGATGTGCGAGAGTCCTACATGGAATGGAAGCATTTTTCAGTTCAGTGTGGCAGGTTACCTACACACAGCACAAACGGTCCAAACAACATTCTACAATCTACGAAATTCTAAGTTCATTTTCAATTCTAATTTTTTATTCAATCCACAATAAGAAAATTTTTATTCCCTTCTCTCATGACTTTCATTTACTAAAAGTATCTCAAACTTATAAAGAATTCAAATATCCTGAATTTAAAATTTTATAATCAAATTTTACACGAAATTTTCCAATTTAAATTTTCAAATAGTCACAATAGAGAATTGTCGAATTTTTATAATTTTAGATGAATAATTTATTTTATTCTTAAATAACATTCAGAACTATTTTGTTTATATAAAAAAAAATGTGAAATCGAAGAGAGGGGAATAAAAAATTTTTTGAACTCAGAATTCCGGAATGAGAATGGCACTAAATGATATATTCCAGAAGTGTGAACCTCGAGAGTATGACAATGCAACGATTTTTTTTTTTCAAGTGAGACTATATGTCAAATAATAAATAATTTAAATAATAAAATATACGATAAATAATAGTAATAATAATAATAAACACTCGATTGAAAAAAAATGAAACGAACATGCGTCACACTGCTAGACTAATAACACTAGGCCATGCAAATAATACTTTTTTTTCTGTAATATTATTTCGATTTTCTTTTTACATACCAGCTACCATTTTACTTTTTTCCATCACTTGTTTCGCTAATATTTGATTGAGCTGAAGAATATGTTCACGTTGTCTTTTTTCCTCCTCGACTTTTTGCTTCAATGTTCCTGATTTCTCGGGACTTTTCTCATCTTCTATGCAAAAAAAAAGCCAAAGCAAAAAAAATTAATAAAAATTCAAAAATTTTGATAAAATTAAAATGCGATCAAATTTGAATTTATCAAAATTTAGTTAGAGGTGTAATTTTTTTTCTGTCATTATTTATAGAATCGAAAATTATTGTTAAAATTAAACAAAAATTATTTTTTACCATTTTATAAATTTTATTTCTATATGAATTTTTTAATTATGAATTTAGAAAAATTTTAATTTTTTCAAAAGTCATGGAAATTTTAATTTTTCGAGAATTTCGAGTTTTTCTTTAAAAATTATTAAGAAATTTTTTTATTATTTTCCAATAATTATATTATAATTTTAAATATTAAATGATTGTCAAGAATAAAATTTATACACCTCTAAATAATATTAATTTTGTTGAATTGAAATTTTGCCCTTTAAAGTTTAAACAAATATAACAATTTTTGGAAATTTCAAATTTTTATGAAATTAAAAAAAAAATTAAATTAAAATTTTAAGAAAATAAAAATATTAATGAAATTAAAATTTTAATGAAATAAAAATATTAATGAAATTAAAATTTTAATGAAATAACAATATTACATGAAATTAAATTGTTTTTTAAAGAGAAAAATTGTAAAAAAAAATAATAAAATTTTAATTAAATTAGAAACAAACCTCCTCCTTCGGATGCTGTGACTACAGTTTCTGAAAGCATTTTTCTGATAGATTCCACTTTCTTTAGACGTTGTTCCCTTTCTTCGGCCGTCAATTCTGGCGTCTGAAAAAAATATTTTCGATATATTTTTTTTTTCTTAAATAAATAAAAAGAAAAATAATAATTATTATATACAATTTTTTTTGCAACAAAAAAAAAGTCGAAATTGATTTTTTTTAATGTTAACGAAAATATATTTTTTTGAAAGAAAATTTGAAAATTAACTTTTACTATAACGACAATAAATTTTCATCAACAAAAAAAAGTTGAAATTAATATTTTTTTTTCTAAAAAAAAATTTGTAATTTCTTTCGGAAGAAAATTAAAAAACTACTTTTTATTGTGACAATGAATTTTCTTCAACAAAAAAAGACAAAATTAATTTTTTTTAATTTTTAAAAAAATTTTATTTTCTTTCCTATGAATATTAAAAAATAAATTTTTATTTACTATAAATTTTTAATAATAATTAATAAATTTTTTTTCAACAAAAAAAAGTCGAAATCAATTTTTTCTTTTTTAATTTGCAATTTCTTTCGGAAGAATATTAAAAAATTCCTTTTTACTATAACAATAAATTCTGTTTATTAAAAAAGGAATTCAATTTTTTTCTTTTTTAATTTGCAATTTTTTTTTCGAAAGAAATTTTTAAAAAAATTTTAATTTCTTTTGTATGAATAAATTTTTATTTACTATGTGACAATAAATTATTTTCAAGAAAAAAAAAGTTGAAATTAACTTTTTCAAATTTTTAATATTCTAACAAAATTTCGAAATTTCTATTCGTAAAAACATTATAAAAAATTAGTTTTTAATGTGACAATAAATTTTTTTCAACAAAAAAAAGTCGAAATAAATTTTTTCTTTTTTAATTTACAATTTCTTTCGGAAGAATATTAAAAAATTAATTTTTATGTACTATGTAACAAAAAAAAGTTGAAAGTAACTTTTAAAAATTTTATTAATATTCTAACAAAATTTCGAAATTTCTATTCGAAAAAACATTATAAAAAATTAGTTTTTACTATAACAATAAATTTTGTTTATCAAAAAAGGAAATCAAACATTTTTCTTTTTTAATAATAAATTTTTTTTTTTTCCTACAAAAAATGGCGAAATTTATTTTTTGTTTTATAATTTTAAAAAAATTCGAAAGAAAATATTTAGAAAAATTTTTTTTTGCAAATATTACCTTTTCGGGAATATAACGTTCGGGAATAACAATTTTATTTGGCGTTCCTAAGAGTTGATCAATTGTACTTTCATTATATTTTAATTCTTTTTGGCTTAATGTCGATCTCACAACGTCCGGAGCATTTATTCTCGGCCTCAATGCTCGTTCCATATCCAAATCGTCCCTTGCTCTACCCATTCCCTGCAAAAAAAAAAATAAAATAAATAATAATAATAATAATAATAAATAATAATTTTTCTCAGACAGAAAATTTTCCTAAAACAATTTTCTTTTCCTAAGGAAATATTTTCTATTTTTTTTCCGCAGGGGAGATAAAATTAATTTTAAAAAAATAAATATTTAACTAATAAATAAAAAATTAGAAATAATAAATAAAATATTAGAAATAATAAATATAAATAATTAAACAAAATTACAGATAAAAAATTAAGCATGTAAAAATAATCATGAATAATTTTGATGATAAAAAAATTTTTTAAATAAAATTTAAATTTAATTAAATTTAATTTAAATTTACATGAAATTTAAAATTAAATTTAATTTAAATTTTAAATTTCGTGTATTTTAAACTAAAAAAAAAACCAAATAATGAAAATAATGAAAGCTACCATTTTCGTAATTGTGTCTTCCAAATCAAAAATGGGTTTACTACTCGACACAGTGTAATGTCTTCGTTTTTCCTTTGGTACTAATCGTCTTTTGGGTGTATCAATTTTTTTCTCCGTCATTTCCTTAATTATTTGTTTAGCTGCTTCACTTTTAAAAACAGGTGACAATTGAGGTGGTGGCGGTGATGATGTCTCGCCAATACCATTGAGACTTGCCGCTGAGCCAAATAGCCTTTCATGGACACTTGGAATAATTGTCGGTGACATTGGTCCAGAATTCAAAATTCCCCCGAGACTCTCAGTTGCTCTGATCGATGGTGTCGATCCATATTGAGAATAATACTGCACCGGTTGCTGCTGTTGCTGACTCCTTATTGACTGAACCTGATAATTCTGCTGACTTGGACTGTAAGGCGGACTTGTCGAATAGTTCGGCGAACTCATTGGAACGTAAGAACTTGATGAGGGACTATCCGTATACGGCGAAAGTGTGCTGTCGGAACTTCCATCCTGATTCTCAAACTACAGGGTCGATGAAATGAAATGAAACACAAAAAAAAAATGATGGGGAATACTAAACTAAATGAAAAAAAAAATAATAATTTTCAAACCAAATTGAAAAAAAAATCAAAAAAATTAAAATTTATTACAAAAATAAAAAAATTAAAATTTATTACAAAATAGAAAAATTAAAATTGAAAAATTCCAAAATAAAAAAAATTAAAAAATAAATTGAAAATTTTTATTTTGGATGGAGAAATTTTAATACCGATAGGATGGAAATGAGGTTTTTCTGAAATTGAATTTAGAAACTTACCCTGACACGGTGGCGTCGTGCTATCATATTTTTTAAGGCGTTCATACTGTCACTTCTCGGAGGCGGGAGAACAGGAGCTTGATGCACCGCTGGATGCGGTCGCTGGCCTCCAAATCCTCTGGGTAAAGACATGCTTCTCTGGAATTGAACATCATCAATTTCAGATAACTGAACTGTACTTTGAGCATGAGATATTGGCGACTCTTCGACTACTTTTCCAAGTTGTGCCTTCTGAAAAGGAGAAAAAAAAAACATAAATCCCTTAGTTTCAATAATAATTTATTATATTCTATATATTTTTTGTGTTCAGTAAATTGAAATTTCTTTTCTTCTAATTATTTAAATTTTATTTTGTTACAGAAAGTGGAAATATTTTGGAAATATCAATGCTGCAAATATGTAAGTAGATTTTTTTTTATTAAATTTGCTTCCATTTTTTTTTAAATTTTCTAATTTCAAGTTTATTATTTTTTATAATTGAATCAATTTTTTTTTTTTTTTTTTTTTAATAAAATATAATTTCTGCCGACTGACTCAGGCGATAAAATCTAATTAAAAAAAAAATATGAATCCAGCGTGGGAAAATGGAATATTTCTCTTTTTCAATTAATGTAAATTAAACAAATTTTTTCAAATTAAGTTGAATTAAATTGATTTTAATTAAAATTAACGTTATTAATTAAAATTAAACAAATATAATTAAATTTTTATCAAATTTTCGAAAATTTGGTTCTTCAATTTAAAAAAATATATTTATATTATTTTCATTAAAAAAATATATTTGATTCATAAATTTGTCGTTAAATAATAGTTATTTAAAATTTTGTAGTTTTTCTGTAAAGTCAGTAAACGAAATTGTAATTTTTATCCAATTTTTACAAACAGCTTATTTTTTACTTTTTGAAAGATTCTTTAAAATATTATGTTGTTGTTTGAATTTTTGTTAACAATATTTTTTTGTTCAATAGTTGTTAGTCAAACAAAAATTTTGTTTTTTGTTATTTTTTGAAACCAAATATTATTTACACAAAATCAAAATAAATGGAATTTTTTACGAGTAGAATTGTAAAAAATCTTTATAAGAGAAAAATTAATTTTCATAAAAATTGTAAAAATATTACAATTGTTGACTTATTTAAAAAAAAAAAAAAAAAAAAAAACACAAAATGTTAAATAATTATTATTATTTGACAAGAAATGTTGTCTTAAAACAATTTCTTTTTTTTTTCTGGAAAATTATTTCGAAAATTAAAAATTATCTGAAAAAATAAGTTTTAAAAATAAAAAATAATTAAAAATATTGATAAAGAAGTAAATATAGAAAGAAGAGGAAATTTATTAAATAATTTACAAGTTCAAGAATAAAATATAATTTTTAGAAGTAATATAAATTTGATATTTTTTTAAATTAAATATTTGGCTTTGAAAAAATGTTTCCGATTAAAAATTTTTTGGCTCATTTAATGCTTTTAAAAATAATTATTTTTTTTCAAACTTGTAAATTGTTTTAAATTATTTTACAAATTTCCTCTTTTATTTACTAATTTTTCGGAATCTATAAAAAGATTTTATTAAAAAAAAATTGTGTACTTTAATTTTTTATTTATTATTTTTTAATTTTTCAAACGAAAATAAATTCCATAGAATTTTTCATGAAATTTTTTAGAAGGTAAGCGTAAATTTTTTTTGTAAAAATTCAATTAAGTTTCTAAAAAATATTGTAAAGTTTTAAAAATATTTCCATATGAAATTTCCAAAATGAATTCAAAAAATTTCAAGAAGGTTTCAAAAATTTCTAAAAAGTTCATTTAATAATGTTTCTAAAAGTTATTGGAAAATTTTTGGATATTTCCATGAAAATTCCAGAGATATTTCCATAAAGTTTAAAAAAATTTTTTAATAAAATTTTTAGAAAGTATAAAAAGTTTAGTTCTTACACTGAAAAAAAAAATTTTATTTGATTCTCAAATACTCGATTACTTGACTATTATCAAATAAATATTTATTTCAAATAATTATTATTTGAATCAATTAAATTGCATTTATTTCAAATACAGAAATTATTGATTCAAATACAATTTATTTAATTCAAATAAAAATTATTTCGTTCAAGTAAATAATTTAATTGATAATAGTCAAGTAATCGAGTGTATTTGAATGAAATAAATTTTTTTTTCTTTCAGTGTATGAAATTTAGAAGGTTCCGTAAATTTTTTTAGATATTTCCCATAAAGTTTCCAAAATGTTTTCATTAAAATTTTTTTTTTAGAAAGTTTTAGTAATTTCTAAAATGTTTAAGAAAATTCTATAGAAAGTTGAAAAAAAATCTAGATATTTCCATGAAGTTTCCAGAAATTTCTATAAAATTTTCAAAAAAGATTTCATAAAAATAGATAGTTCTATTAGTTTTTAAAATGTTTAAAAATATTCTAAAAAATTCAAAAAAATTTCTAAATATTTCCATAAAGTTTCCAAAATATTTCCATAAATATTTTTATATTTCAAAAAGTTCGATAAAGTTTTGGAAAATTTTCAGATATTTCCAAAATAGTTTCCAAAAAATTTAATAAAATTCTATAGAAAATGCAAAAAAATTTCTAAATATTTCCATAAAGTTTTCAAAATATTTCCATAAATATTTTTATATTTCAAAAAGTTCGATAAAGTTTTGGAAAATTTTCAGATATTTCCAAAATAGTTTCCAAAAAATTTAATAAAATTCTATAGAAAATGCAAAAAAATTTCTAAATATTTCCAAAATAGTTTCAAAAAAATTTAATAAAATTCTATAGAAAGTTCAAAAAATTTCTAGATATTTCCATTAAGTTTCCAGATATTTTCATACAATTTCTAGGTCTTATAAAATATCCGGATTTTTCCATTAAATTTCTAGAAGGTTTTTCTATTTTTTTTTTAAATATCTAAAAACTTGAATAAAGTTTCTAGAATTAAAAAAAAAAAAATTTTTATAAAAAAAATGAATGTTTCTTGCCTCAAAATGCTGAGAGCCTCCGAATTCGTCTTCGCCGAGTCTCTTTGCACCGCCAGGAGCAGCTAAACCATTTGTCAGGGGAATTCCAAGACCTCCCGTTCTATCGCCACGATCCCTTTGTCGTCTTTCCGATTCTCTTTTTACTATCCTCACAGTTTTAATTTCCTGCTTCTCTCTACCGTGTATCAATCCAGCGAATTTATTATCATCCTGTCCGTAATTTCCATTAATTAACAAACTATCGTCATTTGGCGGTGGTGGTGGCGGCGGCGGTATATATTCAGGTGGATGAATCGCCTCATTATTCGTCGGACTATCGTAATGTTTATTATTCCCCTCTGTAAAAAATAGAAAAATAGAATTTTCACACAAAAAAAAAATTAATAATTCGAAAAAGAAATAAAAAAAATATTTTTTCAAAAAAAGAAAAAAAAAAAAAAACAACTGAATAAATAAAATAACAAACCTTTTCTAGCCTCGGTATTAACATAAAGAGGAATATTATTTTGTATTGGACTGCTTTTCCCTTGAATTTGATCTTTGAGCAGTTGTTGTTTGAGTTGATGTTGTTGAATTTGTTCACGTAATTGTGGTGATAAAGCGGTGATATGATTTTGTGGCGAGTGTTGTTGATTTTGACGAGGCGGTGAATAACGATAAGAATTTTCCTTATAGGATGACAATGGCTCTTTATAGGGCGGTGAAGATTGTGAAATATATTGTGGTGGACTTTCAATTTGTCTACCGTGTGGCGATGACGAACTCGATGGACTCGATGGCGAATGATTTAATCCATGATCGCGAGTTATTCCCGAATCTAAATCCGTCTCTAACCATGAGCAAGGTGCACGTTTTTTTGAGTGATGAACTTGAGGTGTTGCTGAAAAATTAAAATTTCTAATTAAATAAAATTCATTATTTTATCGAGGGAAAATTTTTTTTTTTCCAAAAAATTGAATATATTTCACAAAAGCAATTTTAAATTATTAAAATTATTATTATATAAATTAATTATTATGAATAATTAATATAAAATAATATAAATAATTAAAATAAAAAATATGAATAATATAATAATTATAAATAATTTAAATAAATAATTAATTTGAAAATTGGTAATTTATGAAAATTAATGAAATTTGAATCGATATGTGTTATATTGGAATAATTAATTTGTATTTAATTAAGTTAAATTTGACAGCAGACGTGTTATTATAAATCTAAGGGAATAATTTAATCAAAGGAGAGTAGAATGTTAATTAATACTAACTAGATGTCTGCGGCCTAATTTGCTCCTTGAGCTGTCGAATTTGGTTGCTTAGTTCCTGCCTCTGTCTCTTGAGATCGCTCACATGTTGCTGAGCTAATTCCGCTTCCCATGCAGCAGTGGTTCCTGTCGAATCTCGAATCATGCTTCCCACGTATCTTCTCGAGGGCTGAAGCTTTTGTCTCAATACAACAAGATCTTGTTCAAGTCGATCATTCTCCGCAACTGTCTCCTCTAGTTTCTATTTAATAATTTTCATTTAATTTAATCAAAACTACTTTTTATATTTATTTTTATTTTTCAAAATATTTTAAATTAAATTTTTTAAAATACTTAATTGATAATATCAATTTAGTATTTTTTCTCAAATGCAGGCCTTGGATTTTTTCCGACTTTTTCCGACTTTTTTTTTAAATACGACTTTTTTTTACATTTAAAAAAAAAAATTTAAACAAAATACATCTTTTTAGTACACAGTGCAGATCGTCTTCAAATCTACTTTATTTCAATAATTTAATAAATTTTTAACTCAAATTCTTCACTAAATTAATTATTTTTAATAATTTTTTAATGAAATTCTACACAAATTCAATTATCTTAAACTATTTTTCAATTAAAATTTTTATGATTTAATAATTGTTTAAAATTTAAAAAAAAATTAGCAAATAAAATTACCAAAAATTAATCATTCAAAATCACTTATAATTTCATTATTTGCAAAAATTAAATTAAATTATTTTTAACGATTTTTATAATATTCTTCGAAAATTCAATTATTATCCAAAATTGTAATTGAAATTCAAATATTTTTCAAAATTTAAATTCAAAATCAACTAAAATTCAATTATATTCCAAAATTTAAATTCAAAATCTACTAAAATTCAATTATATTCCAAAATTTCAATTCAAAATCGACTCAAATTCAATTATTATCCAAAATTCTAATTTAAAATAAATTATTTTTCAAAATTTTAATTCAAAATCAACTAATATTCAATTATTTTTAAAATTGTCAGTTCAAAATCAACTAAAATTAAATTATTTTCAAAAATTGTAATTGATATTCAATAATTTTTCAAAATTTCAATTCAAAATCGACTAAAATTCAATTATTATCCAAAATTCTAATTGAAATTAAATTATTTTCCAAAATTTCAATTCAAAATCTACTAAAATAAAATTATTTTTAACATTGTCAATTCAAAATCAACTAAAATTAAATTATTTTCAAAAATTTTAATTAAAATTCGATTATTTTTCAAAATTTTAATTCAAAATTAACTAAAATTCATTTATTTTTAAAAATGTTGATTGAAATTCAATAATTTTTAAAATTTCAATTTAAAATCGACTAAAATTTAATTATATTTAAAAATTTCAATTGAAAATCAACTAAAATTCAATTATTATCCAAAATTGAAAATGAATTTTAAATATTTTTCAAAATTTTAATTCAAAATTTACTAAATTTCAATTATTTTCCAAAATTTCAGTTTAAAATCGACTAAAATTAAATTTTTTTTTAAATTTTAATTGAAATTCGATTATTTTTCAAAATTTCAATTCAAAATTAACTAAAATTCATTTATTTTCAAAAATGTTGATTGAAATTCAATTATTTTTAAAGCATTTCTCAAAATAAAAACTTTGGAAATTCAATTTTTGTCTATCAATGCAGATTTTCTTCATATCTTCTTTATTTCAATTATTTAACAAATTTTTAACTAAAATTCTTCACTAAATTAATTATTTTTTTTAATAATTTTAATGAAATTCTTCACAAATTCAATTATCTAAAATTATTTTTTAATTAAAAATTTTATGAAATTTAACAAATTGTTTACAATTTAATGAAAAATCGAATAAAATTACTAAAAAAAATTTCAATTTAAAATATTTTAAAATTATTTGCACAAATTCAATTATTTGAAATCATTTTTCGCTTAAAAAGTTTTCAAATTATTTTATTTTTGTCTGCAATTTCTAATAATAATTTTTTTTAGTGAAATCATCAAAAAAATTTTAATTAAAAATATCTTCAAGTGATTTCAAAAATCTGAATTGTAAATTTTTGAAAATTCAATTACTTTTTAAAAATATGTCATCTAAAATTATTATTTTTAATTCTGTAAAATTTAATTATTATTTGAAAATTAATAAATTGAAATTCAATTATTTATAAAAATTTCAACTTTTAACTCTCCCAAAATTATTATTTAAAAATCTGTAAAACTTAATTAAATATTGCCTGAATTCTTTTTTTTTTTTTGAAATTATAAAAATGGAACTTTAAGAATTTTTTTTTTAGAAATTTTGTCCTACTTAGGTAAATAAATTTTTGAAATTTTGTCTTTTAGTTCGATTATGAAATAGAAATAAATTTTCTTGATAATATTTTTATAGAATTATTTTCATTACAGAATTAATAAGTATTAATAGTAAAATATTTATTAACTAATTAAATTTTGTTAAAATAAAAAAATCAACTTTTTTTGTGCCTTAAAGTCGATTCAAGGCTTGAAAATGGAAATTTTTAATTTTTTAAATAAAATATAATATTTTCGATTATATACAAATTAAATATGAAGGATTTTTCGTCTCTGTTTGAATTTCGTATTAATCAAATTCTGGAGAAAATTAGATAGCTACACTCTATATACCTTTGAATGATGAGCAAGGAGCATTCTCACTTTGCTTAATTCCCGTTCCAAAAGCCGGTAGTGTTCAACTTCCGCTGGACTATTTCTGTTGCCTTGCAATTTGTACCGTAGACTCTCCAATGCCTTTTGCAAAATTTCCTGTAATTGAGATTTTTCAAATTAGACCTTCATTTCCAAGAAAATAAATAACAAAAAATAATTATTAATCAATTTACTTTATATTTATAGTAAATTTTGAAAAAAAAAAAAACAACTTTTCTTAATTTTTCAGAGAAATAAATTTCTTCTAAAAAAAAAATTCTTATCTTTCTCTACAAAAGGAGAAATTTTTTTTTCTCCCAAGAAAATTCCTCTTTCTTAATTTTCTCCACGATTCACACTTTAATTATCAGAAAAGAGAATAATTACATTATCTTTCTCTCTTTCACATTGTCGCTTATTACGATGACAGTTATAGTAACAGTCTTTCATCACATTTATACAAAAAGGAAAAGAAATCATTTTTTTTTTAATAGAAGGAAAAGAAATAATTTTTATAGAAGCAAAGAAAATATCGGATATATATATATATATATATATATAACTGTGAGTAAAGAAAATTAGAAGAGAGAAAAAAAAATGTCCGCAAAGTTGCAACGTGAGAGTAACTCGAGATGAATCAAAGGCAATAAAGAGAGATCTGTCTTTTGAAACGGAGGGAGAGGAGAGGGGTAAAAAAAAACTGCTGACCGGATTTGAAACCGAGCTCGTAAGTCCGGGAATGATGAGTGGATTGAGTTTCAGAAAAAGGGAGAAAAAAAAAAAAAAAAAAAAGTGAACTAACCTTGTCCTGCTGAAGACTATGAACTGTGGCTGATTCTTCCTGAAGTAACCGGTCGGTTTTAAAGAGTTGATGCACCTTCGCCTGTGACAAAAAAAAATTGAGTTTTTAGTTTAGTAAAGAAAATTTTTGGAGTCTCTCTCTCTCTCTCTCTCTCTCTCTCTATCGTCACTAGTTGACACTCAACCATCGTCTACTGAGGTAGTTAAGTGTCGCATTTCAGTCGTGTTATTCCATATAGTTAAAACAACGACAACGACGAAAACATTTTGTCGACAGACGCCAACAAACGCTTCTGTTCTACTCATTTATTATATTCTGCACACTGTTATATAATTAGATGCATCTACAATATTCTTGTTTCTTTGAATTAATTAATTTTGTCACATATTGCAATTTTGAATATTCCAAATCTAGATTTCAACGCGAAAATAATAACAAAAAAAAATTTTTTTTTATTAATTGAGTGAGAATTTTTTAAATTATCTAAGAAAAAGTTTTTTTTTTTTACTTCCACTGTAATCATAAGTAGAAATATTAGACAAAAAAAATTATTCTAAACATGCTATCTTAAAAATTTCTTTTTTGAAACTTCTTTTGTTTATAGAAGTAAAAAATTATATAATAATGAAAATTAAAAGTGATTCATTGTCAATTCAAAATCAAATAAAATTCAATTAATTTTTGAAATTTAAATTGAAATTCAATTATTTTTCACAATTTCAATTCAAAATCTACTAAAATTCAATTATTTTCCAAAATTTCAATTCAAAATCTACTAAAATTCAATTATTTTCCAAAATTTCAATTCAAAATCAACTAAAATTCAATTATTATCCAAAATTATAATTTAAATTCAATTATATTCCAAAATTTCAATTCAAAATCTACTAAAATTTAATTATTCCCCAAAATTCTAATTGAAAATCAATTATTTTCCAAAATTTTAATTCAAAATCAACAAAAATTAAATTATTTTCCAAAATTTCAATTTAAAATCGACTAAAATTTAATTATTTTCAAAAATTTCAATTCAAAATCAACTAAAATTAAATTATTTCAATTCAAAATCTACTAAAATTCAATTATTATCCAAAATTTCAATTCAAAATCTACTAAAATTTAATTATTCTCCAAAATTCTAATTGAAAATAAATTATTTTCCAAAATTTTAATTCAAAATCCACAAAAATTAAATTATTTTCCAAAATTTCAATTTAAAATCGACTAAAATTTAATTATTTTCAAAAATTTCAATTCAAAATCAACTAAAATTCAAATATTTCAATTCAAAATGAACTAAAATTCAATTATTATCCAAAATTCTAATTGATATTGAATTTTTTTCCAAAATTTCAATTTAAAATCTACTAAAATTTAATTACTATCCAAAATTCTAATTGAAATTAAATTATTTTCCAAAATTTCAATTTAAAATCGACTAAAATTCAATTATTTCAATTCAAAATCTACTAAAATTCATTTATTATCCAAAATTTCAATTCAAAATCTACTAAAATTTAATTATTCTCCAAAATTCTAATTGAAAATCAATTATTTTCCAAAATTTTAATTCAAAATTAAGTAAAATTCATTTATTTTCAAAAATGTTGATTGAAATTTAATTATTTTAAAAATTTTCAATTATAAATCAACTAAAGTTCAATTATTGTCTAAAATTCTACTTAATTGATATTCAATTATTTTCAAAAATTTCAATTCAAAATCAACTAAAATTCAATTGTTATAAAAAGTTGTAATTGAAATTCAATCATTTTCCAAAATTTTATTCCCAAATCGACTAAAATTCAATTTTTTTTTAAATTGTCAATTCCAAATCAACTAAAGTTCAATTATTATCCAAAATTCTAATTGAAATTCAATTTTTTTTTTAAATTTCAATTTAAAATCTACTAAAATTTAATTATTTTCAAAAATTTCAATTCAAAATCAACTAAAATTCAATTATTTTTAAAATTGTTAATTAAAAATCAACTAAAATTCTAAAAGTGATTCATTTGAGAAATTTAATCATTTAATTTAATCAATTTAATTTAATTTATTGAAAATCAGAAAAAAAAATTCTTTTTTCAACAATTATTACGTGCATGAATCATGAAATTTACATTTATAATCAATGATTTAGAAGAAAAAATAATTTTCTATGCAAATTATAATTTTTTTGTTGAAAAAAATTTTTATAACGTATAATTATATATTTTTTTTATTATAATACTTTTTCTATAGATACTAATTTTTTTAACGTTTCTCGATAATAAAAATAATATGTAAGCAAAAAATTTTATTTTTCGAATGAAAATTATTTTTTTTTTTTCAGTACTTAATCTTCACCGTCGTCAATTAATATTTATAAATAATTTTTTAAAAATAATAATTATAATAAATTAGTAATTAAATAATTTATTGAAAATAATATAATTATAATCATAATAATTATTTTTTTTATTTATCGTTTAGAAATTAACTAAATAAATTTAACGATTTATTTTTAATTCTAATTAATTTCGACATTGTCAATTAAATGTGGAATTTTTTTTTCTCAATGTAATTTTTTTTTAAAATTATCTGGATTATTTTTTGGAATCTACCTATTTTGTAATTTATAATTTATATGAAAAAAAAAAATGTTTTTCTTTCTCTCTACTCACTTGAAGTTGTCCATGATCAGGACTGAGTCTGTCCCAGTCTCTTCTCTCCTGGGCCAAAAGTCTCTGTTCTTCGACTCTTTGATTAAATTCGAGTCGATCTCGATATTCCCTTGTGTTTTCCTGTAGAAGGTCATGACGAGAACCAGAAACACTTCCATTAGCAGTACTTCGATTATAGAGCGATCCTAATTTCAACATATTGGCCACCAGATTCTCCAATGGTTTCCCCTTTTCATACTGAAAACATAATTAATTGAATTAAAATTAAAACAAGAATTTAAAGTCAAAAAATAATTTTATTTTAAATTCAAAATTTATTTTTTTACAATTCAATTCCTTTTTCACTTTTGTCAAATTTAATTATATAAAATGGTTACAAGTGTAAAAAAAATTAAATATCAATATTCAAAAAAAAATTTTTAATAATTTTTTTTTATTTGAAATTTCAAAATTTTTATTTTCAAAATACTTTGTTAATTATTAAAAATGGAGTATTGTTATAACAGTAAAAAAAAAAAAATTGGAATGTCATGTAACGTTCAAGAAAAAGTTAAATAAAGTAATTATAAAAAGGAGGGAATGGGAAACCAAGAGCAAAAACTATGTCATTAAATTATTTTTGATCCACATAGAGAAGGGGATCAGTGAACTAGAATTTTTGACGTGAAGAAACGAGAAATCTAGGAAATAAGATCTTCATAATAATTACATATAATTAAAATAGAATTGCATTTTTATATTGTTCTTTCGTTTTTTTTTCAAACTGTTTCTCTCTCTCTCTCCACTGTGCCAGGAACATGCCAATTGCACTTAATGATTAGAACTTAAAGTTGGGTGACTGGTTATAGGATTTTCTCAGACTTTTTTTTTTTTTTTTCTTTTTTTTGTTTCTCTCCTGATTTAAAGGGTCGAATTCCCCGTGGGCATTTGAAACTTTTAACTCGCTAAGTTGAGACTCGCTCTCTACTATATCCGTGATTAAATATGCTTTCGACATGTAGCTCCCTTGACTTCGCAAAATTCGCCTTTCACGTTATCGAGTTTAATCAGTGAAGTTCACTAAACTGAGATTCAAAGAGAAAACCAGATAGCGAATAGCGAATCGACCGCATGGTCCTGCAAATATAATAAATACTTTCTCCAAATGTTATTTTTTTTCTCTTCTTGAGGAAAAAAAATCTAAATTTTATTTGTTAAAAGAAAACTATTTTAAAAAAATTTTTTTACTTATTTTAATTATTTTTTTTTATTAATTAAAATTATATAAATTGGTATTAATTAAAATTATAAATAAATTGTAAAATTAAATTTCCAAGAGAAAATAGAATGCACTTCTTTTTTTTTGGGAAAATTGGACAAAAGTTATAAATAAGAAAAATGGTTCAAAGAGAGCAGAGAAGTATTTTCAATCTACGATACTCATAAATCATTTTTAGCCAGTTCTAGTCTTTATTTATTGGAACCTATCCAGTAATTACAACAATATTTCAAACTGATTTATCCTCGTGGAGAAAATGACAAACTCACCTCTTTCTCTAGATCCATTAGATGTTTCTCCAACTTCTCCTGTTTTTGCAGATTCTCCAGACGACTCGGAGTATCGAGTTCAACTAATCTGGCCTGAAAGATTAAAAGTCACGATATTTAATTTTTATAATATTACTCTTTCATTCGGAAAAACAAAAAATGTCATCTCATGAAAAATAAATTCAGTGATAAATGGTTTCAATTTTAATTTCAAAATTTAATTTTCAATTTTAATTTAGATTTTAATTTCAAAATTTAATTTTCAATTTCAATTTTAATTTCGATTTTAATTTCAAAATTTAATTTCGATTTCGATTTTAATTTCAATTTCTAAAAAAATACATGAATGAAAATTAGTTTTTCTTCTTTTTTTATTCGAATGAATAGCAAAATAAAAAATTTTTCAGCAGGAAAATCTGTAAACTTGAAATTTTTTCGAGTGGAAATTTTTTTTTTTTGTTTTGTTTTGTTTATTAATAAAAATACGACGGCGTGAAGTTTTTTTTTTAAAGTTAATAACTAAAATTCAATTATTATCCAAAATTATAATTGAAATTCAATTATTTTCCAAAATTTCAATTAAAAATCTACTAAAATTTAATTATTCTCCAAAATTCTAATTGAAAAACAATTATTTTCCAAAATTTCAATTCAAAATCAACTAAAATTCAATTATTTTCCAAAATTTCAATTTAAAATGGACTAAAATTCAATTATTTTCAAAAATTTCAATTCAAAATCAACTAAAATTAAATTATTTTTCGAACTTTAAATTGAAATTCAATTATTTTCCACAATTTCAATTCAAAATCTACTAAAATTCAATTATTTTCCAAAATTTCAATTCAAAATCAATTAAAATTCAATTATTATCCAAAATTATAATTGAAATTCAATTATTTTCCAAAATTTCAATTAAAAATCTACTAAAATTTAATTATTCTCCAAATTCTAATTGAAAAACAATTATTTTCCAAAATTTCAATTCAAAATCAACTAAAATTCAATTATTTTCCAAAATTTCAATTTAAAATCAACTAAAATTGAATTATTTTTCGAACTTTAAATTGAAATTCAATTATTTTCCACAATTTCAATTCAAAATCTACTAAAATTCAATTATAATTATTAATTATAATTTCAATTTTAATTTCGATTTTAATTTCAATTTTAATTTCAATTTCATAAAAATACATGAATGAAAATTAGTTTTTCTTCTTTTTTTATTCGAATGAATAGCAAAATAAAAAATTTTTCAGCATGAAAATCTGTAAACTTGAATTTTTTTCGAGTGGAAATTTTTTTTTTTTTTTTTGTTTTGTTTATTAATAAAAATACGATGGCGTGAAGTTTTTTTTTTTTTTTTTTTTAAAGTTAATAACGGTTTACAGCGAGAGAAATCGATCATCTTTTGCATGCAATGTGCAAATTCGACCTGAACAGTGCAATCTGTTGATTAGGCAATTATCGTTGCTGCATCTTAGCACGCTTCGTTGTACAGCTAACTGAACGAATTAGCAACGCCTGATCAACCGTAAACTATTATACGCTTTGACAGTTCATGAACAAGGGTCAAGGAAAAAAAATGAACTTTAAAAATTTCCCGCATGTAATTTACAAAAAAAAAAAAATTGATTTCATCCCAAATCTATTTTTAATGCTTTTTTTTACATTGAATAATTGAAATTTACGAAAAATCTAAAATAAAAAAAAACAAATAAAAATAAATAAAATTAATTAAAATTAAAAAAAGTACATCAATTTTTAATAGAACGTTTCATATATAATTATTATTATTTTTTTTTTTTTTTGATAAATATTTAAAATCCACAATTTTTTATCAACAAATATTTAATAAGATAATAAACAGTATAATTTCATAAAAGAATAAAATTATTTAAATTTTCATATGTCAGAAAGATTTTTTTAGAGAGAAAAAAAAAATTCTATTCATAAAATATGAAGTTTTAGATATTCTTCATTTAGATATTTAATTAGTGAAATTAAATATGTGAAGAGTACCTGAAACTTTAGAAGTGATAATTAATATAATTAAAACGAGAATATGATTGACAGATTTTTATAAAAATTATTTTAAAGAGAGCAAAAAAAAAAAAAAATTGGGATCAAAAACTAATGACTGTCGCGAGCACTTTGCTTTTTTTTCAAAACTTGACTCTTACCCAACCTTAATGCACTTTATGGTACAAACTCACAGAGGCAACTGAGCAGCCTTTTCCTCAATGTCAGCTCTCGGAAAACCGATCCTAAGTGGCCGCATTTTTTTTTTTTTTAAATAGCAACAAGTAGAAACTCGAGCTATGAGGACAGATTCATTTCTACATGCGAGTCTACTTTTTTTTCTAATTTTATTTTACATTCTCATATCCTCTTTCTGCATAATCATTAAAAATTTAACGGGATTCTTGGTAATTTAAAAAAAAATTTAATTCCCGCAATTGGCTATTAAACTAATTATTTTATTGTTAATTATTAATTAAATAAAAATTAAAAAATCTTTTCTCTCTTAATTTATTAATATCAATTAGAATTTGAATTTAAATGTGAAATATATCAATTTCAAATATTAATTTTAGTATTAATTTTAATATCTATTTCAATATTACTTTAATTTTAATATTAATTTTAATATTAATTTTAATATTGATTTTAATTTGTTAATTAATTATTAAATTTTGCCTTTTTAAAAATTATTAATATTTATAATTAACAAAAAAAATCCTATTATATTTATTCGAAACTTTTATATTAATGTACATTATCAAATTACACGGATAATTTTAAACTCTTCTTCTCAGTGAGAAAACAAGGCGCGGTTTGTTGGTGAATTTATTATTTAAAAAGGGAAAAGAATATCAAAACTTGATGGAACTTGAAACTCGAGAATCTTGGAGCAACACTTCCGCCTATGTAACAACGTCTTGAGACTTAAAAGTTTGTTCATCAACTTTTCCCGAGTCCGAATTAATTAACTTCTTTTGCTCTTGCAATCGCTTGTATCGTTGCGCTTTTTTTTTTTTTTTTTTTTTTTTTTTGAAAAAAATAATAATAATTAAATTAATTTTTGTTTTAGAAACAACCATTGATATTGTGAACTGCAAAAAAAAGTTTCATTTCCGATAATTATAATTGGAAAAAAAAATTAAAACACTTTTTATATCAAAACTTTTTTTCTATTCTTGGAAAAAAAATTATTGTTGTGAAAATGAAATTAATTTTCAAGTTTATAGATTTTCGATAGAAATAAATTATTGACCAAAAATCGAGATATTTCTGTAATAATACGGAATTTTTTTTTGTATTTTAAAAGCCTTAGTTATTAAATGAATAAATAAGTAAATGTGTCTCGCTTCAAAGAAAGAAGGAATTTTTAGGTTATGCTATGTTTTGACATTTTGAAGTTATATAAAATACAAAGCGGGTAAACCTCTCAATACAAATTATTAATTGAGTCTTCGTTACATACAAAATAAAAACTTCTTTTAATAAATAAATTAGATAAAAAAAAATAATATGGATAGAAAAACAGTGAAACATACGTATATAAATAGTAGTTTTTTACCTTGCCGACTGATGGTAAAACATGTTTTTGGCAAAATGACAATATAAAAATTATCGATATGGGAATCTACCTTAACGAGTAATGATAAAACAGGTTTTTTGCAAAATAAAAAATTACCAACATGGAAATCTACCTTACCGACTGACGGTAAAACAGTTTTTTTTCGAAAAATGAAAATATGAAAAATTACCGATATGGAAATCTACCTTACCAACTGATGGTAAAATTTTTGAAAAATGAAGATATAAAAAATTACCGACATGGAAATCTATCTTACCAACTGATAAAAAAAGTTTTTTGAAAAATGAAATTATAAAAAATTACCGAGATGGAAATCTATCTTACCAACTGATGATAAAACAGGTTTTGGGAAATGACAATATATAAAACTACCGACATGGAAATCTACCTTATCAACTGATGGTAAAATTTTTTAAAAAGTGAAGATATAAAATTACCGATATACAAATCTACATTACCGACTGATGATAAAAACAGATTTTTGGAAAGTGGCAATATAAAACATTTTCTTTTAAAAAATGACAATATATAAAATTACCGACATGGAAATATACTTTACCGACTGATGGTAAAACAGTTTTTTGAAAAATGAAAACATAAAAATTATCAACAAAGAAATCTATCTTACCGACTAATAATAAAACAGTTCTTTTGAAAAATGAAAAGCTAAACAATTACCGATATACAAATCTACATTACCGACTGATGATAAAAACAGGTTTTTGAAAAGTGGCCATATAAAACATTTTCTTTTAAAAAATGAAAATATAAAAAATTAACGACATGGAAATCTACCTTACCAACTGATGGTAAAACAGGTTTTTGGAAAGTGACAATATAAAACATTACCGACATGGAAGTCTACCTTACCGATTGAAGGTAAAACAGTTTTTTGAAAAATGAAAATATAAAAATTACCGACATAGAAATCTATCTTACCGACTGATGATAAGGAATTTTTTTTTTGAAATTTTTCCAACTTTTAAAAACAGTTTTATCATCAGTAGGTAAGGTAGATATCTGCGCCGGTAATTTTTATATCTTTTAAAAAAAATTCTTTACCATCAATCGGTAAAGTTGATTTCTACATCGGTAATTTTTCATTTTTCCAAAAGCCCGGTTTACCATCAGTCGGCAAGATAGGTTTCTATGTCGGTAATTTTTATGTTCTCATTTTTCAAAAAACTTTTACCATCAGTCGGTAAGGTAAATTTCTATATCGGTAATTTTTTATATAAATTTTAATATAAAGTTTAAATTTAAAAAATTTCTTTAACATAATTCGGTAAGGTAGATTTCTATGTCGGTGATGTTTTATGTTTTTGTTTTTTTTTATTTATATTTTTTTGGTCCGATGTAAGTGGGAATCCGAATAATGTGGGTCCGATATACGTGGATTTCACTGTAAAATGATACAGTGATAAATAAGAAGGAACTTTTATTGGTAAAACTTTCGTAAACATAACCTACATTTCGTTTGTTTTTTTTTTTTGAGTATTTTTCTTCGAATTGCGACACAATATATAATTTCAATTTTTATAAAAATTATTATTATAAAACTTATAAAAATTCTAATTATATATATAATATACAAAAATTCTAGTACAATTTAGCTAATTTGCTAAAAGTCTAGCTAATAATGAATTAGCGAAAAATGAGAAATTGTTAATAAAAGCAGTCTGTGAAAAAGAAATATATGATTAAAAAGATAAAAAAAAATTAACGAAGCTGAAGTACGCAACGTTTATGATAAACGATTTTTATAAGAAATAATTTTTGAAAATGAAAAATTCTAGAATTTTTTTGCTTAAAAAAATATTTCTTGTACTTTTTCATTAATCAACAAAATTATATAGAAAAATAATTTTTTCTAGGCAAAAAAATTATAGAATTTTTCATTTTTAAAAAATTATTTCTTATAAAAATCATATTTGTACTAAAAATCGTAAAACGTTGCGTACTTTAGCTTCGTAAAAATTAAACAATTAATAAATATATACAATATATGATAAAGTGATTGAGAAAAATAGCAAAAGCCCCATATGAATCGCCACCAAAAATTAGTCCACCTATTTGGGGAAAAAAATTACAAAAATCCCTAGAAATGAAATGCAAAGAAAACAAAAAGTGAGAAATAAAAATTATTTATTTTTTTTTTTTTTTTTTTTTTTTTTAGGACCTGGGCCTCGATTTCCATGTGACAATTTTCCATTGCTTTGCACAAGGTTGAACTCTGTCGACGAAGTTGGATGAGCAATAGGACCAATTCCTCGTGAGTACGACCCAAAAGTTCACCAGCCGATACTTGTACTAGATTTCCATTTCCCGTTGATTTTACCCTTCCAGATCGTCTCGAATTTATGTTGTTCTGTTGCATGCAAATTTTCGTCAAAGAAAAAGAAAAAAAAAAAGAAAAGGAAAACACTCATTAAAAAACAAAAGCAAAAAATAATTTCACAAACTTGAAATTGATAAATCGATTGGCTTGGATGAATATTTTTTTTTTTTTTCAAGTTACCTTTTCTTTGAGAGAAGGATTAAAAAAGTTTTTTTCTTTTTTTGTTACAGGCATAAATATAAAAGTTAAAGTGATTTTGACTTTATATGTGTTTTTTGTATATAATTTAAGGCGGCGGTGAAAAAAACAGGGTTGAAAAGATCGTAAAACGTTCAGTGTGTGGTGTTATCAAAGATTTCATGTGGGTGCCATTATCCTTGTATATGTATATATATATATATATATATATATATATATATATATATATATATATATATATATATATATATATATATATATATATATATATATATATATATATATATATATATATATAGTGCGTCTTCGTTTACGATTGTACAGAACGATACAAGTACCTCGTAAGGCAAAAAAAAAACGAGTGTTTCTTGGTTCTTCAGACGACAGTTTATAAAAACTTTCGTGCGAAGAAAATGCCTTTTTCCACTATAGCAAAGTCAAGAATTTAATACACATTAATAGCAACACTTGTTATATGGCGCACTGTAAGTTGTAACTTTTCAAAACTTTTTACAATATTATACTTTCTTTTCTATTATAGCCTTTTTTAATTTCTTACTGTGATGTTTTTTTTCTGGAAAAACATTTTTTTAAATTTATTTTCTTAATTTTTTTTCGAAAAAAATATTTTCTCTGAAAAACCTTTTCGTTGATTAATTTATTATTATTTTTTTGACTTCTATATATATTTTTAATGGGAAATTTGAAAAAAAAAGAATTTTTAGTGAAAAAATGTATGTACTTTTTTTGCGTTTTTTTTTTGGGGGGGAGGGAAGTGAACCAAATTTACAAAATGATTGCAAGGTGGTTGCGGCGTTTCTGAAGACTAGCTTCTTGGACAGCCTGATTCTCTGGTACTCAACGAGAGTCTCCCCTCTCTCTTTTTTAAATTGTCTTGTGCCTTTTTCTCTTTCAAGATCAACTTCGCATCTCTGATACTATTTTCTTTCTCTCTCCTCATATGGGGAACCGGAACTTTTGTCAAATTTAAATAAATCTCTTTTTTACAAAAGACGAAAATTTTCAAAATCAAATTTTTCTCCTTTTATTTTTCATCTTCAATAATTTTTTCTAGGAAAAGTGTTTTCATTTTTTTTCTATTTAAAATTATTTAATAACAAATATTAGAAAATTTTTATTAGAAAAAATTATTTAGAAAAATTTTTATTTGGAAAATTAATAAAATATTTTATTAGAAAATTATTAGAAAAATTTTTATTGAAAAATTATTTAATAAAAAATGTTATTAGAAAACTAATGAAAAATATCAGAAAATTTTTTATATTGATAATTTTTTTTTTTCGTATTGAAAAAAATATTGAATATTGGAATATTGTAAAGAAATTTTTTTCTGAAAAACATAGATTTCTAAAGGAATTGTAGGTAATTTTAATAATTTTTTTTTATTTAATTAAAACAACTTTTTTTCCTTTTCGTTTCTATGAATACTGAATAAAAATATCAATTTTAATTTTTAATAGGGACATTCTTCGATTAAATAGTAGTTTCCAGGTCGAAAGATATCGACTATTCATTGTATTATCGTTATACTCCTCGGTTATTTTACTTTCTTCTCTTTTTCCCAATACTACATATATATATATATATATACTCTCATAAAAGTCTGAATTTTTCCATGAATGAGAACAATATTCCCTCTTTTTTGATGCGATTATATATTTAAATTTTAAAAATAAAATTGCTTCACATTTTTTAATCACATGAAAATTTCTTAAAAATAAATGGAAAAAAAATTATGGTATTGGAAAAAAAGTATATGTAATTCTTCAGCAGTAAAGAATTACATATTTTTTTATTTACAAGAAATTTTCTTTTCAGTTACAAAATGTCAAAAATTTTATCTATATAAAATATTAGTTAAAATTTTGTTTTAATAAAAAGCAAAATTTTATAATCTCAAGAGAAAAATTTGAATTCTGAAATCGATTGTTATTTTAATGAACTTTTTTTCTTTTCATTTTTTTCTTTTTTTTTTTTGACAATTTTGTTATTTCAATGGAAAGCAATCTCGAAGTCAATTTTTCTGTCAACGTTCCATATTTTCAGAAAATCCGAATTCTCACTCGTCCTATATGGATGTTATCCTTTCGATGAAATAAAGTCACGTTCAAGCTTCTCGTTCGTGCTAACCTCTTATGAATCTTATCACGTTCTCCATCTCGCTCTTATCGCTCGATTATGAAAACGGTCGGAACATCCGGAATGATCGGAAATTCGAATCTAAACTGTATATATATATATATATATATATATATATATATAAGGATAAAAGGCAAGTTGAATGCAAGGAAGTATTTTCAGGTGGACACCTGAAAATAACTTGAAATCTCCAAGAAGAAAAAAATATAATTGGATATCATATCCTATAAGATATTTCATATTTATAACAATTGAAGAAAACATTTTCATATATGTAATTCGAAACATAAAATTCATATTTTGATGGGGAAATGAAATTGGTGAAAAAAAATTCTAAAAACAAAAATTTTTTGCATCTGTACATTGAAGAAAAAAACTAGTACTTTCTAAATCTGAATTAGTAAAAATGTTTACCAATTTGAATTAGTGACTCACTTTTTGCTTCTGAATTAGTTAAATTTTACTAATTGTTAGTAAAATTTAACTAATTCAGAAGCAAAAAGTGAGTCACTAATTCAAATTAGTAAATATTTTCACTAATTCAGATTTAGAGAGTAGGTTTTACTACTTTTTAATTACTCTGAGTAGTACAATAGGTCCTCAACTGAATTTAAACGGTTCTATTAACTATATAAAAATAGTTAAACCAATTAAAAATGTAATTGGTAGAATGACATTTTGTGATTGTATTAACTCAATTTCAAAATGTTAAAACAACTCAAGATGTAAGTAGTAGATTTTACTACTTAAAGTGGTTCAATAAGCTTTACGAACATTTTTTTGGTACATTTAATAAATATTTTGCAATTGAAACTACTAATTCAAGTAGTAAACTTTACTACTGAAAGTGGTTCAATAGGCTTTAAGAACATTTTTTTGTAGAATTAATAAATCTTTTGCAATTGAAACTACTACTTTAAGTAGTAGATTTTACTAATTAAAATAGGAAAATAAAATTATTTTTTATTTATAATTGTTTATTATCAGTAGAATTGACTTTTTCATCCTCTCTCCTGTACTGGCGCTTATTTTATGCCCTAACGATTATGTACCTAACAGAGAAAATTTCTAACCGACGGGAATTGAACCCTCGACCCTAACGCTCGCTATCCGATACCTTAACCGACTAACCACGCACGCTCCCTACGACAGTCTGCAAACTACTCGAAGACTACTTTCTGCTTGTCCAATTGGTAATTTAACTATTTAAAGTAGTCATTTTTACTACTTTTATTAGTTGCTATAACTATACTTTTTAAGTTTTGACTTGTAAATTTTTCATCTTTTAATTATATTATAAGTTGTTTAATTGCATAATGCAGTAAAATCTACTACTTAAACTGATAGTTTTAATTGCAAAGAATTTTTTAATTCTACGACATAAATGTTCTTAAAGCCTATTGAACCACTTTAAGTAGTAAAAGCTACTATACTGAAAGTAGTAGTTTTAATTGGAAACGATTTGTAAATTTTACATCAAAAACGTTTTTCAAGCTTATTGAATTAATTAAAATAGTAAAAAATTCCTACTTAAAGTAGTAGTTTTAATCACAAAGGATTTGTTAATTCTACAACAAAAATGTTCTTAAAGTCTATTGCTCCACTTTCAATAGTAAAATCTACTACTCAAAGTAGTAATTTTAACTGGAAACGAATTCGCAATATACGTTTCTTATGGACCAGGAACTGCTCTTTCAAGTGGTGCATCTAAAAAAACCGTAAATTTAAAATTAAACAAATTACAGATAATTATTTATAAAAAAACATGAATTTTCAAGGTTTTTTTTTTTACTTAAGAATTTTTTTGGACAATGTACCATTTTAAAATATCTTCCCGAGGTACAAATATCGCGTCAAAAATGTTCAACCTTTGACATGGTGGCATAGATTAAAAAAAAAAATTAAATGTATAAATAATATTGTTAATTAAAGTTGAGATTAAAAATTAAAAATTCATCGGATTCACTCGAAAAGAGTTACTCGGGGGTTTTTGGGGTCGCTGATTACGAATCTGAAGTCGACTTTCAAAAATTCAAAATGACGGTTCCAATATGGCGGACGTCAATATTAAAAATTCATCAGATTCACTCGAAAATCGTTACTTGGGGTTTCTCTTTTCGAGTGAATCCGATGAATTTTTAATTTTTCGTCCGCCATATTGGATCCGCCATTTTGAATTTTTGAAAATCGACTTCAGATTCGTAATCAGTGACCCCGAAAACCCCCTTGTAACGATTTTCGAGTGGATCCGATGAGTTTTAAAATTATTTGACAATAGCTGCGTATTTGTTATTAAAATCTAAACTTTAATTAACAATATTATTTAGACATTTAGTTTTTTTTTTTAAATCTATGCCACCATCTCAAAGGTTGAACATTTTTGACGCGATATTTGTACCTCGGGAAGATATTTTAAAATGGTACATTGCCCAAAAAAATTAAGTAAATAAAAAACCTTAAAAATTCATGTTTTTTTATAAATAATTATCTGTAATTTGTTTAATTTTAAATTCACGTTTTTTTTTTAGATGCACCACTTGAAAGAGCGGTTCCTGGACCATAAGAAACGTATATTGCGATTTTTTTCTTAATGCATTTAGTTGGTTTAAAAAATTGCCAAACTTTATAGGCAGAATTTTTGTACATTTGGTCCTTAAAGGGTTAAGAAAGTT